CAAGCAATCGAACAAATGTTCACAGCTAAAAAAAACTGCTAAACTGCTAACAACACACTGTCCGTTCATGAGTTGTGAGCTACAGCAAAGTTGCTTACTATTTCTCTACTTTCATCTTATGTGTGGAGATCTAACTGCCAGGCCAGCTGCTGTCAATCAAACACAGACATGCCTCTCCTATACAGATCTTGATGTCCATGAAATTTCTATTTCTTTATCATAATAACATCACCACAAATGATAAATGATTGGCTTCACATTTGAAAGACAGCCAGAGATTGTTAACAGTGTATCCAACACATGCACTACTAGGCAATAGCCATAGTGGTGTGGGCATTCACATGAACGCACGTAGCTGTGACCGGGTATAGTTAAGACTAGGCTCAACTTTGGTTAATGCAACTGACGTAATGTCGATTCTCAAGACTGGTCTTAACAAAAAACGACTTAGGAGTTGGGACCAGGCTGAGTAAAGACCAGTTTCTGCTCCTGACGTGACATTATTTGCTCCCCTAACCAAATTTAGTTCCTCTTTAAATGTTACCTGGGCAGAGTGAGATGCCACACGCCACCAGAGAGTAGCTCGTGTTTAACAGGATGACCTGGTCCTTCTTCAGCTGGAAAGCAGGTTGGAAAGTGGGGAACGGGTACACCACCTGGTACCTGCTGTTGAGTACATAGCCATGTTCCAAACACTCACCACTTCCTGTGGAGAGAAATGGATGAAGTCTGATGAGTCAGAGAGACAGAGGCAGTAAGAACAATAAAGTAGTCCATCTCTGTGAATGTGTGTTTACCTGTGCGTATGGTTGTGGCTGACGGAACAGGGCAGCAGTAAGAGCAAGGTTTAGGAGGAGGCATGGAGGCGATAGTGATGTAGATGTCTCTGTTGTTTTCATCACTCATCATTAAGTTCATCAGAACGGAGCTTGAACTGCGTGTACTGGCAGGTAGAACCACACATGCACACATAAATCACATATCATTACCTACATGCTGCAATAACATAAATTCTGGATTAAACGGATTCAACGTATTCATTATTCCTTACTTGAAGCCAAAGATGACAATTTTGGAGTGGTCATTTGGCCATTCACACACAGTCAGGTAAAGGTCGCTGTAAATTTCTTCTCCAGCAAACAGGCGTACATGATGGACCTAAAGAGAAAAAGCAGACACAGGACAAAGGATAAGATATGTATACATTAGGCTGACTTATACAGTCAGGTCCATAATTATTTGGACAATGATACAGTTGTCGTCATTTGCATCAGGATGAAAACTGAAGTGTTTGGGGCACCATTATCTGCTCAGATTCAACTAAATGCTTCAAAACTCATTGGACGATGCTTCACAGTGCAGATGGACAATGACCTGAAGCATATTGCAAAAGCAACCAAAGACATTTTTAAGGCAAAGAAGTGGAATGTTGTGCAATGGCCAAGTCATATCATCTGACCTGAATCCAATTGAGCATGCGTTTCTCTTGCTGAAGCCAAAACTGAGGGCAAAACACCCAAAACACAAGCAGGAAGTGCAGACAGCTGCAGTAAAGGGCTGGCAGAGCATCACCAGGGAAGAAACCCAGCATCTGATGATGCCTATGTGTCCAACACTTCAGGCAGTCATTGACTGTAAAGGATTTGCAACCAAGTATTAAAACTGACTGTGTAATTGATGATTATGTTAGTTTGTCCAAATACTTATGAGCCCTTAAAGTCGGGGGACTGTGTGAAGAAATGGTTGTAATTCCTACACGGTTCATACTACATTTTTGAAAAAAGCCTTAAATGAAACCTGAGAGTCTGCACTTTAAGCAGGTATTCATTGTTTCATTTAAAACCCATTGTGGTGGTGTACAGAGCCAAAATGACGACAACTGTATCATTGTCCAAATAATTATGGACCTGACTGTATGAGGTTTCCAGTTATAACTCTCACAGGAAGACATGATATTACATCTAATAAGTCCTCCTCTGTTCACATATGAATCTTCTGGATGGACCACATTAAGGTTACAGTGAGTACATTTGCTTTCCTTTACCTGTTTGAGTCGACTGTGCAGGTTGAACTCCCACCAATAGAGATGGTAGATATAAAAGGAGAAATCATCATCTTCTCCACAATCGCTGGTGTAGGACAGCACGTAGCGGCCACATTTGGTGAAGCCAAGAAAGACATGTCTGGAACCCAAAAGTGATATATATAATATATGCCCAGCTTGAACACTATTTCACTCAGACAATCCTCAATCTAAATGTATTGGTCACTAGCAGTTAGGGATGCACTAATCCAATAAATCAGATTAGTAGTGGCTCCAATAGTGACTTCATATAGCATAATCAGGTATCAACCATGATGTGACAGATTCATATTGAAATAAATTTCCTCAATATCAGTTATAGCTTTTAAATCTGAGAAAAAGAGAGCAATGGCATTGGACCTTCAGAGAATCAACAGTCCTGATACACACAGAAATCGCATTTGCTTTGGAATGCGCTCAGTGTATAGACAAGGTGCTTAATGACAACAAACCTACTTAGTAAACACACACACACACACACACACACACACTGACCCCGCTCTCAGGAACTCCTCGCTGACAATGTTCTTTAATGGGACACACACTCGAGGTGGCAGCTTCCTGAACAGACGCTGAGAGAACTGTCCTGACAGCTGCAGAACAGGCAAGAGAATGAGTCAGATGTGCAACATAATAACGAGGGGTGAGAACCAGAGGGGTGTAAGTGACATTTGACCAACTCTGGGACAGCCAAAACAAAAAATGACCATACTTTGTCCTGACTTTGTTTGAAAGTCACTGAATTTTATCTTACATATTAAAACTTCATAAACATGTGGATGACAGTATACTTAATGAACAATATTTTGACATTTATTTAAAAAATATTTCCGTGAATATGTGTACCTTTTTGGTCCCAAATAGTTCAGTGTGTTCAGTTCTTTTGGATTATGATTAATAATGCTGGAAAATATGCTAAAATACACAAGTACCCTACCTCATCAGGAGCTTTCATTTGATATATATAACTCATATCATATGCGCCCTTTGCGTCCTCAAATCTAGAAAAACATACTTAGTACAACATGAAGCATAGAAATGTGATTAAATATATGGGAATTGCAGTATTTTTGGAATAGCCTTGTCAGTGGTGGTGGTGGTTCTGGATATGAATAATGTTACACAGGAAATTCTGCTTCATTCAATGCCCTACACTAGGGGTGTCAAACTCATTTTACTTCATGGGCCACATACAGCCCAATTTCATCTCAAGTGGGTCGAACCTGTAAAATTGGAAGCTACTGAGGGAAGAGGTTAACTTATCCCCTGCCTTAGAGACCATTTACAAATCTAATGTTTTAGCCATGTCTCTGCAATAGGATTCCACCATTATTGTTTTAAGATATTAAAAGATATATATAAAGTTATATTAAAAGAGGTAGAGCAGTTTGTCCACCAATCGGAAGATCAGCAGTTTCGATCCCCGGTTCCTCCAGCCTACATGTCAAAGCATCCTTGAGCAAGATACTGAACACCAAACTGCTCCTAATGGCTGTTCCATCGGTGTGAGTGTGTTTAAAAACTGAGTAGCAGGTGGTACCTTGTATGGTAGCCTCAGCCACCAGTGTGTGAATATGTGTGTGAATGGGTGAATGTCACTCGTAGTGTAAAAAGCACTGAGTGGTCAGATGACTAGAAAGGCGCAATACAAGTGGAGGTCCATTTACCATATTAATGTAGCTTCTTTTGTGTTGAAGCTGCTGATGGACAATATTCTGCACAATGTTCAATGTCTATGAATATGACCACAATAAGTATCTGATGTTATGTCAGAGAGCTGCATCCTAGTCAGTCAGCCTCTGAAGCAGCATTTGCATAAAGTAGGCTGCTCACTGCTGAACCTGCTCCTGAGACCTGGCACCTCTTTGCCTTCACAAGTGCATCAATATTAGGTGTGCAAAGACATCCAATGGGCCGGACTGGACCCTTTGACGACCGGTTCTGGACCGCAGCCTGTGTGTTTGACACCCCCTGTCCTGCACAGTAACAGCTAAACATAACCTATCTAAAGGCTCGAGCACAGTATATCATTTGTCTATTAACTAAAGTGGCTACGTGATTAACATTATGCCTGAGGGTTGTGGTCGCAATAAGGAGCTGTGGAGCACTGTAAGTTGCTGCTGTGGTTTAGCTGAAGCTAACGCCGACTGAGCTTTCAAGTTACGATAACGGTCAACCGTTAAAGGTGTTCATCATTAGCTAGCATGCTAACACTGTTCATTTACATTCAGGCGTCTATGAATATGTTTGCAAACCACGCCGAGAGAGACAAATGTCGAGAAACATTGCTGGGAAGCAGCGGAAACTCAAGGTTTCCAGACTTTGTAGCATTAGCTAATTAGCCACCTGCCTGCCATTAGATGTTAGCTTCCGAGCTAGTTAGCAGCTAGCCCCAGAAGCTCCTGAAAACAAGGCGGCTTCCACTTGGAGCAGTCTTATTATTTACGAACAGCTCTATCCGCAATTTAAGTCGGGTTTTGTGAATTCATGCCTACCTTCCCACGCATGAGAAGCTTCACGACATGGTCTTTGTGTTTCCTTTGAGGTTTCTGTTTGCTATCGTCCTTTTCTGATTTCGAGCTGGGCGCCATCTCCCACTGAAACTGGTGTCCCTCCTCGCAGTCAGGTCCGTCCTGATTGGTCCACAGGCTGCATGAGACTGCCCTCACTCGCCGGTGCATACATCCATCAAACCACAACAAAGGTAGGGCACGACAGAGGTGACATCCTGCAGGAAGCCACTACAAAAGGATCCAAGTATGTCTGTTTTATCACTGTCACTCCCAGCATCAGACATAAGATGTAGAATCAACCAAACAGGTCGTTTCATCTGATACGACTTTATCATAAGGTCTAAAATGGGGGACAACCCACCCTAAACACAGTGGTAGTCATGAGCAAACAAGAGGAAAGAAACTGGTAATTGGATGTTTTATTTTAAGTATTTAAAAACAAGCTGTAAAAAATAACATCTAAAAAAATCAGCATACAGTAACGGAACCTATTGGAACAAAAAAGAAAAAAAAAACAAAGATAGAAATTAAACAGAGGGCAGTCAAGCACACCATCACATACATGCTGCACACAACCACCCTACACTCTGGAGGACAGTTTGTGCCTCATTACAGCCCACTTACACACATTTTTCTGTTCAGTAGCATACACTGTATACAGGCACACAACCCCCTGAAGAAAAATAATTACAATGAATAAAATTAAAAATAAGAAATCATGATAGCAGGGAGAATACACCTGCAACTTAACACTGGGAATGTTTTCTTAAAAAAAAAAAAAAAGTTTAAAAAGTACCAAGAACAATAGGAGGGGAAAAAAAGACAAAAAGGACCAAAAATTGTTGCATTTTTTTCTTACAAACAATAATTTCTGAATATATTCAAAATACTGCTAGACCGTTTTTACCCTCAAGAAATTGAAGGGGGAAAACTACTTAAATGTGAGACAGTGTTGAGATACTGTTGTGCTAGCTTGCAAACAAAGATGCTTATTAATTCACATTTCTTTTTAAAAATGAGCAAAAATATTACAAGGGGTGGGTGAGGTGAAGGGGCAAAAATGATAGTAATCCAAGTAGCGATTTAGTGCTTTGTTCAATACATGGGTGAAATGTGTTCCCTTTTTAAATTATGACTTAAAAAACAAGCAAGAACGTTGTAATAGAAAATGTCTGGGTGGATGAGTAAACCATGATCTTGTCTTGTTAAAGCCAAAAGGAAATCTCGATAGAAAAAAAATAAACAAGTCCAGAGAGCCATCGCAACCTTCCAACAGACCGAGCCAATCGTTTACTGGGCCTGAAATGAGACAGACAAATTTTAATCAGTCTTTGCTTTGTAAAGAAATGGGGAAAATTCTCACTACATTGTGTTCTAGGGCTGTAATAGTACATAAGAGTCACAGTTTGCTTCATAAACTGGTTTAATACTCTTGCCAGGGACTGAGGTAGCAGTGTGCCCACTAGCAACTTTGGTAAACCACTTACATTTTATAATAACAGGGCACATTTAAAACACTTCTGTATTAGACTGTAACAAACACAACACTTTCCCAAAAGGCAACAACAGGCTATAAAATTAAATACCATCTCTTATGCTATGAAATTGAAAACACTGAAAAAGGCCTACACAGAACAATAAAAAAATAACACTTGTGCATCAGGAGAAGTGTTTCAATTATTTCCCCCTTGGCTATATTTAAACATTCATAGCACCCACTGTTATCCTGGTGATCAGAACATCTGGCTTCTATTTGCCCTTGCCATACTGTGACTGGCTTGCACACCAATCCGCTTGTTTTGCCAACCTGAGCTTGTGTTGCTAATGGTGTATGGATAAAAGTTCACAGGTGGAACTCAGGCTTGCCTCAATTGGCATACCACCGTAACATGGTGGTCTGGTATGAATACACAAACCGTTATAGCCCTTGGGGCCGTTTATACGACAACGATTTCAGTAAAAACGGAAAAGTCTGTCCTTTGCATTTTAAAAAACTTCTGTGTTTATATGACGACGTTATTGAAACGATCCCCGTTCACACAGAGCCACAAAATCTACTGGAAACACTGTAGTATGCACGGCAGGCCAATGGGTGGCAGTGTAAATTTGAAAAGCAACACCACGGCATGACGCCATGCGCCTGCGCTGAAGCGCCTTCCTCTCCAACGGGCTGATTACAAACCAAAACAAAGACAACACAATGGCAAAAGCATGCACAGATAACTTTGTCTGGATGGACAACGAGGTGGAGTTGCTACAGTAACAGATCTACACTTCAAATCAACAGGGTGAGCAGCACAAACAGAGCTCAGCATTGTTGTTGTGACGGTCAGCATGCCTAGTGACTGGAACCGTAATGCGCATGTGCGAAAAGTCCATTTTCAGAGGAACTGCATATTGCACGTTTACATGACAACGGAGACGCTGCCGTTTCCAAAACGTTGCACTCTGGAAACCGTTTTCAAATCGTTGTGTTTTCAGGCACCCAAAACGCCACTGTCGTGTAAACGATCGGCCAAAACACAACTAAAGTTTACCGTTTTCAGTTGAAATCATTGTCGTATAAACGGGGCCCTAGTGTGTGTGTGTGTTAAGAATTTTATGCTGGATCAGTAATTAACACCAGCAGGGTGCCAAATAATGCCAAAATAGTCTAATAGTGACACCCACAGCAAAAGACTATTGCTGTGGGTGTCACACTGTGACTTTGGTTTTTAGATGATCTTAAACTGTTGACTGCCTGGATGATTCTCTATCTACCTTAATTTTAATAGACTCCCTATGGTATTATTTGGCAACACTAGGGATCACCAAGAATGATTACATGAAGATTAAGTCAATGAAGTCTGCTCTTATAATTGTTGTTCACTGGACAATAAAGAACCTTGTACCTCTGCTATCTATATTGATTCTGTCACAGTATCTCATTGTAAACACACAATGGCACATAAAACAGTTGGGGAAACATTTCTATAAAAATTGGTATGCAATATTTCGGCCAGTGAATGTGTTTTTTCGGTGGGCAATTGTTTTTAGCTCACTAGACCTTGACAGCTACAAGGTTAATTTGGGACACTGGTCATGGGTGTGCTACCTGTTGTCCCTGCTGAGGAGCAGCTGGCTGTCCAGGCTGCCCTGGCTGTCCATAGTAGGCCGCCTGCTGTCTGTAGTACTCAGCCCAGGCTGCACTGTAGTCCTGCTGGCCACCAGCTGCAGCTCCTCCCGCTGCTGCCGCTGGGGCAGCTACTGCTGTGCCTGGAGCAGGTGCTGCCCCTCCAGCTGGCTGGGCTGGAAAAACACAAGACACACAATTTGTACAGGATGAACACATTCATGTAGTCAATGCATTTCATGGTATAGTGCTGACATCAGTATGATTGATTATTTACTAATTGTAATACTAACAGTACTGAAATGAATACAAGCAATCCTCCCAGACAGAACCTTGTAGTTTCAAGCTCACACTCACTCATGCCCATCTTCTTGTAGTACTCCTCCCATGCTTTTGTGTAGTCTGGCTGGCCCCCGGAGGCCTGTGGTGCTTGACCCTGGTCCCCTGGTGCCGGTGCCGCTGCAGGGGCTCCTGGAGCCTGTGCTCCCATAGCACCCCCTGGCTGTTGGCCGTAATACTGTGCATAGTATGCTGCCCACGCTGCGTTTGGATCTGCTGCTGCCTTGTCTAAAGAGTGAGGAAAGAAAAAAACAGGATAAATTAAGAAATGAAACAACTTAATATACCTCAAAAAAAAAAATCAGAGAACAATTTTTGGAGGTAGGTAGAGAAAAAGAATATACAATGTAAGCGAGTGCACATGATAAGGTACTCACTGGGGTCATGTGGACCTGGAGCTTGCCACTGCTGGTAGGTATTCCCCCCCCAACCCTGAGGACAGTACTGGGGACCACCAGGTGCTGCGCCACTGCAGAGAAGAACAGGACCACTTAGACACAAACTACTTTTTTATCAATTGCCCCAAAAGGAAAACATTTTTAAGAGTTGTACTTACTGGGGTGCACCCCCAGGAGGCCCTGCATTATAAGGATTGGGATTATAGGGACCCATGGGTCCACCTGGGCCTCCTGGACCGGGACCACTTCCCACTGGACACAGTGGAGCCTGGAAAAAGGAAAAAATATGTAAAATATAAATCAGGTAGGAGGATGTGTTAACATTTCACAGCCGTTTACACTGTGTATTCTTTCTCCGCTCTGCAAGTCACTTGAACATACCTCAATCTTCTCCTCTATAAGCTGCTTTGCATGGTCAATCTGTTGTGGGGAACCTCGGATGATGAACATTTTGAAATTAGGGTCACCGTTTGGTGGTGGCTGACGAGAGATCTCCACAAACGCACCACTCTGTTGGTTGATCGCTTTAACGTTCTCTCCTCCTCTGCCAATGACAAGCCCACATTTGTGTGCAGGAATGGAGAAGGCCATCTCTCCTCCCGGAGGACCCCAGTTCCCCTGGCCTCTGCCTCGCCCACGCCCACCAGGTGGCATCCCTGAACCAGGACCTGGGGGGCCCTGTGGAAGGGGACACGCCTTACATTAGGTTTCACTGTTCAACAGCAGAGTCCCATTTCTGTGTTCTGTCACCGACACAAAAAAATAGATAAGTACTTTGAAGAAATTAAACACCTACCCCCTGCCCGCCCTCCTCTCGTGCACGGATGCTCTGTAGCAGGTCAGTGATGATTGATGCAGCATGCTGACACTGGTCTGGTGGACCCATAATATGGGCTATTTTATCAGGACCTGTACCATCATCTGTAATGGATGACAGAAGGACAAGCAGATTTATTGGTGGGGGTTTGTACTGAAAACAAAAGGACCAACACACACTGTGAGTACAGAGACCAACATATGCCTCAACAGTTCTAGTAATGTAAAGGAAAAACACTTGGGCTCGGCAGGTGACAGACGGCTTAACGTAACAGCAAACAAACACACCGTCCACGGACAGTTTGTAGCCGACTTGACACTTTGCTACAAGCGGATCAGCTGTGATGTACTTTACGTTTTAAAACCAGTCGCTGGCGACTTCATGAGCCGAGTTGTGATGACACCATTATCTGGCTTGACTCAAGCTGACACGGACCTCTGCAAGTTTTCTCTGCAAAATTCTATAATTTTTTTTTTTTTTTTGGTGGATCTTTGGTCTGAATTGGGCTTATGAGTTTCCCGCCAGGCCAAGGAGGAAGAAAAAGAGTTGTAATTACATGTATGACTTAAATGTAATAAAATATGGTGCAGTTTAATCTTCCAGAAAATGTTTGGAGAGCTCACCTGGTTTAAACTGTATCTTCACTCCAGCATCACTCTGGATCTTCTTTATCATCTCCCCACATCGGCCAATTACAACTCCCACAGAGTGGCGTGGCACAGCTATCTGTAAAATTACACAGAAAATTGTGATAACTGCTCAAAGCTGTCAAGTCTCACCCATTATTCAATATTATGGTAAAAGTGCATCATCCATTCACACATATAATGCTACGGTCATTCAGGTTGAGGAAAATGGTCCTTATATACAAGAAGCACAGTTATGACAAGATTTCTTACGTCGATGCCGCCACCTCCACCACCACCACCGCCACCACCTCCCATTCTTGAGCCGTATTCATTCCTGTCTCCATAACCTGCGTGATCCCTTTCTCGTAGAATCTCATTAACCATCTCCTTTGCTTGCTAAAAAAAAAAAAAAAAAAAAGCAACAAAAGACAATGATTTGAAGGTTAAATAGGAGCATAACACCAATCTGAATCTCCAATTCAGTCAAAACTGCCCATTGTGCTTTAAGAGTACCTGAACTTTGTAGGGGTCTCCAATGATGCGTAGGGGTTTATCTATGTTGGGTGGCTGGGATCCATCTTGAATAAGAATCATTTTAACTCCAGCCCGCTCCTAAGATTTTGCAGGAGAGGAATGTCACACTGATCACACATGGCAATTTCACTTAACATGTTACACCAACACCAACTTCTAGAAATCAGCACAGAACTTTTTTTTTTTTACAGAGTAATCACTTTCTTTCTATTCTTTGTATAACTAAAACACTCTGAATCAAATGAGTCAAATCGTAGAGTTAAATTAAGGTACCCTTTGATTCTCACCTGAAGCTGTTTGATGGTTTCTCCTCCTTTACCTATAATAAGGCCGGCCTTGCCTGCAGGGATGATCATCTCCTGCATGGAACCACCTGACTGCCCATTGGTCGTTTCATGACCCCTTGACACTATGTCATCTATAAGTGCTTTGGCTCTCCTGGAGGCAAATTCAAATGAAAGAAGGGTGTTAAAATGACAGAAGAACATAAGATTAATGAGGCATAAAATCAGTTTAGTTAATGGGTGGGGGGGCATATTGTCCTTTACTGGCCAGTGACAGTGAAGGGTCAGTCAGGAAATGGGGGACAAAGGTCCCCAGCTGGAACTGAACCAGTGAGATTGCAGTTGCATGGCATACGCTGTAACCATTTTGCTACCAAGGCGCTCTGGGTCACACTAATCTGACTTATTACAGGCAGTGAAAAAAGCTCCAGCTGTGTCTACTGTAATGCCGTAGTCTTGAGCAGCTGCAGAGTTATCAAGAGGCCATGCATCTCATTTCAAAAAGCAGAAAAATGTACCTTGTATACAGCTGAAAGTTTTACTCTAAATAGTCATTAACCCAGCTCCAAGAAATTTTAATATTACCCTTAGGAAATGAACTAATGAAAATGAGAAGCATCTCAGTTTAGCTGCAAACAGCAGCTCTAAGCTACCGTTTAACGGCCACAGCATTTGCCCTAGGGGCCTAATATTTGGTAAGGAGGTCGTGTGAACATGTGAGAAGGTGTGTCTGTTAATGAAATTTGGAAAACGGTGGGGAGGGTAGTGGCTTATTGCAAAAAGGCGCATAACGTCAAAATGGATTCGGAGACTTGCACATGATTTTGTGGAAATACTGTTTATGAGCCAAAGGACAGCTGCATTAACATGTGGATGCACTCCTACATGTGGTCTCAGCTATTGCGAATTTGTGCTCGATTTTGTCAAGCAAGGTTAGGACACTTTTGTGCCCTGAGGTGAGCCTGAAAGGCTGTTATCTCAACCCAATGCCAGAATAAATGTTGGCAGTGTACATTTGTGTAATCCATGGATATGTAACACTTGTACATCATTATGTAGCAGATACGTTGAAACTGTACATATTCACAACAATGTGACTGGGGCGTCAGTGACTTAGTGGTAGAGCAGACGCCCCATGTACAAGGCTGTTGCCGCAGCGGCCCGGGTTCGAGTCCAGCCTGTGGCCCTTGGCTGCATGTCATCCTCTCTATCTCTCTCTCTTCCCCTTTCACACTTGGCTGTCCTGTCCATTAAAAGGCAAAATGCCCCCAGAAATATCTTAACAAAACAACAACACTGTGATTAAGATGTGGTTATCTTAAGCCACAAAACCCACTTGTTTATGGCTAGTAAAGGATCATGTTTTAACTTAAAGAAGAAAAAAAAAAAGAAAAAAAAACAAAAAAACAAAACACCTTTGGTGGAACAATTGCTGTGGGAAACGCAGTGATGAATCACTAAGAACACCCACGTTCAGTGGCAGAAACACTGCTGGAAACACTGCAATGTCTCACTAAAGAACAACTGGTTATGTTAGTTGTTGATCGAGCAGTGGTCTGCAGCCTGGCAGTCATCTCGCTTAGATGTCCACTATCCCTTGCGCCTACCAATGTAGAAGTCACCTCATATACTTATCAGAACTACGTCACTTTAGAAACGTTGATATGATACGTATGAATCATGCAAACGTAACTTATCCGTAATTTCTAGAAATGTACAATGCCAACATCTTCGTCTGGCAACTGGGCTGGATAACCACCACTGATTTCCACTAATCAAGCTGGACAGCAGTAGCACTGGGGACTTGGACTGTGAGAGCTTGGCTTGGAAACTGAAGTATGGACGGTTCAAGTCTCCATACAGACCGAGTATGGCGTGTGGACTAGCAGCTGGAGAAGTGTCAGTTTGCCTCCTGGCCAAGGTGTTCTTGAGCAAGGCATTGGACCCCTAGACTGCTTCAGGGGCGATGTATTATAGCTGACTCTACACTACCCCTCTGACACTGTAACTGCATGTGTGTGTTGTGTGTAACAAGAGTGACAGACCAAAGAGTCACATTTTAACTGCCACTGTGCAGATTAACAAAGAAAATGTTACTAAATTAATCAAAAAAAAACAACTTACTGTATGGCGTCTGGTGACCCTGTCAGAGAGACACTTCTATCTGGAAGACCAGCGCTGTCTGTGAGTGAACAGGAAGATAAGCATTAATCCAAGAGAAGCAAGAAAACCCATCGCACTTTGTTGACTTCTGGTGTTAGCACATATCTCACCGTGCGCAATCTGGACCTTGCAGCCAGAATCTTGCTGTATTTTGTTAATCTGTTCACCCCCTCGGCCGATGACTAGGAACAACAGCAAAGACAGTTAGATTGAACACGTGTAACAGAGGCATCATGTCAATGGTTTAGAAAACGTCTGTGCATGTACTTACTGAGACCGACCATGCCATCAGGAACCCTGAACTCTTCTGTCATTGTGGAGGGCCTGACACTGCAGACAAGTAAGAAAAAAACAACAACATGTAAAGGAAGTCATGACCACAAGCACTGAAAGTCTTCTTGTAAAAGACACAAAAAATAACCGTTTACCTTTGTTGGGACAGGGCAGCCAGCTGAGCTCCAATGGCTGTAAAGGAAGGAAAAATGTGGTGAGTGGCTGGAAACTGAACCAAGTGCGTGTTTGTAATAGGATCAATGAGTGATTTAACGTACACAATGCAGAATCAATTTCACTCTGTGATGCTACCTTCTTGGCATCGGGTTCATCTGAAAACATAAGAAAATGTGAGTCAACAATGTGGACTAACAAATGCAGACTGAGTGCCCGTTAGTGCCCATTTGTGCCCATTTTTCACCTGCTTCTTCCAAGGAACGTTTCTGTGCTGTGAATGGATAGTTCTCAGCTCCTCCGTTGTTGCTCACTGAGGGAACACCGTCTCCACCAATTTTAGCTGCAATCTAGAAAGACATACATGGGATGACGCGTCTGCAATACACCCTAAAATAGCAATGAACTCAGGGAGTTTTTCTTACAAAGAAAGATCAGCTCATTTAAAGGGGCACTCGGCAGGCACATGAAGACCAATTTACTCACAAGGAGCATACACTGATGTTGTCATCTGTGCCTGGAGACTACAAATTTAGAACAGACAGCCTTTATTGAAGTGTAAGCACCATAGCTATGGGTGACATTCAAATGCTTTGTTGAGGATTTTTCTACTCAATCTAATTTATGGACGTTTTAATGCTTCCACTAATGTGCAATGACATCATCAATATGCAAATTAGCATATGATGTCATCTTGCATTTGAAAAGTGTTGGCAACACTGCTCTTTGCAGTGTGTTTAACTGCAACTTTTTGGCCAAGACACAGGCCACGTGAAGCAACACAGCAGTCGGCCTTCGTGGTTCCCAGTCGTTTGATGTCGGTATGGTGTGTCCAGACCTTAAAGGGGACCTATTTTAAGGATTCCTAGGTGTTATTTTCATGGCCAAATAAAGTGTAATCAATATTTGAGAACCTGAGCTACTTTCTTTCAAAGACAGAAACCAGAGAAGGAAATCTCAAAAGTCTGCTCAACAGACAATGAATGGGAGCCCGATTTTGTGGACCCGCAGAATGTTTGTTTTCTTTTTTATACCCAAATCAGCTCTATTTTATCATAGTGTTTTCAGAAAATGAAAAAGAAAATGTACCCATATACTCCGATCATGCCCCTGACTGCTCTCAGTGTTATCCATAGCATCTTTCCCAATTCCCTCTTCATAGAGCAGCTCTAGACTTTATACCCTATGACATCAAAAATTTGAGTTTTAGCACTCTGGTTTGGGGGTTTGGAAGAGAGCTGTTCATATAATTTTGGACTGTTAGACCATAGGGTGAAGTTCCCCTTTAAGACTCGGACAAACTTTCTACATTGAATATCTGCAGAGAGCTTCAGTCACACAGATGCGCATAAGGTTCTATTCATAGTACAGTTGGCAGTCAGCTTCAGCCCTTGTCAGTAGACTGGAGGGGTGGGAGGTAAACTTTCTGTCCCCCTGCTGACATTGGGTGGAAGTGAAACTAAACAATGCTGCTGGGTGTAGAATGAATGGCTGTCAAATACCCAACTTTAAATTAACTTCCTCGTGGAAGCTGGCTTGACTTCAGTGTTTTGGACTGGTGTGGAGCAGGAGACTGGACCATGCACAGGTGGCATGCTTACTATGACTACAGTTCACCTTGCAACAAAAAATGGGCTGCACGCGGACATCTGCATAGCGGTCCATGTGGACCCTCACAGAATTGAGGACGTGGAAACTGTGATTTGTCCTTTAGACGTGAGGATATCTCTTTCTGCTGTATCAATTTTGACCTCTCATTTTTTGATCTATACCTGGTGTTCATGAAAGTGCTATAATAAAATGCCGAAGTACCCCTTTAATGTTTCTACGTAAGTGAAAACAGGGACTAAAATGAGACAACCATCACACCAACAGTGCCTTGACTAAAGCTGAAAACATGGATTAATCTATAGAAAGAAAATCAATACGCTACAATTTTGATAATAAATCGTTATACTTGATAAATCAAAAAGGCAATAATGCCAAACACTAGGTGCAGCTTCTCAAATGGTAGACTTTTTAAAGCTTGTTTCTGTGTAATTTAGCAGTTAATTGCATATCTTTGGGTTTGGGGCTGTTCCTCGACTAATCAGGTAATAAAACATGATAGTTTAATCATTAACCAATAATGCAAACAATCATTAGTGGCACATCTAACCTTGATAACGACAAAGACCCGTAATGGAGTTTCACACTTTGACCGTTAAAGAAATATCCAACGAGTAGTGAAATTTCAGTCACTAAATAAATGAACATCCCTTTGTCCATTTGATGCTAGTTATCAATACAATATAACAAGCGAGTCAATTAACCTTATTTTCCGATGATTCTAGTGTCACAGCAATGTTGTTTATTGTTCAATTCTTCTAAAATGGCGTTTTACACATGGAGGAGAGTGAAACTTCACGGTCAGCTTACCGTTAACTGAAGTAACTACCCAGGCTAACTTAGCTTAAGTAGCTAACGTTGGTCCATTTAACTAACCGTTAACTCAAAGATCCCGGTAGCGACAAGTCGGTTAATTTAGCTATACATGAAAGAGTGACCTACGTTGTCGCCGCCGCTCAGTTCACCCCGAAAACATTTCAACTGACCACACAACCTGGCGAGGGTAAGACAAATGAATGGCACTGCTAATAGCTAGCTCGCTTGCTAGTTACCTAAAGCTAACGTCACGGGTAATTAAGCTAGCTGCGGTTTCCCACCAGCTAACTAGCACGCCGGCTCTCTTTTCTTGTCGCTGAGCGCTTGATTACCTGTCTGGCTCGTTGTACTGCATCAGCAAAAGCGTCTTTTTTCATCCCAGCGCCGACTCCGTTAGTCGGCAAACCGCCGTAATCAGACATGCTGCTCACAAGGGGCAAATAGACACAGGGGGCAGGCTGGATAGCTTTGGCCGGGTCGAGCTGCGCAGAAGCGGGAAGGCTAAACCGGAGCGTACGGGGACACCAATGTGCGTGAGACTGCCTACCAGCCTACCACGCCGGCAAACTTCCCTGCTTAAAATAGCCAATCAAAGAATCTTCAAACACCGCGTCTTCCACTTCTTCCTTATATCTTTGCGTGTTGACATCCAACGTAATACAGTAAAAACACTGCCACCTCCTGGGCTGGAGGAGGAGCGCTGATCAGACTCTACACAGGGGCTTTCAAACATAAGGAGCGCGGGACAGAACCAGCCCGTCTGATGGTCCAATCTGTCCCACTGGTTGACCTTCACACCTAATAATGATTATGTATGTTTTTATTTTGTATTGTGATTTTAATGCATTTTCTTGCTCTGTAAAGCACTTTGAATTACTTTGTGTACGAATTGTGCTCTACAAATAAACTTGCCTTGCCTTGCCTTGCCTTGCCTTCCTAATATTGATGCAGTTGGTGCAAGTTTCAGGAGCAAGTTAAACAGTGAGTTGCTCGCTGTAAAATGCTGCTTAACAGGCTTTTCACCCCGACCAAAAACAATAAATACTTATCTTGGTCAAAAAATATTAAACATCATGCAAAATATTGTCAGTCTGCAGCTTCAGTACAAAATGATCTATATCAGACTTCTGACTTCTGGCACTGCCAGTATGTTTGATTTGTAAATAATTTGAAAGGCAGCAGATAACTTAACCTGCTTCCTCAATAGCTTCCACTTTAGTTGGTTTTGTTGATGCCAGCATTACACAAGACTGAAAACATATGGGAAAAGGCACATGTAATGATAGTAAATAGTTGACTGACTGAATGTGAAAAATCTGTGACATATTGTTGAAATTGCACCTTTTTTAAGATAAGATAAACTTTATTGTCCCAAAAAATAAATGCATTAAAGACAGCAGACAAGGGTTCCATACATTATCTGAGTCACTGCATTGCATTCAATAACAAAATATATGTATTCCTGTAAGACAATAGGTAGCAAAGTCAACAGGATTAACTTATAAATAAGTCATTTGTCCACCAACATTTATGTATTTATTTATTTGACACTTACAGGAATTTTTTGGAAATTAAAGACTTGTAAAATAAAGCTTCATCAAAAAAAATCCTATCAATGTCGGACAACCATGAGGTCAGCCATGGTCCTTTGGCCATTACAGTTGCATTTTGCTTATATAATTATGATGCTGCATAGTCAGAGATACTCAGTGAACCAAGGCATTAATTGAAATAAATGCATTGGTAAAAACATAAATTAAAAAAAATGCTTTTCTACATAAATAAACTTAATGGCCATTATTACTACAACCCTTCATAGCAGTATGGTTTATTGCAGCTCTGTGGGGTTTGTCCACGTGGTGTCTCTGCAGATAGCTCACAGGCATATTCAACAAACATCAATGTCATTTTTATGTTATACTTGTCAGATATGGAGCCTGAGAAAAGTGTCAGTCATTAATGTTGTGCGGCATGGGTAATTTATGGAGACAGTAGTTTTACGTTATTGTATATTTGTATAGATCCCCCAGCAGATGTGGTCCCCCGCAGTGTTCACTCTGTTGCTTTTTGCATGATGTCAAAAGTCAGAAAGGTAGAAAACCCCTGATTTAATTCTTAAACAATGTGTTGTATTCTAAAAGCTGGTTATAATATCCATTGTGTCAAATCTTTATCTTAAAAGTAAATAAAGCTATCCACTAAAGTAGTGGAGAAAGTACAATAATTCCCTCTGAAATGTAGTAGAAGTATAAAGTAGCATCAAATGGAAATACCAAAGTCAAGTACATGTACCTCAAAATTGTACTAAGTGGCATGGGTAAATTAATTTAGCTTCCACCACAGTGTCGATCATGCCCTTTATGTTCTAACATAATTAATCTGTCTTTGTCACAGTATGGTCCCAATATGTCACCCTCATTTCTTTGTTAAATTCTGATTGCTTTTTTTTTCTCACAGAAACCACAAAACCTGGTGTGCATTTATCAAGGGCTCATCCACACATCCATCCATCCACCAATCTTACAGGATAATTAAATTGTGCTTTTTAAAGATTGTAATATTCACAGTCTGTTACTGACATACAAGTGTTTCCCCATTTGTGTGATTTGCAATGTGTCCGTTGATAAAATCAATAAATTTACAAATTGAAGTGACAGAGACCTGTACAGTGTAACTTATTATGCAGATGATTGTAAGAGAGGACGACTAAAGCTATGGGGTGTCTACAAAAGAAGAAAAGGTGCGTTTATTGAATGAAATTTGTTAAATAGAGACATGCACCAGGGGTGTTGAGGTATGGACTGGTAAAGTAGATTTGGGCACAATGTCACAGCATAACTCTAATGTCACAGCATAACTCCAAATTCAGATGACAAAAGACATTATGATAACCACATCAGCAACAAACTACTTGCATTCACCATGATGATGGCTGCAGAAACATTTATCTCATACCTGTTGGCATTTGAGTTTGGAGTGTGCAGCATCAGTTTGATTTCAGTAATGAGATAATATGATGACAAGCAGGCCCAATTTTACAATCATGGTGTGTTGATAAAATGTAATTTTGCGGACAATTATAATTTGGTATGTATTGCAGGAAAGTTAAGTCTCCTGTGGTTAGATTCAATGGCATTTTGAGGTTCCATCGCAAAAAGGGCGAACACAGACTTGTTGAAAGTGAAGAGACCTAAAGGTTTTATATGTGAACTTTTAATATTACCTATGGATACACTGTACAACTTTGAGAGTCAAAAAATAAACAAGCAGAATACAGGGAAATGCTTTGCAAAATGGAAATGGTCCATTCCAAGATCAAACTGGGATTATGTTGCTCCATTCAAAAGTCCGGACTCTGTATATCCACCGGTGTGCGGCAACTTCAGGTTCCCCTCACTTATAGAACAGGAAACTGGGTCGTTCCTCCTATCAGTCCTGTATCTTCTCTATATACCACCTAGGAGAAAAAATAATGCTGCAGGAATGTAACATGGCTTCCAAGTTTGGTTGCACCTTTTATCAGTGCATTCTCAGGCAAGTTCATGCAAGTCTTCACCTGTCCAAGTCAATGCAGCAGCGGCAGGCTAGTAGATTAGCTCTCACACAACTGCTGACATGCACTGTGATGCAATAAATCACACGTGAAACTCATCACAGCAGCTGCCAGTTCAGGTGAGGTCCTCCAAGTGTGATGCTTTCACAATGATCTGTTGTTTTTCCCTTTACCATCCATGGATTTTCCATCCAATCATCCTCATCCTGAAAACTCAAAGACTCATGAACACAGCACCATGGATTCATCCACAGTCAAGGCCCATTTCCTCATGCACTGCCAACAGATCTGTACGTGCTTGCAGTTGAAACCAACCCCAAACCATTGACTCTTTTATCTACCCCTTCCCTTTCCCATCCCTCCTACCCTCAATGTCCACTCCCAGGCATATCCTCATGTACTCGTAGACGACGTAGGACACACTAACAGCAGGGATGACTTTCAGGAGGTTGGGGGAAATCCCTCGATATAGTCCGGCAACACCCTCCTGGGTCAAGATGTTTTGAAACAAGGCCAGCATGGAGGGTTTAGGGGCTCCTTTCACTGAAGCTGAGGGGAGAGAAAAAGATGAGCCTCACCAACACATTCTGGTCTCTCGCTACATGTGACTCTGCAATCTGCTGCTAATGCACAGAAGTATGCTCTTGATTCTCTGTCCAACTGCAAGACTGTATAACTAAGTTAAGGGAGTGTCCTGGTGGTTCATCTAACTATGAAGCAAGGAATTTCTGTCTGTCTGTCTGTCTGTCTGTCTGTGTACAGGTAGCCTATGTGTGCATTAGTATGTATGTGTGTCCTTCACATATCACATGAATCATTCATTTGAATTATTTCACACTTGGTGGGTGTGTTTCTGGGTACCCAGGCAGGCAGTGTCGAATTTGGTGCGATCTGGACATGAAAAACATTCATCAACAATAAACTTTGAATAAGTAAGCAAACAGCCTCTGTGCAGTGGCGGTGGCAGGGCAGACTGTGAGTCGAGTATGTCATCAGTGGACGGGCTGTGGCTCATTGACTGCAATTCATATAATTAAAAAAAACTAACATTACAACTAAAATCTTCTTCACTTCTTTGGGGTCACAGAGCACAAGTGCATAGCCCTCTGTAACACTGCCACTCTGCCACTGCAACTTGAAGTGTGCAAGTTTGACATACCAACTTATAACACTAATAATGTTACTGCTGGCAGCATACCTCCGCTAATTAAATCCATGCTCTACTTAATAACTGCAATGGTTATGTCAAAGCAAGTGCCTTATTTGGAAGTTAATGCCTGCACTAAAGTGAGCATAGGGTTAGTTCAAGCAGGACACAATGTCAAGCTCAGCTCACATCCCAGCTACATCAGTTAATCTCAAACAGCCAATCAACTGATGGAGCAGCTGACTGATGGAGGGAGTCAGCTGATAGATCACATGATTCCTTTCTATGCAACCAATTAGCGAATCTCATTCAGGGCACCCTATTTAAACTCCTTTGGCCTGCCTACTGTTGCTGCTTCCTCTGCAAGCTACTTTGCAACCCACCTCCACCCCAGCTCCTCCTTTTATCAATGTTGTATCAATGTCATCTGTGTTTGTCACTGATACTGCTCTGTTCTGTTCCCGGGGGGTCTTTGCTGCTGTTCTCCCTGCCTTAGGCTTTCCATGTAGGCACATGGAGGGGCAGGGAGGTGTGCTCTCCCAGCCTTAGGCTTTCCTCATTTGCACGTGGAAGGGCAGAGAGGTGTGCTCTCTCCGCCTTATTGCTTTCCACACAGGCGTGTGGAAGGGCAGAGAGGTGTGCTCTCTCCGCCTTATTGCTTTCCACATAGGTGCGTGGAAGAGGCTTTCTGCGTGGGCCCAAGGAAAGGCAGAGGGGCTCCAGAACAGAGCCATACTGCCAAATATAATACTGCAAATGGAAACAAAGTTTGACTGAAATATATTTCACATGGCTGTATAAGGAGCACTGGATACAGCATGCAGGGTAGGGCCCCGTTTATTCCAATAAAAGTTGCCCAGTGTTGCTTGAAGTCAAACGCAAGTAGCAAGCGAGTAGATGATTTTCATACCATGCTGAAATTAACATACACCAATGGCTCACAAGGAGATATGAAGTCAATGTAGCAGCTTAGAGTATGCTTTGGAAATAGTCAGGAGTAAATTATGGTCTACACAATCTTAATTCATTTTGCTAAGTCACTGGTTGGGTCCTTAAGTCATAGTTTTACACTGTTAGGGTTTGCAGAATTAGCATGCTCCTCTGTACATACAGATGGGTGATGAGTTATATAAATTAGCACCATTGTTTATGTAAGTGTTTCCACAGTTATCCTGACCTTGTGCCTGCATTCGAGTGCGGATCAGTGCCAGAGGGTAACTTGCCAGCTGTCCACAGGTGCTAGAGACAGCACCACAGCAGACCAGCATCGTGACCCCAGGGTCGGCTAAACCTCTGTGTCTGTTCAGCCAGGCAAACTTCAGAGTCTGTGGAGTAGAGGGGGTGAGAAGCAGGTAAACACTGAGGAGATGCACTGTGACAACTGTGCGCTTTTATGTCTCTCTGACCTCGTAGACAGCCAGGTCGATGCCGGCGTAAGGGACAATACTCAGCAGGTTGGGCACATAGCCCTTGTAAAAGGCTGTGACACCTTCTTTCTGTAGGATCTGTTTGGCACAGTCTGCTATTCCTGAGAATTGGCCTGTTTTTCTCAGTGTGAGACGGGTCTTTAGCACCTGTGGGGAAAGGAGAGCAAAAAGAAGAAGGAGCACAAAGAGGACAGACATCAGTGATTTCACTCCTCATGCAACCTGGAAATATGACTTCTTGAAGCTATATGAATGTTTATACGTGTGTATTACCCCGATATTACCTCCATTGGGTAGATGGCTGTCTGAGCTGTAGCTCCAGCCAAAGAGCCGGCAACAAACCTCTCATGAAGCCTCAGAGTTTTTGTTTCATTTTTGCCCCGCATCACACTTTTGATCTGTGAGTTATTGAGCAAAGGAAAGAATAAACATAATTTGAGAGAGTTGTAATCATAGACAAATGATTATACAGTACTGATGGAAAAGTAGATGAGGTGATGCTTTAAGACATTATTAGTCATTTGGGGAAATATGTTTATTTGCTTGCTGAGTGTTAGATGAGAAAATTGATACCACTCTATTCTGTACGATAAAGCTACAGCCAGCAGCCAGTTAGCTTAGCTTAGCACAAAGACTGGAGACAAGGGGAAACAGATGATGAGGAGTCATGTGACTATTTCATGGCTGGGATTAGTGACTCCCTTGAAATTTGGCGTCACAGTGATGTTGCCAGGCAACCAATAGAAACTCCAGGTAATTACAGGCAAGAAGTTGTCTGGCAGGCACAGTTTTTTAGTACTATATGCGACGGAGGATTTAGTCAAGAGAAAAAAAATGATAGACAGACAGATTGGAAAGACAGCACTAAATCACTATAAATTACTTGAAGATAGGAAAAGAGAGGAGAAAGAGAAAATAATTAGGACAGAAATCAAAGATGAATGGATGTTCAAACAGTAACAGACGGTCTCTCCACCTGTTCATAAGCCGTGAACTTGATGGCAGTTTCTGGTGCAATTTTGAGCACATTCATCCCGTTGCCTCTCCAGAGCGACCGCACTCCTCCTTCTTTCAGCATGTACCGAAAGCTGCTCAGCACATTCCCTTTAAAATCAATGAAACCATGAACCTGGCAGAACAGAGTCAGAGAGGAACTCTTTGTGTGAAGCAGTAACGGCTGACTGTGGGTTCATCTCAGAGCTCTCAGTCACTGATCAAAGATGAACAGAAAACTTTCACACATAAGCAGGAATGGTCCTAAGAAGTGAGATCATACTGTTACTGTCCCTGACTGACCTGTCGGAAGACTTTGAGGCGATCTAAGGGGGCAACCCCAGTCCGGGACACAGATCCAGCCATGGCTCCAGCCAACAGCTGCCGCCACACATAGCCTGACTTCTTCTCCTCCTCAGAAAATTCATCTGGCACTGTCAGCTGCTCACCGATGTCCAACATCTACTGAACCAGTGGTGAAGAAAGGAAGGAAGAAAAAGTCGGAACAAAGAAAAAAAAAAGCAATTTGTGTCTGTCAGTCAGAGGTGGGTCAGAGGCCATAGTCCTCTAAATATCCTGTTGTTGTTGTTGTTTTTTGTTGCACACAATTTAATCAATGTTATTTATTGTTATATTTAGTGGTCCATTGTTTACTATAGACAACAGGAAGTTCTGCAAAGATTGTGTTTCTTTGGCAAGCATTGCCTCACAGATGCTTTAAGCAACTAATGCTTTAACCTAACTGCGGGTGCTTTTCATCATGCTAACTTATGCTTCCTCGCCTCCTCTCTCCTCCTGTGACCATTCACTGTCATGTAGGATCTTCCAATACCTTTAATGCACATAGAGGAGAGAGGACACCAGTGAATCCGACACAGAAGGCTTTAATCATGTGGCGTGACTATGGAGCTCCTCATGGTGCTCATACGTGTGTGTCTATAATGTGTCTCCGGTTATATGGTTAGATGCAGTACATGCAGTGTCACCTTGTGTGTAAATCTAACACTTTAGAATATATATGATAATTTAATTATTAATTGTTGTGGCAGCAGCAGGTTTTTTTTTACATACTATTAACATAAATACATTCTTCTTACGCAGCTATGTGGTGCATTACTGTGCAGACACCAGTCGCTTTGACAGGTGATACAGCTCTGCAGTACATCATATGTAACTGACATTGCATAAGACTGATGCTATGGAAACAAGGATTTCTCATTTGGCAGTTCTGACTAGTCCATCCTCATGTCTCTTCCTCCCCCTCTCTGCTCACCTTTTCTGTAGGCGAGACTAAGATGTGAGTAAAGGAAGTGAGTGAGGGAAGCGAGTAGACACGATAGCATGATGAAATGTAGCCCATGTTGTTATTTAGAGATACACAATGCTGTTGTTGTTTAGGGTCTGTATGTTAAAGTGTGTGCGACCTCACCATTGAGCGCTTCCAGTAGCGTGCTACGTCCTCCATGTTAGTGAGAGGTTTAAACAGGAAGTACTCCCGCCACTCATTCCAGTCAATGGTCATGGTACCGTCTTTGTCCATTCTGAGTTAAAAACACATAAACAAATCATGAAATTCAAATGGTAGGATCATTAACGTACCCACTGAGTTACAGAGCACAGAATCAATCATTTAGAAATGGCAATGACTGTTACAGTATATGAGATGATGTTTCTTGGTTTACCACAATCTAACCCATGTGCTAAAGCTATTTTCAAGACACTAAAGTAGTAAATGCAACACCAACTCAAGTGTTGAACTCAAAAAATGCAGTTTAACAATCGAGCACTTTCAAATCCTAAGTGCAGGTTGTGAAACTAGAAAAAGAGAGAGACGACTGGTTGCTCTGCATACAGATGTAGATCAAAACCCTGCATTGGGTGCTTGTGGAGAAAGGGAAACAACAGGACCGGCAGGAAGGAAATCCAGGCACTCCGAAAAAATATGGAAAGATGAGGAAGGAAATTTTAAAAAGCTTTTATTGTAATGGCTAAATAATTAAAAAAGTCAGCATGTTTCGACAACTGCAGGTCTTCGTCAGGGCTTTCAAAAACATGCTGGCTCTTTTAATAATTTAGCCACTAAAATAAAAGCTTTTTAATATTTCCTTCCTCATGTCTCTATATTTTTTGGAGTGCCTCAATTGCCTTTGATCCTACAGGCTGTGACACCTTGATCTTCACTTTGGAAAATTTGCATGCAACAAGGCAACAGCATAAGAAAAGAAGAAGCATGGAATTCAGCAGACTTAATAATTGTGTCATTATCTTAACTGGAGAAGGGGTGAACTGGAAATGTGCATAAGGAGGAATATCTGGTGGAAAGAATCATCCAGGGTTTGATTATCAGGGCGACCACTATGTACTGAAAACAAAACCTTTTGACCTATTTTAGCCACTTGTTTTTTGTGTTTAGAAAGAGTGAAACTTTTATGAATCATATCAGGATGCAAAGCTCAGATGTATGATGTTTAAACAGCCATCTCAACTCAGTGTTGCTGTTACACTACATCCAGCCACAACTTACGCCTACCATACACTAGAACAGCGGTTCCTAACCGGTGGGTCAAGGTCCAAAAGTGGGTCAAGGGCTCATTCTTAATGGACCGAAAGTGATTCACGAATGTGTCAAGTTTGTAAAAGACACACTTAATGTTTTGAGTATAGTAAATTTCCAGCACAGGGCTGCCATTTCCTGCTGTAGAACGAGTGACTAACGGACAGCTTACTGACAGAGACAGCAAACAAACTTGATGACATGACCCAACGCAAGTACAAAGCTGAATATATTAAACCTTGTGGACCTTGAACTAATGACTAATGACTAATGATGAAGGAGAAATCTGGACCCAATGGTTGGACCAGTTGGGAACCACTGTACTAGAAGACTTTGATAATATTTTTTAAAGAGTGTGACACCCTCTCATTTGTAAAGATTATGTGAGTTTTTAGTAACACACTACAAGATTTTGCAAAGACTATGGATCTTGCAGGGTCACAATTTGCAAGACTACAACTAGATTCCTTTTGATATTATTTCACATCCTGCTCTTAGTGGAAAATATGATGCCAAACTTCCTTTAAGGGACGCAAAAACACATATCTCTAGAAAGAAGATAAAAGGCATCATATGTAGACAGTGTTATTGCAAATTAGGAGACTTGTTCTTGTCTCCTCAGAGTCCCCATCAAGGTAACATCCTACCTGCGTTGCTGCTTCCTGTTTGGTGCTTCACTATTTGCATGAGCCAAGACTAAATTTTACAATGATATTAAACATGATTGATTTTTGTCAGAACAGCAAGATGATAAAAAGACTGACTTAAGACAGCTTGGATTGAGTTTTACGATCACCTCTCAGCAAAGAATCAAGATCAAGGGAACACACATTCACAAGACAAGAAAATGACTTAATAGTACCTTGGCTGCTGTTGTGGCTGTGAACATGGTAAAGTTTACAATTTGCTGCTGAAATTTAGATTCTCAGCTTGAGCTAATCCTTTTGAATTTTACTGATTGTATAAATTGAACTAATGTGCAAGCCAGTTAAGTTGAAGGCAGTCTATTATACTACAAACCAGGAAGGTGAGACCTCCTTATTGTCTTACAGTAAGGTACAAAATTATTAGCTTCAATGTTTCGAACCATCTGTCAGCCCAGGTGTAAATATATACAAGGGTAATGTGCATTCATCTTCAGTGTTGGAAGTTGCTAACATCCAAACCAGGCTTGTGAGTGTTCTCACTTTAGATCGTAATGTGATGTAATGTCAGATATCAACTACAGTTGGCAGACCTTTGCAAAATCCTGGTGGCATCCTCGAGGCTCACGTCCACGCCAATGGTGCGCAGAGAGTGCTGGATCTCTGCTACATCTATCTGACCTGCAAATATCCACCAGTCACACACAGTCAGAGAGAGAGAGAGAGAAAAGGGAGAATGTAAAACATGTTAAAATTATCTCAGTGTAAACATTTTGCAGTAAAGGTAACATCAATAATTATTACAAATGTGTACTGCTGACTGCTACAGACCATCATTGTTCCTGTCCAGGTGACTAAACATGAGTTTGAGCTGTTTTTCATGAGTGTAAAGATACTGCGTGAACTCCTCAAAGTCCAGTACTCCATCCTGGTTGGTGTCCCCGGCCTCCACGATCTGGAAACACAGACAGCCAGGTCAATGAAAAGCAAATGTCTGGGCATATGGCAGATTTTTGGTCAGGGAAAAAAAACAAAAAGTTACAAGAACAAACCCTAAGGTGCCTTCATCATGCTCGTCAGAGAACTGCCTGGCCCTTTTTTCTTTGTAATTTGGGACAAAAATTAGCCCATCCACACCAGGATCTTCAGTATCATGCTTTTGGATTATTGTAAAGACAGTCTATGATTAATTCTGTACAACAGCATAAGTTTGTGCAGTTTATCAGCACAAATACAACAGAGGTGACCGAGACAACTGTGAAATACCACAAGACCAAGACTGCACTCCAGGTTAGTAGTCTTTAAATACTCCTCTACCTTGCCATCTGTTGGACAAATAATGCAACAGCATGTAGTGTCCAGGGGCGCCCCCACCCAGAAATTTTTCATAGGGGTGGCCAGACAGGGCGACTGACAATATTGGTGTGGTACACAAAAACAAAAAGAATAAATGAATTTCAGTTTCATTCGATTATGTTGTTCTTGTATACTGGCTGAGAGTTTGGGAATTGCTTACTAACATCTAGGTTCATATTTTACAGTCTGTGTGACTAATTATCTGATGTTCAAAGACTAATACCGTTACATTATGAATTCCACAACAACTCTGTTTTAATATGTTATGTATCTGTATATACTGTACGTGTCACGTGATTCATTGATCTTCAAATAGGCTGGTTGTCCTTTTCCGTAAAAAGACAAATATACAGCTTTAGTATAAAGGAGTGCATTGATTGTAAGGAACTAAACATTTACTGGGAACAAGCCTTCTCAAGTTTAAAGGAGACTTGTGGGTACCAACAGAACCCATTTTCATTCAGATATCTCGGGGTGAGAGTTTAAGGGACCACATTGAAAATGGCCATGCCAGTTGTTCCCTCACCAAAATCTAGCCTAATTTAGGAGCCTCATTAAGCCCCTTTCCCAGCAAGATATGCTGACATGGCTGGGTGTCTTAGATTGTCTAATTTCACAAGAGACTACCTTTGTGCTACCTTAAGAAAATGAGTGCACCACCACCACATCTTAAGGACAGGTATGTTGACCTCCAATTATTTTCCCCTGGTGGGGGCCAGTGGCAGGGCCAGCAATTGTATGAGGGTGGCCATAGCACCCCTAGGCTCCCCCTTTGGGCTTCACTGGTTGTGTCAACAACCAATATAAAAAAGAGTAAAATATTGTACAGTTTGTGTTCATTTAATTAGTTTGCCTGTTGAGCCATTAAACACATTCAAAAGTTACAAAAGATATGATAATAATTAGATCTCTTATTGATTGTGTTGCTTCTAGCTCTGCATTTGGAGCAGTGAGAATTTATTTGAAGGTCTTGTTAATTAATTACAGTGTAAACATTTAATGGTAATTTAAATAAATACAGAAGATATATAGTCCGTGTTTTATCAGATCTTCATTATTCTCAAAAAGTTCAATTTTCCCCCACGATCAAGTCACGTAACTGAAACACTGTCAAAAAGTATTGTAGTAGTAGCCCCAGCCAAATATGATTTACTCTAACATAGTCTGAATCAGCTGTTTCCTAACTGTCTTGGCTTATGACCCCATTAAAGCAAAGCTATGTCTATTTGTGACTCCTAATCACTGGTTGCATAAGTCTACTGGTGATGGTTCGTTCAACCAGAGTGTAACCAGAGATAGAAACATCTGAAAATAATTAAAATTAAGCAACTTTGTGTAGCAGAAATATGTTTTTTGCAACCAAACAAAATAAATGTGCAGACATGCAAATCGCTTCAATAACAATACTGACATAACCAATAAGAAATGCTACAGATGAAAACACTGACAATGATCCACGTGTAGGACCTAGAGAAAGGTTATCGTTCTCATCTTACAAAGTCCTGCAACTTGGACTAAAATAGACAGCGTGCCCTTTACATGCACACACACACACACACACACACACACACACACACCTAAAACTTAAAGACTAAACTACTTTGTGGGGACTTGCATTTTGTCCCCAAAAGGGGAGCGAGTCCCCACAATGTGGGTGTGTAAACATGTTTATGTCCCCAAAACATGAGTAATATATACTCACACACACACACACACACACACACACACACAGAGGAGAGAGTGAGAGGCAGTACGAGAGAAAGTGCCAGGAGAGAGACTGACTGTGTGTATACAAAATAAAGTCATGCTGTTGATGTTCTTGGCTTCTGCTGTTGCACAAACAGTGACGGCAGATCAGGAGGGTCAAGGATCATGAAATAGGGAGGAACTCATCTCACAGGCCTTCAGTGGATGTTTAATGTGGCGAGAATCAATTATTGGGTCCTCGAATTCACTATTTGATAAGGAAATCCCTGTAAACACCTTCTCTCTGTCTTTCTCCCACTCACTCACACACACACACACACACACACACACCATAGGATTTGTTTTAACAGTGGCTCTGTCACCAGTCTGACAACAAATTACCGCAAATATTCCACTTCTAGTTGAATTTTTAAGCAATATAACAGCTGATGTAATCTATGGACCAGGTAGGAAACCACCTCCTTGGTTTGTCAAATGAGCCATTCTCTGTATGTGCATGTTGTTAACATAGTTTTAGTATAGAACAAATAAGGTCTAAATGATTGATTGACTGATGGCGACATGGTGTAAGATGAGAAGCCTTATCTATCTCCACTGACCCAGATTCTTTAATCTCACCTGAGCGCTGACACTGGGAAGTTATTTAAAGGCCTTAATATAAGCAGCTGTATTTGTTCAATGGGACATGATATACCCACACCTCACATACATGCCACTGTAAGGTATCCCAGTAAACAAACAGGTGTGTGTGATATAGGTGTCCTGCTGTCTTACCCTGTCCACGGTGCCTTTGGAAAGCCCCCGGCTTGCCAGCCCTGCCCGCAGTTCAAGGATATCGATTCGTCCATCTTTGTTGACGTCCAGCTGATCAAACAGCTCAGCCCAGCGCTTCTTCCTCTCCTGGTCCGGACCAGGGGGTTTTCTGTCCTGGCAGTGCGCCCGAGGGAACCAAGTCCATCGGGGTGTCATAACTGGTGCCAGTCAGAGTCAGCTGATAGGATAAAGGGGCATCAAATTAATCACCGCAGCCTGACACAACACAGCTCTTACGTCTACTCAAGCCTTAATCCCTTAATCACTTTGAGTATAAATAATCTAAAGCAAACTTGTGATGTACATTTAGTTAGACCAGTGGTTCCCAACCACAAGGTCGGGACCCAACAGTGGGTCACAAGATGACTCTGAGGGGTCATTAGAAGAGAACTCCAGTGATTTAACATTGTAAGGCTTTAAAGGGACAGTTCACCCTAAAATCATAAGTAAATATTTCAATCTAGATTGTTTTGGTGTGAGTTCCAGAGTGTTGGAGGTATCAGCCACCGAGATGACTGCTTTTTCTCCACTATAATGGAACTAGATGGCATTTAGCATGTAGTGCTCAAAGTGTCAAAAAATACATTTGAAAAACTCAGCAGCAATGACTCTTTCAGGACTCTTTCCATCTACTCAAGGACAAGATGCTTGTGCTTGTGACAGCGGGAGATGTAAACATTAATGGTGTCTTCCCCCTGTGGTGTTAGCTAGCTCAGTGGTGCTAGGTGAGCTAGCAGTCGCTGTATGCTTCCTTCTGTGCAGCGATACAGTTGGCGAGTGTAGTTTGGTAGAGAGAAAATAGTTCCTACATGAAACTGCTCACAACAAGGTCTGTGGATTATCTTGAGTAACTAGGTCATGATTTTTGGAAAGAGACATTGCTGTTAATTATTTCAAATGTTTTTGGGGTTTTTTGGCGCTTTGAGCACCACAAGCTGAGTGCCATCTAGTTTAATTATATTTGAGAGAAGGCAGACATCCCTACGGCCGATATCTCCAACACTCAGTAACTAATACCCAAACAATCTAGATCATAGACTGTATATAAAGATAGACGACATGTCTCTGCATACCCCCACTGTAAAGAAGTGAAGCTAAAATATATTGGATAAGGCTGCTGCCATTTTGCTTTGGTGACGTCATACAGAGCCAGAGTCTACCCAGTAGCAATCACCGCGGTATCAAGTTACCTGCCCATACACCCATCTGACCAATCAGCAGCACCAATGAATGCAAGCCCACTGATTGGCTCGCACAGCTGTCAATCATATTGTAAAATCCCAGTTTTATAGCATTAGATAACTAATTAAAACCAAACTTATCAGACAAATTATTGCTTGAACATACGGCAGCGTGAAAAAAAAAAACACTTTTAAATGACAGAGACCATCTTCTAGTTTGTCCCATCCACTAATATAGAGAAGGCGGGTTTTATGACCTAGCCTATACTGCAGCCAGCCACCAGGGGGGTGGTCAAGATATTTCGGCTTCACTTTTGGGGAGCTGCCATGATGTCATCTATCTTTATACACAGTCTATGATCTAGATTAATAAATAGCACTGCAGGTAAGGAGGAGAATATGTATTTTTTTTAATTTTTTAATATATTTTTGGGGGTGAACTGTCCCTTTAACATTCAGAAAAGTGGAAAGTTTTGTAAACATGGATTAAAACTGAGGCAGCAGAACCAGAGATATTGTCTTTTTTATTCCACACATTCTTAAAAAACCTGCGCCTACATTACCCACAATGCCACTCTCAGTTAGAGATTGGTTAATGTAGCTGCAAGACTAAAGCTCAAAGCAGAAGATAATCACATTCTTGGAATCAAATGTCAATTTATTATTTTTTTCAGACATTCATCTTAAAATAATTTTGTTTTCTGTGAAGGATCATTTTCATATTTTAACAATAATTCAAATAGAAGAAAGGAAAAATATTACACCCTGGTTGAACAGACCACAACATGTAGACTTATGCAACCAGTGATAAGGGGTCACATGCACACATAGCTTTGCCTCAGGGGGTCACAAGCCAAGATTTAGACTGTGTCAGACGTGACATGATATTTGGCTGGATTACACTGGATATAGGCTACAGTGTGTTCATGTTATTATGTTCTATAATATAGGACATAGGGGGCACCACAGCCAAATAAAGCAATAACAACAAGCATGCTTCAAGACCTCAGATTGCATCACATGTCTGGTTTGTATTATAACACAATGTCTCTGTGTGTCCTCCCACTGAATATTTACTCAACACATGCAGCTATTCTGCAGCACTGTTTTACATTATTAAAGCAGTATTTTAGAAAAACATTTTACAAGGTCTGAGGAATTTCTTGATTGGCCAAACATATAAAATTATTAGCCTAGTCATTATTACCGATATATTAATAATGCAATAGCCTGAATCATTCTAGCTCGCGCAGTTTAATCCACATGCAGCAATTTCTCTTCCACATATATTCATGACCGCGTTCATCTTGATCTTCACACTGTTATGGTCTAAAAAAAAACCTACGAGACCATTTTGTGACTCACTCTGTGTGTTTATGTCCAATCCGAGCCGCGGCCCATGTCAGGATGCAGAGGATCAGGACTCAGAGGAACCAGCGGGTCCGGAGCGCACTTTACTGGATCACAGTCCGTCCTGACACAGGATTTGATACCAAACAAGCAGCTCCCTGTGGGTTTAGCAGGTCCTTGTCCACCAGTATTGATCGCTCCGTCTTCTAGGTTGCACAGCGGCTCTTATTGAGGAAGCAGGAAGCGAGGAAACAGCCGCCGCCTTCCCCGCTGGTGAAGGCTGCTGACGGCCGGGTGTCAGATCCGTGTGTGTGTGTGTGTGTGTGTGTGTGTGTGGAGGATGAACAGGCTGGGACACTGTGTTTATACAGTCTGTGGGTGACTGCTCGTGACTTGTATCAGACACTTGACAAAGCATACTGAGTTTCGGCTGCTTGCTCTTAAAAATCTCACAGGTTATTAAAGAAAAAAAGGTCCTCCACCAGGCCCGTAGCCAGGAATTTTGAGACACTGAGGTCACCGGTCCAGGGTCCACCCCCCCTCCCCCCCCCCATAAAAAAATGTGACCTATTAAGAAAATGACAAAAGCATCAGAGAACCCAGCTTTCAATTTCTCTGAGCTATTTGGGATTAGAAGGACATTGTCTTTGAACTTTAAAGGGATAGTGCATCCAAAAATGAAAATTCTGCCATTATCTACTCACCCATATGCCGAGGGAGGCTCAGGTGAAGTTTTAGAGTCCCCTAACTGCCTCTCTGTGCACTGCGCTCACGTGTGCGCGCTTGCACGAGACCGTGAGACACGGGCACCGCGTTCATGTGTGTTCACGTGCTTTTGCTGGTCTTGTGCGCAAGCGTGCACACGTGAACATGGTGCCCAGAGAGGCAGTTAGAGCTACAGGCTACAATGAGGCTAAAAACAGAGTTCAAATGACATTTTTCCAAACAACTTTTTACATCGGGGCTTTAGGACACTTGGATACGGACGAGCAGTATGGAGATATTTTGTGGTTTCAGTGTGTTTTTGGATGTTTGAATCTGTAAGCCCCCATTAGGTGTGCTTGTGCTGTTACCCACTCTCCCCTGGGATCTCCACAAGTGTTGTGAGGACTCTAAAACTTCACCTGAGCCTCCCTCGGCATGTGAGTGAGTAGATAATGGCTGAATTTTCATTTTTGGGTGCACTATCCCTTTAAGTAGTTTTTGACAAAATAATGACACTCTCATCTGAGGACAATGGGTTTATTTTTAATAGTCACAAGTGTGTAATGAACATTTGGCGCAACAACAAAACTGAAAACACCGCAACATATTGTAATGTGATGGGTTACACACCGTAACGTTATCTTCAACTAACGCTAAAACAACGTCGCAAGGTTAACGTTAGGCTACTCCTCTTATTTGTAATATTTGCCAAATGTAGGCCTAGACATGTATGCAATTAGCTAACGTTACTGAGATGACTTTAATACTTACCTCTAAAGTTTCCCTCGATTATGGAAGCTAACTTTGTTAGCGGGGATTTAGCACAGCAAGCCAGGTGCAGCGTTCAGTCTGGTTGCCGGTGTAGGTGGGTGTGTGTAGTGTCTTCCTCACTCCTCCACAGCTCCACCCTCTCGTCCAAAAATGTGCATATAGGCTATTTGCAAATTCGAGGCTTCAAAACGGCAGTCCACAAACCACTGGGTGGCGTCACGGTGGCTATGTCTATTATTTTTACAGTCTATGGTTAGGGGTAACTGTTCAAGTCTAAAGCTGTTCACTTCAACACCTGAACATGGCTGTGCAAAACAAAAATGCAAATAATGCAACATTTCTAAAAGTCTTGTGATTTGTTATTTTCGAGCTCTGAATTACTTTTCCTTGCTCCACACTCCAAGCTAGGAATGTCTTTTTTGTCTGTAGGAACAGTCTGTCACACCTGACTGGCCTATATAAAATGCAGCAATAATACAGTAAAGTTCCAATGTCCTCAAATTACTTCTTTTTAATGAACAGCGTCTGAGGTTGTATGTAGACAGTATTAAACTACAGATGTTATTAAGCACAAATAAACATAAAGAGGTATAGTAAACCAAAATGTAATGCCCTCAGTGCAATGTATGCAAAATTCAGAGCGCATGAGTTGTCTGGAAAATGGCTCTCAACATGGAAGTGGCTGAGAGGGTGGCTAACAGCTAACAATGCTAACGCCATAAACAATGCTAAGGAACAGCAACAGTGCTAATGGTGTTAACCAGAGGAAACCAGAGGGGGGGAGCTACACTGAGGCCACAACCGCATCCTGATATCAGCGGTAACCACTGTATGAGTGCAGTGCAAAATGGTGGCAATGAGCGAGTCAGTGAGATACACACTGCATGTGTGGCTAGATTACAACACACACAGAGGTAGCTTGACTTCAGTCTTTGCTCAGGGCACCATTACTCCACAATAAGTTTACATAGCAAATAGTGGTCTGCTGCTATATGAATGCTCTGAATGTTAAAAACAGAACCTCTAATGATCCCTCCAGACATGATTAATTACATAGGCTATAAAAATACTCTTTTATGACAATAGTTGTCTGATTGTCTTTTGACAAAATAATTTCTTAAAAGCACATTAATTCTTCATTTCATTTCATTTATTTGTCTCATGACCATATCACATGGCATCCAGTACAAACATTACACACAATAACAAAACAATGGCACACGGCGTGGCTAAAGTACAGCCAATGCTACTTAAACAAAGGAAGGACATTCTTCAAAAAATAACCTAGTTTACAAATGACTTGTGGCTTATCTGATTGTAATAATAAAATTAATGTAAACATAGATGGACAGTTTAACTAATACCTGTCTCTGTAAGTCATCCAGCTTACATTCTGACATTCAAACAAAATATGAAACTCATCTCCCACATGATCATCACCACAGAGGCTGCAGATCCTCTGGTTTCTGTCCAGCCTGTCATATCTTCCTGTTACTTTAGGAATTCTGGTGTTATTTACTCTAAAATTACAAACAGCCTGTCTGTACTTTTGGTTTTCATGCAACAGATACTTCTCCAGTTTAAACTCTTGTTTAGTTTTGACATATATCACATGATGTCATACTTCCGAGCTCACTTTGCCACTTTTGTATAAACTGATATTTAACCTCTGTTCAACAGTTGGTTTTAACCAGCTAATGTCGCTACACTTTTGTGTGAGCCAGAGGTGAAACAAGCCACATTCATCCAGTATCTGCTTAACCTGCAAGACCCATGGTGACACATATACGCTTGTATTACGCAGGCTGAGCAAACTGTTGTACATTATTCCACTAAGTTTAGTTTTACACTAAATATAAATACCACTGTTAGAGATTACATATGCTACTGAGAGGCTTTTTCTCTCTTTGAAAATTGCTTCCATGTATCAGCATCCAAAAAAAGGGGGATTAATAGTGAGCTGGGAGGTGCACCCTGAAAATATACAGTATAATAAGAACATGCACATGACACAGAGTTGAACAAAAATTGACAATATTCTTTAAAGAGACATTTTTATATGTTTTAATTACATAAAATCATTTGCAGGGATATAAAGATGTGCACTGACCACAGAGAGACACATAAGAGGTTCACTAAAGTGTCAAAAAAGCATAACAATATACATTATAAGATACCTCATCCATATTATTTTACACCAGTCCATCTTCATAAAATGGGTTCACGAGAAAACAATCTATGCTGGAAATGTAAAAGGCAGGAAAGCACCCTTATCCATGCAATGTGGGCCTGTTCCTGACTCACTTCAACTTTGCCTCTTGGGGGACAGGTCATGTCTATCCATGATCTCCAAACCAGCATAGCTCTACCTCTAACAGGCTTTATCTCAGCTGCTAGGGTCATCCTTCGCCACTGGAAACGTCAAGTTCATCCTGAATATAAGAGTGGGTCAAGTTAATGACAGATATTGTATCATTTGAGTTAATGATAGCCAGTCTGTGTAACTGTAGAGAACATGTCATAGGAGCTAGACACTGTACTAAAATGAACTGCAATTGTAACATACAGATGGAGGGAGTGGGCTTTTGTTTCTCTTGCTTTGGCTGTGTCATAGGGACCTTTTGTTTATTTGTTTGTTGGTATCATTGCTGTTGTATTTAATGACCTTGCCCGGGGTTTTGTCTCATTTTTTCCATCAACATTATAAACTCATTTCTCCATCCTGCAGTCCTCTGACTCTTCAGAGATGAGTGATGCTGCCAGCCCACCTGCTTCTACATCATCACTTTATTCTCTTGTGATAAATACTCTAAAGGTGACACACACACACAAACATAATGGAGGTCCTCCTGCCATAATTTTCCTATTATATGTGCTGACTTGATTTCTATCTCCCGTTGACAGGTGAACATAGCCTGTACGCATGTACGACACCTCCCTCATTCAGCTGTATTCTTCTCTATTCAGCTCCCGTCTCTGCACCTGCTGGTCTGAGGGGAGCAAATTGACAGATCAGACAGCAAACAGAGAGGCTATATAAGAGCAGCACACTGCAGTTGGGAAGACTGGCTGACTGAAAAACTCAGAGTAAACACTGTGCTCAAACACAGCCTGGTCTGTTCGTTTGACCTCTGCAAGTTTTTATCAAACGACACACCTCAATGTGTAAGGGGCTCTCCTCTCTGCCCACGTCATGCCTGGAGAAGTAAGTATGCAACTGGCACGTCATGTTATTTGTATTAATCAGAAAGTGTTGTATACGTGTGTGATTTATTGTGCCTGTGTGTTTCAGGGCAAAAGTGATGAGGGTGAAGTTGAGCCATCTGGCTGAGACTCACCACAAGCACAAGTAAGTAAACCTACTGAACCCAATATTTAAAATAAATCCACGTATCTGCCAGTTATCACACTGAAGCTGAATTCTGACTGTTTCTGTCTCTCTTCTCAGGGTTCAGGAGGGAAAGGCTCCTCATGACCTGGAAACTCTGCTTAACAGCAAAAGTAAGAAAGGCTTTTTTTTTTTTTTACCATTTGTTTCTTTATTTTCCAATATCAGCTTATTATTTCAGCAACACATGTAACAGCTCTTTTTCACAGGAGACATTTTGACACAGCACAGCAGGAAAAGCACCACTGTGAAAAACAAAATGGTTGATGTATGAATTTAATTAAGCTGCGTCAGTTTTGTAAGGTGCATGCTGCCTCACTGTAAGCTCGAATAGAACAGATCAATCGCTAACATAAATGGTAACACATCTACTTTTCCTATTGCGACAAGACAAAATGTCTGTTGCCATGTACAACAATGCAAAAAACTCAAACACTGTTAAGCTTGTACAGCAGGTAGTTTTCATGTATCTTTCAGTATGTCTCTGAATGTCTCTGTTCATACAACACTAATCTTCAGGAACGTCATGACATCCTCTTCAAGTTGCAATAATTTAATGCTATAATAGTGACTGAATATTAGCATTTCAATAGAAACATGTCATAAAAATAACAATAGTTGATTGCTCTGATATAAATATTGGTCAACAGAACTGTTACTTGCTCTGGAAAAAATATTACTGCTCAATTTAAAGAGAAAAAACAAATACGTTATTTCAATTCCTCTGATAAAAAGACAATTTCATACACAATAAAAAATATACTTGACCCATTATACTCTTGCAGATTTCAATTCTACAGCCTTACTTGGTCTGGTATGACCTGTAGCTCTGGTGGTTAATGCTAGCAAACTTAAGACTTTGACTCTTTTCTATGTGTTACTGTTATTAACATTTTAGCATTTACCCCAATTTCCAGTAAAGGAGATCTATTATGTTTTTCCATAGTGTTACAATGAAAGATGTTCATACTAAATGTGGCCAAAGTTTAAAACAATGAGGTAAACATATGTAAGAGTAATCCCTCTAAGCAAAAACTTGAGGCCTAACACGATCTGAATACTCTGTTTCCAACTGTTTTGTCTACTCTGGCTGCAAGATGAAGCTGTAATGTGACGTATTTCTGTATATGGTCATCTGCTACAGGAACACCACTGTAAGTGTTTACATTAACTTAGCCTACGCAGCCAAATGTAGCTACATACTTACGTCAGGGAAACTTAAACTTGGTATCCGATGTTGTAAATTTCTCTTCCATATTCCTGTTGGAACGTGTCTGGTTGTGTTTGGAAGCTTTTATGGGTGATTTTTCGCGGTAGAAAGTGCTGCCATATTGTGTTACAGTCATTCCCCTCGATGGCTCAGAGATACGGAGCACCTGAAAACACTGACCAATCAGAGCAGACTGGGCTTTTTTTTTTTGGAGGGGCGGCTTGAAGAGACAGGCGCTAAAACACTGCATCTCAGACAGAGGGTGTTATTTGAGCATTAAAGCATGTAAACATATTCTAGCAGAAACCTTAAATACAAGTAGGCTATAAATGAGCACAATAGGTCCTCTTTAAATGTCACTACTGTGCACACTGCTGAAAGTCACATAGCCTCACTTCAATATTAAATATATTAAAACATTTAAATAAATCCATATCAAATATTTTGATACCACTGATATCACACAAATCTTCCATGACACAGCCACATGGAAAAGGTGTGTTGAGGGTTGATTTTTGAATAGTTAATTGGCCATCAGAGCTGCATCGTAGAGCCAAGCAGGCATGAGATGCTCTGAAGTTTTGGCCTGAGTTGTTTGCAGCTTGCTTTTCCTTCTTCTCACATTAACCCATCTTGATTCATCACGTCCTGTTTCTCTCTTCTTCTTCTCCTTTTCTCTTTCATCCATCTGTCTCCCAGGCGGTCTGCAGGCATTTCGCAGCTTCCTGTGCTCAGAGTTCAGTGAGGAGAACCTTGAGTTCTGGCTGGCCTGTGAGGACTACAGGGTCTCTCCTTCAAACCTGCAGAAGACCAAGTCCAGCATCATCTACAGCCAGTTTATCACCCCTGAAGCTCCACAGGAGGTGGGTGGAGAGGAGAGGGTGACGCGTGCAGTCAGGATGAAGAGTAGACTCTAATTAAAGAGCATCTTCTAATTATCTGTTTTCCCCTCAGGTAAACTTGGACGCTGAAACCCGGGAGGCTTTGTTGAGTGTGACGAACTCTCCATGTGCCGACACATTCGACAGGGCACAGCAGAGAATCTACAGTTTGATGGCGAAGGACTCCTTCCCGCGGTTCCTGCGCTCCCCTCACTGCATGGAGGCCATCAAAGCTTTCTAAACATGCTGTTCATTAACACAGACCTGCTTTAGAAACAAGTGCTGGTGAATCTGTACTGCTTGAAATGGTGATTGGCAATTATTTTAACAAATATCTTGTTTAGTGATTGTTTTCCATGTGCTGTCCTTGCGCACTGTTTGCATAATGCATGCTGTTATTGTCAGGACACTGAGTTGTAGACATAGTTAAAAAGTCTCACATAGACACCTTAATTATGAAACCTAAATGTAGAGAGACTGCATAAGCTACAAGTGACACCCACTCAAGATTTAAATAAATACCTCATAGAAGACAACTCAATATGTTGCATTTAATGGCATCGGTATCAATAAGCTCTATTTATTTCATGTTCTGGCATGAGCTGCTTTAGACTGAATGTTGACATCAGAGCATTGCTCCGCCTTATCACTGGCTGGTTTGCTATCAGTGCTGGTGTGTGGCTGGATTAGCGGCCTTGAGTAAATTCTCGCCCACTTCTGTAGCTGATGGTGTTTATTCAAGAGAACCTTGAGCATGCTTCACCTGGCTTCACCTTGGCTTCTTAATCCAAAGTCAGAGCAGGGCACAATGGTGCATCACTGTGGTAATGTTCAGTCATTGGTGTAACGTAACTATGTACATTTACTCAAGTAAATCCAAGGTATTTGAAGTTTTCTTTTCTTTCATGCCACTTTCTACTACATTTTAGAGGGAATATTGTTCTTTTTTTACTTTACTACATTTATTTGACAGTTTTAGTTACTAGTTTCTGTACAAATTAAGAATTTTTGCACACAAAACAAACTATTCTACTCTATTAAATAAAATAATCGATTAATGGGAAAAATAATCAGCAGATTAATCAGTAATGAAAATGATCATTGGTTAAGGAAAAAAAAAAAAAAAAAAGCTCTACCTCAACAAAATACACCAGTAAAATAAATCGAATAGAATGCATGAATAATAATTATCTAATGATGTAATAGTATAATATTATGTCACACAGGAAATATATCTGCACTGAGTACTTTTCCTGTACATTTTCCTGATTATACTTACATATTTGTACTTAAGTAACATTTCCAGTGCAGGACTTTTATTTGTGAAAAAGTATTTCTACAGTGTGGTACTAGTACAGCGGCTGAAGCTCAGAAGTAGAGCAGGTCATTCACTGATCGGAAGATCAGCGGTTCAATCCCTGACTCCTCCAGTATGCAAGATACTGAACCCCAAATTGCTCAGGATGGCTGTTCTATCAGTGTGTGAGAGCATATGAATGGTTACGGGGGAGCAGGTGGCGCCGTGTGTGGTAGCCTCGGTGAATGTGTGTGTTAATGGGTGAATGTAAGATGTGGTGTAAAGCACTTTAAGTGGTCAGAGGACTAGAAAAACACTATAAAAGTGCAGTCCATTTAATTTAACTTAAGTAAACGAATACTCCTTCCATCACTGTGTACAGTATTCTGCCCAGTCACACTGCTTTGGTTAAGTTCAGGTCTTTAAATCAAACATATATATTAAAGTGGAACTAACACATCAAAGTTTTACTCACATGATGTCACCTGAGTCAGCCTTAGACAAGTCTGAAGACTACAAGTTTAAAAATGACATATACTGGGGGTGAGGATTTAGAATTAAGTGAGGTTAGCAGACCTGTGTAGCCCCCTCTTCATCTTTGCTTCAGGCTCATGGCTACATTAGCTACTACTGCCATAACACACCTGAATCTCTGACCAAACTGTTGGGGGTCAAGTCACACAGGCTGTCCACAGGTATACACAGGTTAAATGTAAAACTTTTAAAAACCTTTGTCGTACCACTTTAAAAGAAAACTAAACAAACATCAAGATAAAATGACACTGGTGATAGTCCTGAGCATGTAATTGAGTACATTTATTTAAGTAATATACATAAAATATGTGGTACTATGCAGGATTTCCCTTACAAAAGAAAAAACATTGTATAGACTCATACAGAACCCACTCTCAGTGTGTGGCGCCGTATTTTTCTGTAGAGACCCTGCCTGTATTTTTTTATATTCTGTGATCGGGACATTTATGTGTGTGTATCCCACAGCCCTTGGGTGAGATAAGAGCTTTATAAAAAGGTGGTGACCAGGTGCCAGACTGACAAAAAAACAGCCCCTGCAAATATAGCACAGTTATACTCTGTGGTTGGCAAGCATGTTTACAAAAAAATTACAACAATCTGACATAGTAAACCTTTGAATACAATTTTTACGTACTTACACTTTACTTCAGTATTTAGGTTTAGGTTTATTTTATTTGATATGGACATCACAAATACATTGAGACTGTCCCAGTGGACAGACCAGATGCCTTTGCTTAGGTGTATGTAGCACACGTGCTAATTTTCAACACCAGTCCATAGGCGGCATTCTAAAAACACAAAGCATATAATTAACAAATGGGATAAAACAAACAGATGTTATGATTGCAAACAGTAATATTCAAAGATCACAGAGCATATGATCAGCAGTAGGAGATAAAACAAACAAAATTCATGATCGCAACCGTGGTATTAGTAACAATATTAAACTAAGTCCATATTTATACATGTGAACATTGTTGTTTTGCTTTTAACCATGCTTTTAGTCCTCTGTTAAAAGCATTTGTATCAGTCTCCAGTTTCAGGTGAGTGGGTAGAGTGTTCCATAGGTTAACGCCTTTTACTGAGAAGGCAGATTGTCCAAATGATGTTGTACACCTGGGAACAATGCAGTCACCATTGTAGGAGGCTCGTGTGTTCATTTGACTTGAGCTCAAACGTCTTTTTATCAGTGCAGAAAACAGGGGTGATACATAGTTATAAAGACATTTAAAAACCAGTCTGATATTTATGTAAATTATGAGATTTTCAAATGCAAGAAGGTTGTGTTTTCTCAGGATGCCACAGTGGTGCCATCTCATGGGTTTTTGATCCATAATTTTTATTGCTTGCTTATATATTGCTACTACGGGTTTCAGAGTGACTTGAGAAGCTTGTGACCATGACGTGATACAGTATGACAAATGGGAGAAAATCATAGCATGCATGTAAAGATGTGCAGCTTTGCATGACAGGTCTCTTCGAATAAAACGAAAACAGTTGAGGTTTGGTTTAACCTTCTTGCAGATGTACTGTACTTGTTTATCAAATTTTAAGTTCTTATCTAATATAATCCCCAAGTATTTGACCTTATTCACCTCAGTAATTATTTCATTTTTAATCTTCACCTCAAACAAGTCACACATAGGCTTATTGCGGATAGAAATGCACATAGAAACAGTTTTCTTAACATTCAGGGTTAAATGAGACAACTCAAGCCAATTAGTGACTTTCTCAAGTGCTTGTGTGAGGTGGTCAGCTGCTTTGCTAGCTGTTTTAGCAGATACATAGATGACAGTATCATCAGCGTACATTTGGCAGCTGACACCTGGACAACTTAGCGGCAGGTCATTAATGTACATAGTGAACAACAGTGGTCCAAGTATGGACCCCTGTGGTACGCCCATGTTGTTGGTGAGAAATTGGGATTTTTCCCCATTTACCTTGACACATTGTTGTCTTTCCTCCAGATATGACTTAAACCACTGAATGGCATCTGCAGACAATTTAAAACATTTTAGCTTGGCCAGGAGGACACTGTGGTCGACAGTGTCGAAAGCCTTTTTGAGGTCCAAGAACACTGTCCCCACAACATGTCCCCTGACCAACAGACCCTTGACCCTCTCAATAAGATAGCAATTAGCTGTTTCTGTGGAGTATTTAGGCCTAAATCCAAATTGCTGTGTATGGAGCAGTTGGCTGGTCTCCAAATATTCCATCAGTTGTATAGCAACAACCTTTTCCAGGACTTTTGAGACTATAGGGAGAATGGCAATAGGCCTCTAGTTACTTGCCATGTCCTTGTCTCCCGACTTGTAAATCGGGGTAATTATTGCTGTTTTCCAGCTTTCTGGGAATGTATTAGTTCTTATTGAGAGGTTCACTAAGTGAGTGATAGGCTGCAATAAATATTTCTGATATTTCTTTATTAAACCAGCGTTTAAGTTATCAATATCTTTTGACGTTGAGTTGTTCATGTTTGTAATAACCTTTTTAACTGTATCACTGGATACTTCTTTAATGCGAAAACCATCTAAGGAGGCATTATCACAGTCTTCAGGGGATGTCTTGAGGTCAGTTGATTTAAAATGGCTTGCTAGTTCGTGTACAGACTCAACAAAAAAGTGGTTAAAAGCATTTGCAATTGACTCGTTACTGTCAATTAGGTTATTGTCTACTTTAAGATTGGTTATTTTAGGGTGTTTATGTTTACTTGTGTCTGTTAGTCTATGGATCTGCTGCCACAGTTTAGAGCTGCTGCCATTAGCCTCTTCAATTAGTTTGTGGAAATAGTTGCTCTTGGCCTTCCATAGCGCAGACACCACTTTGTTCCTCAGACTGGTGAAGGTAAGGTGGTCAGTATTGTTTTTCGTCACTAGAGACCTTTTAAGGGCAAGATCTCTCTTTTTGATGAGTTGGTAGATATCATTATTAAACCATGGGAGGGAGGATTTCTTTGGTCTACTTTTCCATGTTTTTGTATGTTTACTTATCAAGCTGCCTAAAGTTGAGGTGAAATTGTTTACATTGTGATTTATCGTTGACTCCTTAGTTATGGTTTCCCAGTTTACTTGTGATAACTCATATTCAAAATCTGCCATTTTTGACTTAGGAATTCCTGTTGTCTTTTGATTTTCAATTTTGCTATGGTGAATTAAGCGTTTTTTTGTTAGCTTTCTTACTATTAGTATCATATTATGATCTGAGAGGCCAGTGATTAGATTGTACGTTTTTACTGCTCTCTCTGGCCTGTTTGTAAAAATCAGATCAATGAGTGTCTCACTCTTTCTTGTAATGCGCGTGGGTTTATCAATCAGCTGTTTATATTTAAATTTCTCCATGAGTGGTTTCAATTTAGATTTTTCGCTTTTAACCATCCAGTTTATATTAAAATCACCAAGTAAGATACATTCATTACATGTGTCACAGACAGAAAGAAGACTATTTAGTTCATTGTAAAAATCTGCACCATGAGGGGGAGGGTTATACAGAACAACAATATTAAAATTCATATTTGGTGAGAGAGTCACAGTAAGTCCCAAACACTCTAAGTTAATGCTCAAATCAAGGTTAAAACATCTGAAATGCTCCTTTATATAAATTACAACACCCCCTCCCTTGCTCGAGGTTCTATCTTTCCTATAACATGAGTATCCTAATACACTGATTCGATCACTAGAGATATTACAATTCAACCAGCTCTCTGATATACATAAGAAATCCAAGTTGGATTCCATAAGCAGTTTCCTAATCTGATCTATTTTTGGTAATAAGCTTCTGATATTTATATGACCACCTAGCAGGCCTTTAGGTTTTGATTCAGGATTCCAAATAACTTGTGCATGATTTACAGTTTGAAAAAGTTTGAGTTCTCTTTGTTTTGTATTTGCACAAAGACGTGAGGCTATTTTGCCCCTCGTCTGTTTCCGTGTTTGTTTACACTTGCCTACTGTCCCACGTTTGTTCTCGTGATTACTGTCTGTGGTTATCAGCTTGTGTGCATAACCATGGGCATCAGGACTCACCCCAGTGTCAGCGACAAAGTCTTTGGAGCGCTCAGGTTGCGCTGGATGACAGAGCGCTGAGTCCACCGCGGATCCACCGGGATACAGCGCTGGCTGCCACGTTAGCCCAGCAGCTTCCATGGCACATGTAGATCCCCGGCCGTCAGGTGGATCAACTCCAGCGACGGCGGCCGAGTGGATCTGTCCATCCGTCTGTGCCTCCTCCAAACCATCCTGCCGATGGGACATCACCTCCACCACCCGACCCCCAGGAGCAGCACCCGCGCCGACCCCGTCAACATAGACACCTCCCGGCAGCACCGGAGCCCGAGGAGTGGGTTGCAGGATTGTTACAGATGCCAATGCAGGTTGGAGGGATTCAGTCACTGGAGATACAATCTGCGTCGGAGTGTTGTCTTTCGCTGTTGCTTGTTCCGCTTGTTGGAAAATAGGTCCAGGGTTTAGGTGAACATCCCCCGATCGTATTCATAAATGGAGTGAAAATAGGGCCACTGCGCTCATGCAGTTGTTGATTTGAAGTCTGTTCCCCTGGCGAATGGTGTTTCCCTCTTGTTAAAATGCGTAGCACACACCGTCAGTGTTAAATAGGCTTCGACACAACACTGGAAATTTGTGAGGTGACATGACAAAAATCATTTAAGACCTATTCAATATTAAGCATAGATTATATATTAAGGCCTTTTATTAAAAAAAGGTGTTAAGACATTTTAAGGACTGTTGGACTGAGCTCTCCATGTCACCATTTCTAACTAATATATATGGGTTTATGTTGGGAAGCCACCTGTGATTGTCTACACTGTCCGTGTGCAACAGCACTTCCCTGAGCCTTGATGTAGCTGAAGTCTTCTGTTATTCTAAAATCATGACCAATAAAATAATCACAGAGACAGTGATTTACACTTGCAAAGTGTCATGAACCCATCTATCTTAAAGGGTCTTTGACAGTGACAGGTTTAAGACTCACATTTTTTTACTCTGATTATTTGTTGTTTTCTGTACAATCATACAATAGGAATGATACAAACCTGTTTTAGGGTGGTACAATCCAAAGCTCATAAAATCATGGTTTCTTATGTTCTGTTTTCAATCAGGATTTTTAAACAAGCAAACAAATCTGAAACTCCATGAGAGTCAATAAAGTCATGTGGTGCCCCCTAGTGGAGGTGTATATAATTCCCATGACCCTGTGACACACATCACATCTAGCATGTCTCTTATTTTATACATTCATTTGTAAACTGTGCAGTGCATAAGGGGTTTCTCACTACTTCTACATGTCTGAAGTCGGCTGAAACATTCAGGAATCAAAAGCGGCGTCGGTAGCGCCGGCGCCGGCGCCCCATGTACAGAGGCAACGCCTCGCTGCAGCGGTCGCAGGTTCGACTCCGGCTTGCAACCCTTTGCTGCATGTCACCCCCCGCTCTCTCTCTCTCTCTCACCCCATTTCACTCTGTCCTGTACATTAAAGGCAAAAGCCCAAAAAATAATCTTAAATCTGAGTCACAGGATCAATGTCGTTCAAGTCCTTGAGTTTAGCACGCTCAGCCTCAGGTCTGTGCATCATGTCCTAATTGGAGCTGGTTCCTGGACGGGCTGCTCCTGGGCTGCCTTTACCATCAGCCCCTTTAACCACACTCAGTGGCTTGTGAAGGGATGAGCTTGCCTTCTGCGTCACTTCCTGCTCAATCTTGTTCCTGATGGCAACCTCTAGACCCTTCAGGAGCAGCAGAGGAGGTCACGTTAGATTTAAGAAATCAGTCAAGCTGTTAGATTCTTCTATCAGAATAAAAAAGCAGGGCTGAGAGAAAGGTGTCCTCACCTTCTTCAGCTTCTGCTGCTGAACCAGAGCCTGAGGGGAACAGCCATCCAAAAAAACAAAAGACAAACAGAAAATGTCAACCTCAGGGTGACGCTAGATGCAATATCTGATGATCTCCAAATAAATAATTCATCCTCTGGACACCATTAAAGTCTGTACAAAATCTTGGGCACCTACCTCCCTCCGTGGTATCCACACCAGATGCTAAAGCTGATGATCCTGCAGCTGCAACACATTGAATGAAAATTAAATTAGGGTAAAATCAACCATGTTTATCAGAACATGTAGGCACACGGGTAAAGCCCTTTTCAGGTACGGAAGATGAATCATTGCTGCATTCATCAACATTATCTGTTAATGGGATAGTTTGGATTTTTTGAGGTGGGGCTGTCTGTCAGTGTTAGAGTCACCAGCCGACACCACCACCAGTGTCTGGACTTCATAGAGGGATTCATCTTGCTGCTGCTCAGGGCAGACGCCCCGCAATTACAAAATCTTCCTGTAGAGTCTAATCGCCAAAGTCTGTTCTGTCACATCTTAATCATCACGTATTATCTGTTGATCTGTACACCTGTAATCTGTAATACACAATTATCATTACTTTATTTACCTGTCTCTCCTGATTGAACTGTTACTATGGACAACATCTTTAACTAAGTCACTTACTCTCTGTGAGGAATACAGCAAACATTAGTTTTGAACATGATAACTACATCTACATAATACTATCATGTCCTGTACTTAGAATAAACAAAGTCTGTCAACATGTATTTTCAATGAAGAGCTACTCTGCACACAAAGTTTCTGATTTATAGTTTAAGTATAAAATGGGGCCACTGAATATGCAACTACTGTTTTTTGTTCCACAACTTACATTCTGATCCTGAACTGGTGTCTGACAACCGCTGCACCAGATCATTCCTCTGAATTTCCTTGAAAATGTCTTTGGCCACCTTCACAGACTCTTCTTGGGTATAGGACTGCAGCATCAATGTAGCCACGTCGATCCTGTCGCTGTTCTCCCGTTGGCACTCTGTGATGCATTGCAGGTGCCACTTGAAAGCTTTGAACTCTTCATTTCTCAGCTCATACAATGTATTCAGAAGCTTCTTTACCTCCGCTGTGATTGTTGCTCTCTGATAAATTCAAAGTGAATAAACAAACGGATATGATTTAACTACGTCATTTAACAATAACAACATGCCTAGTTTTTTAAGTTTTTAAATATTGAAATCTTTAATTTGACTCTTTCCCCTTGACTGCTGTAACACTGGAATTTCTCAATTGTGGGATTAATAAAGGTGTATCTTATCTTATCTTATGTATTGGTGGATAATATTGTTGCTGAGAAGCTCACTGACTACAGCATCAGTTGTGTGAGAACCATCAAACTTAAGACATGTGAGATCACTTACCTGGTGTTTATCTGAGGACAAAGGGAAAAAAAATATGTTTCATGAGTGACAGATTAAAAATCTGACCATGAATATTTTGCATCAGACTCTCTTGATTCATAAAGATAAACTATACAAAGAGGTTTATCACATAATGTCCGGCGTTGCTGGCAGCAGGTTATTTCAGCATCGCTAATTAATTCTGAGTAATTTGATGAAAAGCCAAAATGAAACTTGTCTGGTTTGTGTTCTCTTTCCAGTCTGTGTTTGTACTCAGTCAAAGATCTTTGGATCTTTGAGTTGTATCGCTTTTAAGGCGGCATCCGAGGTGGTAACAGTGCCAAGGCAACATCTGTATTATCAGGACAGCAGGCAGGATGGAATCATTGGCCTGATGGGTGTGACATTTTGACAAAGTGTTACGTGTGCAACCCACCACTGAGAGATTTAAAATGTAGGTGGTAGCAGTTAGTAGCTAACTCAGAGAAGAAGAACAACATCTAAAAATGTCCACGTTGGGAAAACAATAAGGTCCGTGAGCTCCTTACCTTACATATAACAAGGATGGTAAATTATTATTATTATTGCTATGTTATGCTATTGTTATTGTTCAGAAAGTAGTACTGACATATATTATATGTCACACTAGAGGCTAACGCTGTTGTGTTATATGTCACACCTCTTTTGGTTCCACGATGCCAGCATGCAGTCTAAAATCACACACTGGAGCTACATGATGCCGCCGTTGTTTGGTTCTGTGTAAAAATACAAATATGGCTTAAAGAAGGGACTTTTTTAACTTAATTTATCCACATCTTGCTCCTCCTGGTTTTGAGCTAAACTTATCCCCTTGTTACCTGCCTGTTTTTGAGTCACTCAGTGAATTAATGCCTGAAAGGCAAAATTTCTGTCATTTCACATGAGCATCTAGGATGAACTAAGGCAAATTATTTTAGCTTAACACTTACTAGTAAAACTTACAACACCTGGCTACAGTAACAAATGTTCAGGTGATACATACTGCGCAGAGGGATTAAGTTGAAAGTAAAATTAAAAATTAGAAGTTGGTTTAAAAACAGCTTTGCTGTAGTGTTTCACATTCAGAAAATAGAAAACAGCTCACTGTAACTTGGACCAGGCTCGGAGGATTGTTCAGCTGCAAAAAAAAAGGCACATACACAATGTTCAATTACAAAAACTGGTTTAAGATATAAACCTAATGAAAATACAAACAATGCTGACATTGCATTCTGGTAAAAAAACAAACACTACTTTTTAAACACTGAGCTCCAGACACTGTATAGATATACTTACATAAAGCATAAATTAGGTTGATTCAATGTGCAGTCCTAAATTTCCAGAATCAACCAAGAATAATGTATTTTGAACAAGATATTTTATCCGTATTTCAGACAAATATAATTTTAGGAAGCATTAAAACTTGCATGTTTTTATACTATTAAGTTCCTTAATCATTTTTGCTCTGTACCTACCACTTGCTGTTGCACTGTCACATGGTCCTGCTGATGATTCGGCACCTGCACAACATAAAATGACAGTTGCATAATAATGCATTTGTTTCAGACTCTATGCATTAATGACAAAAATACTACAGCAGGCTGATCAAAGTACCAGAATACTACACTAAGTAGCTGGCCCAGTTGCTTTTTTGTTTTCAAAAATTTAAACAGAGGTAACATTTTAATCGGGGGCAGCACGGTGGTGTGGTGGTTAGCACTCTTGCCTCACAGCAAGAGGGTTGCCGGTTCGATCCTGGGTGTGGGAGCCCTTCTGTGCGGAGTTTGCTTGTTCTCCCCGTGTCAGCGTGGGTTCTCTCCGGGCACTCCGGCTTCCTCCCACAGTCCAAAGACATGCAGATTGGGGACTAGGTTAATTGATAACTCTAAATTGTCCGTAGGTGTGAATGTGAGCGTGAATGGTTGTTTGTCTCTATGTGTCAGCCCTGCGATAGTCTGGTGACCTGTCCAGGGTGTACCCTGCCTCTTGCCCAATGTCAGCTGGGATAGGCTCCAGCCCCCCCGCGACCCTCAAGAGGATGAAGCGGTTAGAAGATGAATAAACATTTTAATCATCATTTAATATTTGAACATATTAATGTATGATAAACATTTATATGCATACATGCATTCTAAGACACGCATACATGCGCATACACACAGATTTAACCCCTTAGATGACACCTCAACTCCTTTGATAACTTAATTATAATTGTCTTTTAGTGTTTACACTTCTTACAGGTAACATGACCCTCATCTCAGTGATTTCAATTCAACAGGATGTACTTCTCTGTGAAATGGGCCATATTTATACGTATTTTGCGATGATTTTCAGCTGTAGATAATATTTATTCTAAACCACACATGGTTAATTGAATAACTAATCACACCTCAAGTTTCTATTAAGATCTTTTAGACATCTGGGATCAATATTGCTGCTGCATAAATTATTTTAATGGTGTAGTGGCTTCATGTTCACAGTGAATAAGAGGCCACTCATTCAGTGGCTTTAAAGAGGAGGTGTAACACTGAACAATATGACTATGGTTCGTTTGATTTTACCTTAGGATTTACCTTAAGATATGACACCACAAACAGACTTGATATCCACCTAGCTTTGCCATAAGAAAAGATTGTATTTCAGCAGGGTGCAGCCATCTTTGAACAAGATAGTTGGTGACCTCACTCGAATGGTTTGCCACTTGTTTACCAGAAGGAGTTCTTTAGTTCTCTGACAATTTGTTTTTACGTCAAGTTAATGAGATATTTTCAGTAAAGTAATCTTGGTACACAAATGTGCAGGATGTCATGTAGCACCCAACAGATGGGACATATGTAGGAGTAAACAGAGTAAGACTTTTGGTTTATGATCTAAGGCACAAATAACCTCATGAATGAACCAGCCTAACGTTGTGAGCCCATACTGACACTAAAGAAGGAGCTCTTCATTTCCCCTTTTTGTTTTTTACCCAATGCCAGCAAGATCCTGGTGGTGTCTCCACATTAAGGAATAATGACATTATAATGTACATCAAGAAGAGAATGGATGCATAAACGCAAAACCTGACTGGCACCAGCAGCTACAGTATCTTACTGGACTTTATTATTATACCCAGCCTTATTATCATTCTTCTGTACATTTTTTGGTTGACTACTCCTCCTGCATGCCTTGAGCCACAAACACCATTCAAATTTCAAATTTCAGCTCTTTAAGGACATTTATGTGACTTTGAAGAATTAGATTTATTAATTATCAGATTTTTCCCCAACCCCAAAACTTATTTTTGGAGGCATGGCTTTCTTACTCTAACTGTAGCACTAATAGAAGATGCTGAGTTGGCCCTGCCTTAGCTTTTTTTTGAAGGTGTGTGTATCTCTTTGAGAAGCACAGCGAACAGGCAGAAAGACAGTGTATAGGAATGAAAGTGGTACACAGGCAGTGTAGGTAAGTTAGTGTGGTATTATGTAAAACTGACCTTTTTGAATCTCACAGGTCCACACTGGTTGAAGCTCATTTTTTTGTTTGAGCTCAAGCGCAAAGTTTGTGTCTGGATTTTTAGTACACAACACTTGGAAGAAATTCGGTTCTGTGCTTTCATATGTGAGCATTATTGCCTGTGAAAAAAAAATAGATAAATAAGGGCAAGAAGTTACACTTTGAACAAGAGTGCACCATCACATATTTCTTTTTTTCATTTTCATGTTTGCAAATGAAATTGTGGTGGTAATGGTGCGACTGCTGGTCGCAAATTTGTTAAAATACATGTTAGTGAGAACTTTTCCCAGATAATCCATCCTCCTGACAGGTGTGGCATAACAAGACGCTGATTATACAGAATCATTACTACACAGGTGTGCCTTAGAATGGTCAAAATAAAAGGTCACTCTAAAATGTTCAGTTTACTCACACATCACAATGCCACAGATGGCACAAGTTTTGAGGGAGTGGCCATTGGCATGCTGACGGCAAGAAAGTCAGTCAGTGCTGTTCTTGCATGTTCTCACCAGATGTCACCCATTGAGCAAGTCTGGGAGGCTCAGAATCAGTGTGTATGACTGCCCATTCAATTCCACCTAATACCCAGCAACTTCACACAGCTATTGAAGAGGAGTGGGTCAACATTACACAGGCCACAATCAACAATCTGATGATCTCTACGTGAAGGAGATGTGTCGCACTGCATGAGGAACATGTTGTCACAAAACTACACATTTTAGAGAGTGGGCTTTTACTGTGACCATTGTAAGGAACACCTGTGTAGTAACGATGCTGTATAATCAGCATCTTGTTATGCCACATCTGTCAGGTGGATGGATTATCTGGGAAAAGGAGAAGTTCTCACTAACATGGATTTTACCAAATTTGCGACCCAAATTTCAGAGAAATATATCTATTGACTGCATAAAAAAAATCTTAGATCTTTAAATTTGTGAAAAATGGAAGCAAAAATAAGTGTTGTGTTAAATTTTTGTTCAGTGTACATACAGACATATATAGAAGACAAAGCCCTAATATAAAGTCTCTCTTAAGTAAATCACGTAATATTTTCTGGCAGATATTACTGAAAACATATTTTCATGATGATAATGTCAGTGTTCCGGTAAGGTTGTTTTTTTTTGGTATTCAAGAACTTCAGCTGCAGTGAGCATTTGATGATACATCTAATTAAAATGCCTACAGTGCCACACAGCTTGTGTATGCATAAGTGGAGTGGTAAAGTAAAGCTGGATCATTTGGTCACATATTCTAGTTTAAAATATGAAAAATCAGTGCAGTTGCTGTTCCATTGTACTCAAACACAATGAACTCCAAACATTTTAAAGCAGTTCAATACATACTTCAGGGCGAATTTTTGTGCCGTCCAAATCTGCTGTTAGGGTGAACCACTCATGCATTTTCAGGGGCTTCACTGGATGTGGCTCATGGATTCTTTTGTATCCATCACGTGACAAGGTTCTCTCCAATTCCTGTTTATAGAAACAAACAAACAGAAAAACATCTCTGTTGTTGTGTTGTTGTTTTTTATTTATTCATGGTGCTATTATATAACAGATTATTATTGGTACTGATAAGATTTGAAATAACCTGTATCAGAGCACGATCAGGTGGGATCAGATAAACGTGGAGTTTGAGGGATGGTGTGTCGGCCTTGTATATTAACACCTTACAGTGTATTTCCACCGAAAGGCCAAGATATTTCACCAGGATCAATTTCAGAGAGAAAACTGGTTCAGACAGCTTGACATGTGACGATGTGACCTCAGACACTCTTTCCACAACATCTCCACAGTCATCTATGTGTAGGACTGCAAACTTGTCTAATATTGTAGGATTGTCATCTGCACAAAATAAGAGCACATACAGTTAGTGAAGGGAAAAGAGTTGCATCAGTTTTTGAACGCATGCTGTCAGAAATAAAAAGTTAGTATATTTTATCATTTCCTTCATGTCCACTTACCTATGGCGATCCAGTGTGGCAGGTACACTACATCCAACTTTCCAGCAATGGCTGTGATGTCCATCAGGGGACCTGCAGGCATGTACTGCATGCTTTCAATCTTCTCCATGTGTCCACTCAAAGAGCAAAACTGGTACTTAAAGCTGACCTTTTCCTTACAGACCCAACGCACACCAGAGACACTGCATTCAAAGTTTCCTGCTTCAGACTGTAGGCTAAAATGTGAATGAAAAAATGTGAGTTTGTGTACGTGTACATGAAGGAACAAACCAGAGTAAATGGAAATTTAGGGAGTATCTGCATTGATTTTAACTGGTGCAAAATGTAGGGTTAACACTATTAGTGTAATATTGCTTTGTTTTCCTTCTGTGAAAAATTTCAACAACCAGGCAGTAGTGTTTCCTGTAGTTCTAGTTCGCTGTGACGCAGTATTTAGGATGTAATCTTTACCTATAAGTTGGAGCCTCGTCAGCATCAGTACAGTTCACTTCAGGGTCAAGTTTAGTCCAGTCACTGGAGTCCTGCTGCAGAGGACAATCATTTCTACAGATAAGTGCAGGTGTGTCTTTTTGAAACAAAACATAAAGGAACAAATGAATGAATGAATGTAAGGGATTACCGCAACGCTTCCACAACCCTCAAGCTCCGAGCTTCCTGAAGGCCCTTGTGAAGACACACATTCATATGTTTTAAATAATGTTATTTTAATATTTAAATCACATTGTAACTTTTTAATGTTTATGTTTAGCTGCTTTAACACTGTGTGCTACACAACTCTGCTTTAACGTGCGAGCAATATGTTACTAACATATTTACAGAAGGTGAGAACGGCCATGTAATATTCTTTTTTTTGTGCACTGTTATCTTGTGATAACGACTTATTATTTCATTATCTCGATATAACAAGGTTGTTTTCTCGTGATAACGAATTAATTATTTTGTTATCTTGATATAACAAAGATTGTTTTCTCGTGTTAACGAATCAATTATCTCGTTATCTCGATATAACAAAGATCGTTTTCTCGTGATAATGAATTAATTATCTCGTTATCTCGATATAACAAAGATTGCTTTCTTGTGATAATGAATTAATCATTTCGTTATCTCGACATAACAAAGATTGTTTTCTCATGATAACGAAATAACTATCTTGTTATCTTGATATAACAAAGGTTGTTTTCCTGTGATAATTGTCAAGTCTGATGATTGCGCGCTGGTTAATGTGATCGTCCTGATTTCAGCCTACAAGTGCTGCCACTGGCTGGTCCAGGTGTCCCAGGGAGGGAAAAAAATATACAATGATGTCACTCATTCATTCATTCACTTGGCAGCCCCCCCTACTTGCTTAAAACATCTTCCCGTGTGTGGGGAATACCAGGATGTGTTATCCAAATAAGGGCATGTACGTCAAATATAGCAGATGATGTGATTTCCCGTCGATTAGATAAACGCAACTGTCCTCATAGTAACATCAAATGTAACACAATAAACCAAAGTATATGGAACACACACGGCCCATGCACAACGCAGTCTCATCTTCTCAGAAGAAGTGTTGCAGCCTGTTAACACGGACATTTTCAGGTCCCAAATCCGATCGGATTATCTTTGGACCATGTCTTGATTAACACGCAGTCCAGCCAATCTGCACCTCTCGTGTATCATTCAGTAACCATGAAGACGACCCGGTCCTCTTATCTGGTTGCTAATGAAGTTAACAATCTCAGCAGGATCACTTAACCATCACCTGTGAAGCTGTAACCACGCTAGTCTTCTCCTTAAATGACAAGGACTAATCTGAATGCCATCTCTAACAGAAAGACACAATGCGTTTTCTGCCTGTGTTAGACCTTGATTGAAGTACATCCTGATGCATTGATCAATAATGTGATCTGCCATTTTCACCTCCCTGGGACACCTGGACCAGCCAGTGGCAGCTCTTGTAGGCTGAAATCAGGATGATCATATTAACCAGCGCACAATCATCAGACTTGACAATTATCACAGGAAAACAATTTTTGTTATATCGAGATAACGAGATAGTTAATTCGTTATCACGAGAAAACAATCTTTGTTATGTTGAGATAACGAAATAATAAGTCATTATCATGAGATAACAGTGCACAAAAAAGAGAATAATACATGGCCGTTCTCGGCTTCCGTACATATCAACTTAATAGTTTTCACAAAATAAAAATATTATGTGGCAGAATAAAAATGTAATAAAGTTTTTGCCAAATAGCAATTCAAATGTTCAACAGTTGTTGCTGTGCTGTGTTGAAAATTGGAAGAACAAATGCTTTAAAGTAGAGATTTAGCTTCTTCAAGCAGTAGAACAATCTTTAGAACAAGGAGTGCAAGGCCAAATTTTATGAGACTATGCATCCTCAAGATGCAGTTTTGTAAAATACTATTTCTTGGGTACATTTTAAGATCTGAGATTCTGTGTCAGCATATACATTGGTTAGAGTAAAAGTAAAAAAAAAAATTAAAAAGTACTTTTTTTTTACTTTTAAATTTTAATTCTGTTAATAAGGGTCTAGATATTCTGTGCTTCCTTGTTTCCTGTCTTGTTTTTGCTGGTGACAATGTTACAAAACTAAGAGTATGCAGTCATGCTAGCTGCTCTGTGAGGCTATGCTTTAAGTACAGTGGTGCTTTCAGCTAAATTCTAACATCAGCATGCTAACACGGGCATGCTTAGTAGATATAATGCTTTCTGTGTTCACCATCTCAGTTCACCGTGCTAACATTAGCTAATTAGCACAACACAAAGTACAGCTGAGGCGGATGAAAATATCATTTGTTTTGAGGTATTCATATTTAAAGTACTGGACAATAATGACTGATGATAACTTGATGACGATGCTAGAGGAAAAATCAAGCACTCATCAAAGACAGTAGGCCTCACCCACTGGGGACCATCAGTGACTAGAAAATGTCATGGCAATCCACCTACTACACATAATACACCTACTTGAGGAGCTGGGATGTTGTGCAAGGATCCTTTTCCTTGACTTTTCAAGTGTGTATAATACTACACAGCCCCCCATACTGAGAGGCTGGTTGGAGGGAATGGGAGCAGATCACTTCCTGACCTCCTGGATAATAAACTACTTGACAGCGCAGCCTCAGTATGCCAGGCTTGGAAGCTGTGTCTCTGGGATGGTCAGGAGCAACACTGGTGCTCCACAGGGAACTGTTTTAGCACCGTACCTGTTCACACTCTACAGAGCGGACTTTAAGTACAACTCAGAATCCTGCCACATAAAAAACTACTCTGACGACACAGCTATTGTGATTTGTATCAGTAGTGATCAGGGTCCTTGTGGATGCCCTCAGGGACTGGTGCAGTAAGTGCTGTCTCCACCTGAACCCAGCCAAAACCAAGGAGATGGTGGTGGATTTCAGAAGAAAGAGGTCACCCCATCAACCAGTCTCCATACAGGGGGAGGACATTGAGGTGGTGCACACCAACAAATATGTGGGGGTCCTCCTGGATGATAAACTGGACTGGTCCTCTAATACTGATGCCCTCTACAGGACGGGGCAGAGCTGCCTGTTCTTCCTGTGGACACTGCGGTCCTTTGATGTGTGTGTGTGTGTGGAGATGTTGACCATGTTCTATCACACAGTGGTGGCCAGTGCACTTTTCTACGCTGCAGTGTGCTGCGGAAGCAGCTTAACAGACAAAAACACCAAGCAATGAGACAAGCAGGTTAAAAAAGCTGGCTCAGTGCTCTGCAGGAGATTGGACCCATTAAGGACTGTGGTGGAGAGGGGCACATTGAACAAACTGAAAGCTATCATGGACAATAGCAGACACTCTCTCCACAGCCTCCTGGAGCAACAGAGGAGCAGCTGCAGCAGTCGGCTCATCTCACTGCGTTGCAGAACAGAGCTTTTCAGAGATCTTTCGTTCCCACAGCAATGAGACTGTCTAACACCTCCTGAATCCAGTCACACACACACTTACATACATCACATTAGCCACAACAGGACTGGACTGTGGAATGAGGAATTTTAATTTAATTTTGATTTGATTTCTAATTTCTGTTTATGCACTTATTTTAACTTATTTTATTTTATGTTTATTTTAATACCACTATGTTGTTGTTGATGAGGGCAAGTGTGGTTGTTGTTTTTTATGAGCTGCTGGATGACTAAAGTTCTCTCTATTCTATTCTTTTCCATTCTATCCAATAGTTGAGATATGACACTGACTGATCTAAATAGAGTGACTGTAGTGACGAGGCTGCATACATTACATGATTCGAGATAATAAAACAATTAATACAAACACACTACATCAAATGGCTGCCTAACTGACTACATGCATTTTGAATAAAAAATGAGTAACACTTAAGTAAAATTTTACAGATCATGCTCTGCATAGCAAATCTTTATTTTTCCTGTAACTCTTTTTTTTATTTAAGAAACAAAGAGGCAATGAGGCCGTCATGGGTGTTACAAGTTCAAATCCCAGTGCAGACTTCACTTACATTCAGACATTCAAAGTCACATCTCATATCTTAAAATAAAAGTCCAAACAGTATATTTCGTTTATAATCCCCCGCCATTGAACCAATGTTGGAGGATCGGCTTGCAACCATTTGCAAGTTATGGGCAGTGATGGGAATAACGGCGTTATAAATAACAGCGTTACTAACGGTGCTACTTTTTTCAGTAACGAGTAATCAAAAAAGTTACTGTCTCCCCTGTTATAACGCCATTATGGTTACTCACAATAAAATGCACTGTTACTCGGCTTTACTTGAGTTCACTGAAGCGGCTTTCACCCAGACCAGCTCCTTCTCAGTGGAGCTTTAAAGTGTTTCTTCTTTGGTGAGGGCAGGTGAGAGGGAAGCATAAGTGATGATGATTGGCTTAGAGAGAGGAAAATTTCAACATAAACCAATCAGAGGCAGAGTAGGGCGGGTATTCACAAGCAGGTTTGTCAGGTCCGTGACTTTGGGCTTGTGTTTTTGTAAAGTCGCCCACAAATATTGGTAGTCATGGGTTGCGTTTTTTTTGGGCTTGTTTCCAAAGTGGAGTTGCTTATTTGGGCTTGCTCTCTAAACATCGACTTTCTCTATATATATCCGTCTAATAAGTTATTCAAATGCATGATAGTATCTCGGACTGCAGGATGTTTCCACAGCTGCACTCCCTCCGCCCCTCTCCCTCTCCGCATACACACAGCTGACGGTCAGTCAGTGAGACTTTTCACATTTAAATTGCGCGATTAATGGCGGTTCTTACACACACAAACACACACACACACACACACACACAAACAATGCAGTGTAGTGAAGATAAGTGTACAGTGTTTTATAATAATGATTTATTCTATTAAGTGTCAATTTCATTCATTTAACATATTCAATGTTGTTTCATTACATACAGTTCCATTAAGGGGGAGTGTCCAAGCAATTTGACATATTTGAGCATTTTATAAAAAAAGTAACGCTATAGTTACTTTTCCAGGTAATTAATTACTTTTAGTGCAGTAACTCAGTTACTAACTCTGTTACTTTTTGGGGTAAGTAACTAGTAACTATAACTAATTACTTTTTTAAAGTAACGTTCCCAACACTGGTTATGGGTTTCCTGCTACTTGCCAAAAGTATCTTTAATAAATACTTATCTTTGTTTGAGAAGGTTTCAGGTACTTTTACTAAGTATAGCATGACAAATGAATAGACTACCATCCCAATTATCCTATGAATATCAGCTGCAATTTCTTGCCAATATGGTTGTATTTTTGGGCATGCCTTTGATAATGATTGGCTAGTGAGGTTCCACATTGCCTCCAACAAAAGCCCTAGCTCTGCAGTAGCTGCCTGTGTCTCACATATCTTTGTCCAGCCCTCTCCTAATATTTGTATGTTCGATTCTTTCTCCTATTTTTGTTTAATATATTTTGTAGAATGATTCTTTGAAATTTGAATACTTCCACACAATCTCCAAACTAACTTTTTAGTATCTCCCATTAAGTATGCATTTGAAAACACAGTAATAAGGTTGTGTTTGTTTATCTTTAAGCTTTGAAATTGTTTTATTAAAGTAGTTCCTAACTTGCAGGTATCTGTAGAAGTCCTGCTTTTCTAGTCCAAATGTCTTTGATATATCCACCATAGCTCTGTAATTTTCGGTTGGAGACGACTGAACAGAGAGATGTGATACCTCTCCTGACCCACAGTTTAAACCTAACTCAAGATCCCTGCCAGTTTCTCCTATTGTAATTTCCTCAAAACCTCATACAACAGCTTAATAGCAAAAATTAAGTCCATTGGTTCAGTTACCAAAGCTCCTTTCGGCCTGGCTTTTGTTGCCTAGTACAGTCTGTACTGGAATATCTATCTGAGTAATTTCCAAAGTCTTCCATTTAGATTCATAGTTTGGTTCACACCAATATACTAAAGGTTTCAGTTGTGCAGCATAATAATAATCTTGTAAGCATGGTAAAGCTCTCCCTCTCTTTTCTTTTGTCAACTGCAATGTCTTGAACCTTATCCTTGGTCTCCTACTGTTCCAGATGAACCTTGAATCCCTAGCAATTCATTAAATTGTTTTTGGGGTATATCTATTGGCAGGGATTGGAAGAGACAGAGCAACCATGGTAACAGATTCAATTAATTAATTATTTCTATTCTATTACTCATATGTAATGGGAGAAGTGTCCATCTAGAAATGTCAGGTTTCATGTCCTTGTTAATGGGGCCATAATTACTTTCAAAAAGTTGTGACAGATCTTTTGTTAAGTTAATTCCCAAATGTTTTATTGAGGGAGTTTCACCTAAAATCATATGACGTGAAGAATAACAAGTTAACAGTTTGTTCAGTGGATGAAGCTCCTTCCAAACGTCAATCATCCCTAGTTCTTTAAGCATCCACTGGACCATTGTGGCATTTGGATTTTTCTTTTGGGGCGGATTAGTCGTATCTAGTCTCGGTTGAAGTTGGACATTTAAATGTCCACCACATATTAGGGTTCCGTATGATTCAGTGGCTATTAAATCAAATCATTTCTTAAAGAATGATTTATTGCTACCTGGAGGTGCACACATAAAGTAATGTGACCTCTTTGTTATCTAATTTGCCTTTAACCAACATGTAACTCCCCTCTTTATCTTTGACTTCAGATATGAATTCAAAATTTACTGCATTAGAAATCAGGATAGCTACCCCCCTCCTCCTTCCAGATTTATGTGATGAATAATATGTATTTTGAAAACCCAATCTTTTAAATTTTTCATGCTCTGTTGGGGATAGGTGGGTTTCCTGCCGAAAAATTACCTGCAACCATTCTCGTTTGATCTTTGCAATGTTTTTACTTCATTTTATTGGATTATGCAGGCCATTGTGTAACTATCTTGTATTCCTGTTGATGCATATATTCTTTTTACATCGCTTAAACTTGTGTAACACTGCCCATGACAACCTATGGAATACAGTGAACCACATAAAGCTCGCGAGAAGAAAAATACATTTTCAATCCCAAAGGAAAGAACAGAAAGAAAAAATAATAATAAAACCCACAAAAAAACAGAGAAAAATAAGCTTGACTTCCAAGTCCGAAGTTTAAGTGAAATATCAAATTGAGAGGAAATCCTCGCATCAGTCGAGGGCCTCCCTTGTGTGTGGAAAAAAAAAGCCCTCTGTACCTTTAACGTCAGCTCCAAAAAGGGTTCACCTTTAACCGGTTAGGATTCAACTTAGGCAGGGTCGAAGAGTGACAGTAATAAATCTTCTGCTAAACTGTCCGAAAATAAAAAAGAAGAAACTTTGAGTGACAGGCTTTCTGCGAAGAAACTCCATAGCCTCTCTTGTAAGCGCTCCTGGTCCACTGTGTGCCTGCGGTGGTCTGCATCTGCCCTCTCCCACGTTGCTAGTCTCGGCTGTTTCGGCGCTGTAGCATCAGGCTCCCTGAAGTTATCTAAGGAGAATCCTTTCTCGATCATAGCTTTAGCTGCTTCTGATGCACTCTTGTAGCCTGAGTGTCAGACTGAAGCTCCCAGAACCTTCAGTCTGACATCGCCTCCATTGAAGGCGATTTACAAGGGGGAGGGAATTTGATTTTTCCCTAACCAATCAGTAGAGATCAACGACTCACCCAGAATCTGACGTCATTAGTATCCATGCCCCGGGGGTGCTGAAAACAAGCGAGCATTGCCCGTTTAAAATGTCTCCGTCGTCGTGCACGCCCAGCTGCATTGCTGTTAAATCCAGTTTAGCAGCTTCCTTAATTTGGTCCTCCATTAACGCGAGTAGTGGCGAAATACCTCGATAGCATCGTTAATGTGGTCTGTAGGATCTGTAGCAGTCGCCATTAGCATGGCGCTGATTGGCTAATCGCTAGACCCGCCCCCACCCCCGGCGTTCATTGGTCCGTCCATCGTTTGGATGAGATAAATCGCAAATTCATTGCAGTATGCCAGACCAGAGATGCAAGCCTACTCAGTTGAATGGGCGGGGTCTATGGTCTGGAACCAGGCTAGCATTCTTGTAGATTTGGGTTCCACTGTCAAAAACACCCTCAGTTTAGCTGGATGTGTCGTCTGAAACCCGATTCTCTTTGCCTTAAGCTCCTTCAATATCGCCGTGTATGCCTTTCTTTTCTGCAATATCTCGGAAGGATCATCTTGGTCAATGTAAATCCTCTTCCCTTCATATTGGACCTCTCTCTTTTTCCACGCAGCACCTGTTCTTCCACTCTGTAATCCTGGAAGCATATCATCAACGACCTGGGCTGTGCATACCACGTCTGCATTGAATCGACACCATAGCCAGAGCCGGCTCTAGCCACTTTGGTGCCCTAGGCGGAATTAGGGTTCCGTTGCTATGGAGGTTTAGAAATGTTTAAAGGCTTGGCCAACTTATTGACAATGTAAAAATAGACTTTCATATTCTCCATGTGCGGACAAATGGACAAAAACACTCCAGATGCACAGGCCAGGATGAGTTGAGCCCGAATCTCATTATAGATAGCCTGCATGCTTGAGTTAGCCAAAACTTCATTAGCCTTCCCCATCTCGCCATTGTTCTCGTAACTTTATTTGTTCACTTTCCTCGGTTGTTTCTCCTCTGTCTGGCCCCGGACCCGCCTTAATTATGATTTTTCTTGGCTTTTCCCCCTCCATGTTGCTTTTCAGTCTAGGTTCCATGTCTTAAAATTGCTCTTCATGAGGGTTAAAACCGACCGGTCAGGACAGGTTCTTCCACACAGCCGCCTGCCTCAGCGCCATACCAGAAGTCCCCTGCATACCAAATCTTTGATGCTGGAATAGTATTTGTATTAACCCCACAACTTACCTGAGCTGACTTCTGACAACCTCTCTACCAGATCAGTCCTGTCCATCTCCATTAAAACCCTCCTGGTCACTTCCACAGACTGCTCGCCGTAGATCTCCACCATCAGCTCCACTATTTCATCTCTGCTTGCTGTCACCATTCTCATTCTTGGGAATTTTGGGAGGTCTTTCTTCACTGTAGTGAGCTGCAGGACATGCTTGAATTGCTTGAGCTCTATGTAACTTAAATCTTTGAGTGTTTCAAAAAGCTTATCCATAAGTGATGTCATGGTCACCACCTGATGGATTCAAAGTAGACAGAGGACATTTATGCAATATTCCACTGTAGTGATGAAACATATATTTTTTTTGCATCAATGGAAACATTTTAGTAATAAGAGTATTAAAACAACTAATAATAACCACATAAGGATGATGATATATTTGGTTCTGCACGGTTGATCTCTGTAACATGATTAATTTAATTTTATTAACTCTCTCTGTCACTGTGCTACCAAAAGCAGGAGTGATCCACCTGATCACATGCTCTCGTGACTTCCACTACACATGTTTCTGGTTTAAAAGTTTTGAGGTTTGAATGCACTTTGATGCACTAGTACTGTTTTGTTTTGCTTCATGTACGCTCATTTGTCTATGTGTAGGTTTTTTAATATTATTATTATTTTAATTATTTCCCTTTTTTCTTTTTCTCAACGTAATCTCTTTGCTTTGGTTGTTGTTAGTCTCCAGCATCCTTTAACTCATTATTTTTTTTATTTTTTGGACATAACTGCAACTTGAGTGACGGCTTATGTTACTGTCTTGTATGTTCGTGGAAAATCTCAATAAATAAAGTTTAAAAAAAAAGATTTAAAAAAATTCCACCTCTTCACTGTCATAATGAGGATGATTTTCCAGCTGTAAAAATTTAATTAATTGCGTGTTGTGTAAAGTATGTCTAATGTGACATTACTTACCTTCTGGAGCCGTTCAGATGGATGTTTCTCTGAGGAGAAAGAAAACAGAAAATGACTCTTTGCAGATTTCAAATCAGACTATAAACAGCTTTAGTTAGATTAAGTTGCTTTTCAATAAAATTCCATATGGAGTATTAATCGCAAAATAACACTAAAATGGGCTTGGATCTGACATCATATAAACAGAATGAGAGAGGTTTGACACCATATCATTAACACCCATTTCAGTCAGACAACTCACGTTTTAATGTTTATTTCAACTGCAGAACATAGTTAGAGTTTGGCGTCTAGACTCCAGCATCATTGCTCCCTGCAGATACAGTACAGGCCAAAAGTTTGGACACACTTTCTCATTCAATGCGTTTTCTTTATTTTCATGACTATTTACATTGTAGATTCTCACTGAAGGCATCAAAACTATGAATGGACACATGTGGAGTTATGTACTTAACAAAAAAAGGCGAAATAACTGAAAACATGTTTTATATTCTAGTTTCTTCTAAATAGCCACCCTTTGCTCTGATTACTGCTTTGCACACTCTTGGCATTCTCTCCATGAGCTTCAAGAGGTAGTCACCTGAAATGGTTTCCACTTCACAGGTGTGCCTTATCAGGGTTAATTAGTGGAATTTCTTGCTTTATCAATGGGGTTGGGACCATCAGTTGTGTTGTGCAGAAGTCAGGTTAATACACAGCCGACAGCCCTATTGGACAACTGTTAAAATTCATATTATGGCAAGAACCAATCAGCTAACTAAAGAAAAACAAGTGGCCATCATTACTTTAAGAAATGAAGGTCAGTCAGTCCGGAAAATTGCAAAAACTTTAAATGTGTCCCCAAGTGGAGTCGCAAAAACCATCAAGCGCTACAACGAAACTGGCACACATGAGGACCGACCCAGGAAAGGAAGACCAAGAGTCACCTCAGCTTCTGAGGATAAGTTCATCTGAGTCACCAGCCTCAGAAATCGCAAGTTAACAGCAGCTCAGATCAGAGACCAGATGAATGCCACACAGAGTTCTAGCAGCAGACCCATCTCTAGAACAACTGTTAAGAGGAGACTGCGCCAATCAGGCCTTCATGGTCAAATAGCTGCTAGGAAACCACTGCTAAGGAGAGGCAACAAGCAGAAGAGATTTGTTTGGGCCAAGAAACGCAAGAAATGGACATTAGACCAGTGGAAATCTGTGCTTTGGTCTGATGAGTCCAAATTTGAGATCTTTGGTTCCAACCGCCGTGTCTTTGTGAGACGCAGAAAAGGTGAACGGATGGATTCCACATGCCTGGTTCCCACTGTGAAGCATGGAGGAGGAGGTGTGATGGTGTGGGGGTGTTTTGCTGGTGACACTGTTGGGGATTTATTCAAAATTGAAGGCACACTGAACCAGCATGGCTACCACAGCATCCTGCAGCGACATGCCATCCCATCCGGTTTGCGTTTAGTTGGACGATCATTTATTTTTCAACAGGACAATGACCCCAAACACACCTCCAGGCTGCGTAAGGGCTATTTGACCAAGAAGGAGAGTGATGGAGTGCTGCGGCAGATGACCTGGCCTCCACAGTCACCGGACCTGAACCCAATTGAGATGGTTTGGGGTGAGCTGGACCGCAGAGTGAAGGCAAAGGGGCCAACAAGTGCTAAACACCTCTGGGAACTCCTTCAAGACTGTTGGAAAACCATTTCAGGTGACTACCTCTTGAAGCTCATGGAGAGAATGCCAAGAGTGTGCAAAGCAGTAATCAGAGCAAAGGGTGGCTATTTTGAAGAAACTAGAATATAAAACATGTTTTCAGTTATTTCACCTTTTTTTGTTAAGTACATAACTCCACATGTGTTCATTCATAGTTTTGATGCCTTCAGTGAGAATCTACAATGTAAATAGTCATGAAAATAAAGAAAACGCATTGAATGAGAAGGTGTGTCCAAACTTTTGGCCTGTACTGTATGTTTACATGAGATACTGGGGAGTGATGATTAAATACCCTCTCTTATTGATTCAATTAAGTTTAAATGTAGCTTCACTATGAAATCTAAACTCTATTTATTTAACACTTATGAGAAACATGTGATTGGGTAATGTGGCAGTTTTGTCTTCTTTCTCTGACCTTTCATACTTGAGCTGATGACTGACAACTTCTTTACTAGATCAGTCCTGTTCATGTCCATGAAAACCTCCTTGGTCACCTCCACAGACTGCTGGCCACAGGTTTGGACCATCAGATCCACTACTGCTTTTGTACTGTCTGCCCTGTACAACTGTTCCCATGAGGTGCGTGGAAGGCCTTTCTGGAACTCCGTGAACTGCAGCAACCGCTTGATTTTCTCCAGCTCCTCTGAACTCAAATCCTTCAGTGTTTCCAAAAGAATCTGTTTCACAGCTGCCTGAAAATTTTCAAGGATACATTAAGCAAATGTGTAATTTCTGAACTGGCATGAATAAACATATTTCTTTGTATTTCATCCGTGTCAGTATTTTAGACATGGATCTTATGAGATTCTTATTTTCTCTGCATGATAACTTCCGACAATGATACAGCTGGTAATAAATGTTCTACTGATTATGTTTCCCTCTTTTTCTTAAAGTGTTTGGTTTTATCTCTGACAGGCTCAGATTGTTATTATAAGTGTCTGACAACATTATGGAGAGGAACCCTAAAGAGGTTAACCTCTTTGTTTAACAATAATATTCTTTCTGTTTAACCAGAAACATCCTTGAAATAATTTTCACCAAACACACCAGACTCCATTTAAACAAACATTAATTTTAACATATATAGAGCCAGCATATTTTCCATAGAATGTATAAAGTTGCTGTCTTGGTTTGTTGGAGTCAGAAGTGACCATATTTGGAGCTGTGGAAAAGCGAGGGATGGACGTAACTTACAGACTACAGCAACGCATCTCAGACAGCCTGTCACTCAAGCCACCCCATCATCAAATACGCGTGACTTTACGCCTAAATAAAATGTAAACAGGTGAGTTTCAGAAAAATTCATCCCCCGAATAATTGTCATGGGTTTTAAAATTAGCTACAGAGACCAAAACTGTATTTTTGTGTCAGGCTGTAAAGATGTTTATTTCTGCTGTAACGTTTCTCAGCTCCGGAGGTTGTTGGTTGATATTTTTGCATCTAACTGAATGAATTAAGGGATTATTTCAACCAAAGCAGAGTTTGTGATTTTTAGAACAGTGGAGAGACGTAACGAGATGGTTTTTGTGAGACTTATTTTGTTTCTGTTGTCAGACACTTAGAATAACAATTGGAGCCTGTCAGTGAAAACAAGCACATACAGTGGATGTAAATCGACGGTGTTCATTTCATTACAGTTGCTTTTGCCATTTTTGGATGCAGCGCTCAATACTGGACCACTTCCAAAAATTGTTGTTCCCATTAGTCACTTGAAAGCAAAATAGGGTCCAGGTTGGAAAACACAAAAGTTACCCTTCAACACTGTGAGAACCATCCAATTTAAAACCTTTGGCTTGATTTGTATCAGCATTTATGATGTTCAGGATGAGGATGGTTTTCAACCTGCATCTACTGAATGAAAGCTGTGATGTGTAAAGTCAGACTCACTTTCTCCAACACTGCAGTTTGATGTTCATCCACTGAGTGTTTCTCTGCAGAGAAAAGACATTTAAAATGACTCAGAGGATTATACTCTAACCTAACGTAGAAAGTATAATCGACTTTATAAAGGCTCAGTCACCTCAAGAGTAAATACAATGGATTCACAATATCATAAACACGGTCTAAAAGCAATCCAACACAAAAGTCCTGCAATCATTTCTTAACTCATTAAACTTATGACATTCTGTGTGACTGTTATTGATTTAATTGTGATTCAATTGATTTATTGATCCCTGCTCCATTCTTTCACATTGGTACTGATAGAGTTTGTACACAAGCAGATTTACCTTTTTCAAATTATGAATCACAAAATGTATTTATTAGACATTTATGAGACACATAAGATTATGATATTTTTTGTCTCACCTTTAAGTTCTGAGCTGGGCTTTGACAACCTCTGCATCAGATCAGTCCTGTTCATTTTCTTCACAGCCTCCCTGGTTAACGACACAGACTGCTGGCTGTAGGTCTGCAACATCAGATCCACTGTTTCTGCTCTGTCTTTTCTGAGGCTGATCGGTGATATGGCTTTGAGTGTCTTCTGGCGGATGATCCACATCAGGAACTTATTGAATTCCTCGAGCTCCTTGTCACTCAAACTATTCAGAGTTTCCAAAAGCAGCTGTTTAACCACTGCCATTGTGGCCACCTGAAAGAATCCATACATTTATAGGACATATATTCAGGGTTCCCACACATTTGGAATTTCAAAATTCCCTACTTTTCCATACCCTAATTTCCAGATTTCTCTGTGTTTTGTTTTTTTCAGAGAATATGTGACATCTGAGTAAATACATCAGTGTATCATATTTCACATCATATTTAATTATTCTTAATAGGCGATTGTAGCCAAGTACCATAATGGCATACAAATAAAAACTCGAAGGTGCAGTGTTGGAGTGAAACTTTATACCTGGGGGGCTGGAGGAGGGTCATGGGGCAGCGGACTGGACATACCACTTGTCAATCAGGTAAAAGGGGCGGTATGTTTTCTGAGACGTTTGCGCTCACACAAACTGTGCTTGGCCCGGCATAAAGCACGATCTGGACTGATTAAATTATTTTTGGAAATACCTAATTTTAGAAAACAGTATTTTAGAGCAGTGGTAATAGTCTGGAAACATGAATTTTTTCCCATACTTTATTTCTCATTTTCCATACTTTTTAATACCTGGAAATTGATCAAATTTATTTCCATACTTTTCCACACTTGCGTAGGAACCCTGTATATTTAATCCACAGGGACAATTACAAATGTGTTTCTTTGCACCACATCACTGTTAATGGAGATGTGAGTGGTACTGGCAGATCACATAAGGTATTGATCCATCTGGTGCCTGCTGTTGTTTTAAATACAGTTGGATTGGTTGTTCTTTATAAATTGGTATATTTGCGAAAAATTTGAGTTTTGGTATATTTTATGTTCTTTTGAGGAACCAAAGTACAAATCAAAAGATGATTCCCTTTTCCTTCTTCCTTTAATTCTTATAAACTGTTAATTGTTTTTGATTTAATTTACAGGCTGCGGGCTTTTCACAAAAACTGAAATGAGTCACAGTGGCTCAAAAATTATTTTCATTATTTTATGTTTTATACTTTGTTTAAAGGTTTTGTTCTAGCTGACATTTTCTCATCTCATGCTCAGTGGTAAAGACATCATATTATTACTGTTGCATAAAATTACTGCTAAAGAGCTCGACCTGAACACACATTCACTTCTGTGAAAAATAATTAAGTGAATCATGACTTCTGATTGTATCATTATACAAAATGTTTAAGATGATGATATTTTTTAACCTGCATCTATTCAGTAGAAGCTGTTTTGTATTAAGTCAGACAGATGTGACATTACTCACTTTCTGGATCAGTGCAGATCGGTGTTCATCTAAGTGTTTCTCTGAGGAGAAAAGTGTTAAAAGTCAAGAGTGACTGATCGAACATCTGACAATAAATATTGTTATCAGGACATTTTACTTTGTTAAAAAAATGAAAATAGGCAAAACTAAACCACCTCAATAGTAATTTTTGCCCCCTCTGCCCAAACACTTTTCATATTTCACATTAGCCATAAATTATATTTTCTATGAAGAGAGTGATTCTTATTTTCTCTAAATCATAAATCTTAATATTTATAATTTAAAGAGAGCAAAATGTGAGGTTACACGTGTAACCCTGGTTCTCTGCGTGAAGAGGCTTCCCCTCCACCCAGAGATATATTGTATATATCTCTATTGGAGACCTGAACCCATAGAGATATATACAATATATCACTGGGTGGAGGGGAAGCCTAGCACGATACAGAACAAGGTTTACACACTAAAGACACACATGTTAAGGACCAGTGAGTTGTTCATTTTCTTACTCTTGGATTGTGAGCTGCTGTGTGACAACCTCTGCACCAGATCAGTCCTCGTCATCTCTTTTAATATCTCCTCGGTCTTCTCCACAGACTGTTGGCCGTAGGTCAGCACCATTAAAAACACTGTGACCTGTGTGTCTTCTATCTTCAGCGGTATTAATGTGCTGTCTGAGAAGCATCTATGGAGGTTAGTCTGAGTCTGGAGGACACTCCTGAGGATCTCCAGCTCCCCATCACTTAAACCAACCAGTGTTTCCAAAAGCAGCTCTATGACAGACGTCATTGTTTCCACCTGGTAAATTCAAAGGAAATGTTCATAAGAGTACAGTTTATCATCAGGGATGATTACAGATTTTTCTGTTCACATCAATGTCTGTGTTTAAGAGATGTGGATGTGGTAAGAGTTAGTTATATCACACAAAGTAACCATCATATTTGTCCAACTGATCACATAATGTCAGACTGAAGTGACATTACTCACCTTCTGGATCAATGCAGGCCAATGTTCATCCACGCAGTGTTTCTCTGAGGACAAAGGAATTATGAATGAATGACTGACTTAACATCAGGCTTTACAATCAGACACTGTCAGACTGTTACAATTCTAATATCAAGGATTTATATTAGAATTGGTAAAATGAACAAAAAAAATCAACCTTAATAGTAACATAATAAAAATCAATGACAGTTTCACCTGGGGTCTTCTTTGCTATTAAACTCTGTGTTAAAGGTTCATATACAGAAATGTAAATTAAAATTACTACAGTGCTTAGAGGAACATAATTTTTATTTTGTTTTTTGTGTTTTAAGTTTTTTATAAGACACATACCTTCCTGCGTGGTACTCACACCAAACGCTTCAGCTGATGATCCTGCAGCTGCAACACATTTAATGACAGTTGTAATTGTAATAATAAAAACACTGTGTGAAGCCTTTATGTGTTCTTGTCAAGAGTGGCATACTGAGTCCTCCTGAGAATAAAATGTCTTTAATATTTCAGTTTCAGGTGTGTGTGAGGTGAAGGCAGGAGGAAGCCATGGTTACAGAGATCACAGAGGGAATCAAAGAGAAATAATCTGGCTAACACAGATTGCCTGTCTGTCTCCACAGTGGAGTGCAGGATAAGTCAAACCAAGGCTTTACACAGAGACAACTAAATGAATGAATGTGAAATCATGGAGACAATATTTGCCAAATCCCTAGAAGGCTAAATACAACACAAGACCGATAAGGAGCTCAAAATACACAAATTTAATGGATCAAAAAACAAAGAACATGTGGCTCAATCACAAAGAATGTTTTCAAAGAAAAGAACTTTTGAAAACACAACAAAGTCAACAGAGTCATTCATCTCTCAAAACATCTTTACTTTATAAGCAAAATCCAAAACATTCACCTCTGAGGTAATCTCTGTCTCATTTCACATTTAGTTTTTATTTTGTAAATTTAGTTTGTTAAATGAGTCACTTAATTTCACAGAGTGAGAAGCATATTTCCGTATTTTTAAATGACGGACAACTAACTCTGTGAAGCTGATATTTAGTTTTTAGTTGAGACTGTGTTTGAGAGGTGTTGTTTTAACTCTTTGGTTGTTCTGGGGTCATGGCAGGCCTACATGTTGTTACTGTATTGCATTAAACTATAAGCTGCTGATTTTGTAACAATACATATTTATTTATTATTACATATAAAGTTGCAGTTATCATCTTCAATCTTACCTTTGTGTCCTGAGCTGCTCTCTGACAGCCTCTGCATCAGATCAGTTCTGTTCATGTCCGTCAGAACCTCCATGGTCACCTCCACAGACTGTTGACCGCACTTCTTCAACATCATATCTACCAGTCGGTCTTTCATGTTAATTTGTCTCCTCTGTGACACAAATAGAAAGCTCGGTTCCCTCCCTGGTTTGCGTAGAGAGCTCACTTCAACCGATGAGGACAGTGGAGGTCTCCATTCACTCCATGAGGTGTGTGGAGGGCTCTGTTCACTCCATGAGGTGTGTGGAAGGCTCCGTTCACTCCATGAAGTGTTTTGAAGTCTCACTTCATCCGATAAGGACAGTGGCAGGCTCCGTTTACTCCATGAGGTGTGTGGAAGGCTCCGTTCACTCCATGAAGTGTTTTGAAGTCTCACTTCATCCGATAAGGACAGTGGCAGGCTCCGTTTACTCCATAAGGGGCTCAGTACACTCCATGAGGTGTCTGGAAGGCTCAGCTCTTTCCATGAGATGAGTTCAAGGCTCCTCTGGAAAAACGTGAACTGCAGCAACACCTTGAATTTCTCGAACTTGTCGTTACTCAAATCACTGAGTGTTTCCAAAAGCAGCTCTTTAACAGCCCTCATTGTTGCCACCTGGAAAATTACAAGTATTAGTTCATAGTGAAAAAAATGTTAGATTTATATTTTGGCTCCTGGTCGATATCAGTATTGTAATTTTTTTCAGCTGTTGGAAGATGTGTTTTCTTCAAGATTACCTAAGGTACTGATAAATTTGGTAATTACCTGATTGTTAAAGCAGATGTTTCTTTTTTCTGCTACTCTTTAATATCTGTAACCTGATTAATGTTCTTTTAATTTTATTTCCAGGCTGAAATCACTGGTGAGGTTCAGAACGGCAACTACACAAAGAAGTGAAGCCATCCTAAGATCAGTACAAATTTGCCTATATAAGAAACTGCAGCACAAGTGATGTCATCTCCACAATACCCGAAACACCTAGAAAGTCCTGTCACATATGCCAGACTGCATATAATGGATTTTATTTCTGCTTTTAATTAAATTCAGCCACACATCCTTATCAAAAAAAATAGTTAATCTGAATATGAACACTTTTAAGTGAGCAGTACTAACCTTTTTTAACAAACAGACCACAACAGGTGAAATTTAGCTCTGTCCTCTCAGACACAGCAGTACTGGGGCCCCTCAGGGATGTGTTAGCTAACCTTTTCTGTTTACTCTGTTTACAAACGACTGTATCAGCTACCTAATCACTTTGTAGTGAAAATATTGTCACCTTCAGTCTACTCACAAGCATCTTCAACACGAGCAGCCACAGGGCTGCTTTGGACAAGCTCACGGACTGTGATGACCATCAACTTCACATCAATACATGTAACACTGTGGAAATGCTGCTAAATCCTAGATCAATCAGAGACCGGAGTTCTGTGGCCATACATGGTCAGGACATCAAACAGTCAGTTCATATAAATATTTAGGGGTCCATATTGATAATGAGCTGAGCTGGCACACAAAGGTGGCGAGTGTTTGTGCGAGAATCCACCAGCGCCTCTACTTTGTCTGAGTTTTTGTTGTTGATGACATCACCGCAGAAACAGGTGGCAGCACAATGAAGATGTTTTATCATTTCCTTGTTTAGCATTTTGTTTAAGTCTTTGAAAAACAGTTTAAAAATACAACGACTTGATAAAAGGAACATTAGAAACATTTAATTTAAATCATGATTTTGGTTTAATTGATCATAATTAATGCTGATATGAATTTAAACCTGCATCTTATTTAATAAAAGCTGTACTCTGCGTGGTCAGACAGAAACGGCTTTGCTTACTTTGTGGATCAGTGCAGACAGGCGTTCATCCACAGAGTGTTTTTCTGAGGAGAAAGAAAGGAAATAAAAACACATGACTGACATCAGACAATACCGTTGTGGGGAAAAAAAAGAAAACACAATACAAAGACGTCAGCACAGAATTACGCTCAAACCTTGACAGATAATTCATCAGACATTTTGTCTCCTTACCTGAAATATTTTTCCATACTTCTATTAGTCATAAAAAAATCTTGTTCACCAGATATTGTGCCTTTTAAAATGTCTCTTTTTTCTACATCATAAATCTTATTATTTATAATGTGAAGAGATGAAAACAGATTATAAACTTATGAGACACATGTTTAGGAACAGTTTTATGATTTTAAGATGTTTTTGTCTTTACTGTCTTACTTTTGGATCCTGAGCTGCTGTCTGACAACGTCTGCACCAGATCAGTCCTCTCCATCTTCTCTAAAACCTTCTTGGTTGTTTCCACAGACTGCTGGCCGTCAATGAGCACCATAAAAAACACTGTGTCCTGCATGTCTGCCGTCATCAGCAGCCTCCATTGTATATTTGAGGAGTGAATTTGATGCAGGAACTTTTGGAACACCCTGAGCTCCCTGAGCTCCACATCTCTCAAATCAGCCAGTGTTTCCAAAAGCAGCTCTATGACAGATGTCATTGTTTCCACCTGGTAAATTTAAAAGAGATCTTCATGGGGCAAAAGTGCAGTTTGTTAGCTGGGATCATTACAGATTTGTCTGTTCGCATCTCATCAATGTCTGTGTTTTAGTATTGTGGATGTTGTATTGGTTATTTCACACAAAGTAATTATAGAATTAATAATATTTATCAAATTTATCTCAAACACCTGTTTTTTTTTGTTTGGTTTTACAAACTGTATAGGTGTTTACATTTTTTAGCAATATCAAGTTCATCAAGTACTTTTACAAGTATTTTATTCTTATAAACAGGTTCATGACTTTATTTCATTGCCTGTGTTTAACTGTTTCAAAGATGGTTCTATAAAAACTGTGACGAGCCTCTTGATTTTATAAATGGAGTGACTGTTTTGAAGTTACATATTTTCTTCAAATATAAAAAAGTAAGAAACACCTACTGTTATCTTTCTGTTATTTTAACTACAGTGAATTTCTTTTATTCTTATGACTACTGCGAATTTCTCTCTCCGTCACAGATTAAAAAAAAACAAATCAGGAGGAAGGTACTATATATTCCCCCCAAGGTAGATATAACACAAATTATCAAAATTATTGATAAATAATATTCATGCTTAAGACCTTGTGAGTACATGATGAAGCTTGATCAGTTAGTGAGAAATCTATCTGAGGAAAAAAAAATCTCTCAAGATTTCTTCAAGATGAGGATAATTTTCAGACTCCATCGCCTGAATAAAAGCTGCACTGTGTAAAGTCAGGGTTGATGTGACATTACTCACTCTCTGGATCAGTGAAGGCCGCGGTTTCTCTGAGGAGGAAAAAAAGAGTTATTTAGTAGTTTATTTAACATCAGGCTTAATGAACATTTATGATTTCATCCCAAAGTGACACTTCTGGTGACATAATATGTGCAGCTTCCGAAAGATGTCCCAACAGTGTTGAATGGTTTTAGATATATTTGCTATTGCCATATACAGAAACTTAAAAAAATCTGGGGTCTCATTTCTAACTATTGTGTACACACAAAACGAGGCCTCAAAGAGGCGTACGCCATTTTCCACACAAAAAGTTGCAATCTACAAAAACAAACTTGGCGGGAGAATGTGTGCACCTGTGAGGAAACTCTGACACAGTGGTACATGATGGAGACAGGACAAATTGGAAACGCAAATGGTGAGGTGCTGAATTTAAGCTGGATGGTAGAAATTTAAATGTGACAGGAATCACACACGTTAAATTTCACTTCATCTCACACATTACTTATAGATCCACTTTATCATAAACATTCAGTCCAACTGGGCTATCTGTGCTTGTGCTCATGAGCCTCAACTTTTCCATAAGCATCTTTCAGTTGTAAAAAAAAAGCACAAGCCAACCAAAATCTTTAATGATTTCAACTGAATCCAATACATTCCCCACCTCCAGAGTGTGGAGGAGAGGGCCAGACTGTATGCTACTGACACCTGGGTCAGCTGTGAAACACACAGCAGCTGTGTAACTGCACACATCAAATAGCATTAAAGGTCCAGTGTGCAAGATTTAGGAGGATTAAGTGGCATCAAGTTTTGAGGACTACAGATTGCAACTATCTGAAACTTCTCGCAATCAGAATTCCTTCAGTGTTTATTGTTCAGGAAGTTTTAAGCAGGAGCCAAATTACCCACAGAGGTCTCTTCTCTCCAAAATAATCAGAACCTGTGATTAAAACCAATAAAAACACTCAATAAAGCAGTTTCATGCCATGATTTCTATGCATCAACATCCATGAGGTGCTATGAACTGATTATGTTTGGTCAAATGTGGATGTGTAGTCAGCAAGATATGAGGCTGATCAACATGTAGACAATTCCAAGTTGATTTGGGATTTATAAAAGGAAAAGTACTTACTGGCAAGCGTACACACCATTTCATAGGCTAAATCAGATTTCTTTTTTGGCTCCCGCCACTTTAAGCCTTTGTCTTAACATACACTTTTAGTATGGATCCTAAACACTGTTTTATGAATAAGACCCCAGAACATTTTTCTTTTTGTACGTCGCCTGATAGAGCCACTTTACAATTTCACACAATAATCATATTTCTGTCTTCTTTGCTTTACCTTTGCTCCCTGAGCTGGTGTCTGATAGTCTCTGCACCAGATCGGCCCTGTTCATCTTCTTTAAAACCTTTCTGGTCAACTCCACACACTCTTCCCTGTACGTCTCCACCATCAGCTCAACTGTGTCCTGTGTGTTTGCCACTTTCAGTTGACTCCTTGAGATGGGTGGGTAATCTTTCTCCAATTCAATGAGTGACTTGAAATAGTCAAGCTCTCCCGTCCTCAAATCATTCAATGTTTCATAAAGCATCTTCTTAGCCATCACTGTTTCTACCTGGAAATATGGACATTAGATGTGAACAATAAGGACATAAAATGCAGTACATGCAGGATAGGATGTGTTGTGTGATCTACCAGGATTGGTGTTGGAACCATAACATATTTTTTGTTTGTTTATTTTATCCTTATCTAAACACAAGGTAAATATAAATATAGACATGCAGTTATGAAACAGAACACAGTGTGAAGCATTCATATGTGAAGTGCATATAGGCAAGCTCCAGGTAGTGTAAAATCAGGTGTGTGGAACAGGAAGCAAACAGGTTTTGACTGTGTTATGGAAACATGTCGTATAGCATTAAGTATAGGTGTGGAAAACTGAATTTGCTGAATGGAAAAATGATTAAATATGGACAATGCTGTTGCCCTTCTGTGTTATGCTGAGCATGCGTATATTATTTTGAGAATAAATGGATCGCCAAAACAAATAGATGACACACACTGGACATTGGTTTATTCTTAGCCCAGAACATGCATCCGGTACAAGTTCACCTGTTTGCCCCTCAGTGGCGTGTTTAGATATTTTATTTTGTTAAAAGTCAGTACAATTGGAAAGTGATATTTTTGCATTTTCCTTTACTCATTTTACATGAAGCAATAAAGAAAATCTAAACATGTAACATATGAAAAATAAAACAATAGAAAATGAGATTAATGTTGATACATAGACTTAACAAGATCACTTAGTTTTACTGTGGCAGCCGCACAAGACAAGCCACTGTTGGTTAAAGGAATAGCCACACTGATGAATTCTACTCCCTTTAATTTCCCTGTCATTAATCTTTAAGATCTGTACATTTGTTCACAACGCTCAGTTTCATATGACATAGCTAAATACACTTTTTCCATGTTGCAGTATTGCTTCCTCATATCTCACATTTTTTAAGGCTTGTTACACATAATTAAGGCCAGGACACTTTAAGTGACAGGCTGTCTGCCGATAGTGTCCTCGTCTTATCAGTCAGATCCACCCCTCGCTTCTCCACAGTGCTAGCCTCTTACCCAAGTATGGTCACTTCTGGCTCTAAAAAAGCGAGATGGCGACAGCTGAAATGCCAAACATCACTGTAGTGATGTCCATTATTTTTACAGTCTATGGTTATGTTTCTTCATTTGTTAGAATGTGACTAAAGCTGCTGTCCTTCACGAAGGAGCAAAGTATAAACTTTTCAGAGCCACGTTTTAGGCCAACAGGTGATGAGTATCTATTTTCAGCAGATGATTACTTTGAGGATTTTAGAATCGTTTCCCAAATTTTGATCTAATTCAATATATTATACTTATTAAAATGTGAATCTCGATTATATTCACTGAATGCGTCTAAAAAAACAGCGATTACATGAGAGGTACAACCTACGACAGCCACACTTCAGTTAGAATAATTTATATAACTAAGGACCTACTCACTTTCATGGGGTTCTCATACTCCATTCTCTTGAGGTCATCGATTAGATAAGACTCATGTTTATTCAGGATTTTGTAGAAGGTCTCTTTTCCTTGATCTCCACTTGATGTCAAAGGCTGATTAAAAAGCTCCCTCATGATCTCCTGAGAGGTGGGCAGAGCCCTGATTTTATCATAATTGTGTTGCTGGATGACATTTTCACTGAGGAGCTCATCCAGAATGGCTGCAGTGTTGTTTACTCTCTGTATTAGCTCATCTTGATGTTTATCCAGGAAGTGCTTGTCTGAGGAAAGAGGAAAAGAATGACTCAACAATGACTAAATGGATTTGGAGATGACATGAAGCCAACTTGATACATTTTGTCTGAAGACAAGTTTTATTGTATGATGCTATAAAACTTCTACTTTCTATAAACAAAGTGTAAATGACTGAGATTCATTAGATACAGACAATTAATGACTTTGATTATCTGAGAAAACGACTTAAAATTCTGAAAAAGCAATTTCTATCATTCAGTTGCATGTGTATTGTTTTCATTATAGTATTTTTAACTGCACGTTGGTCCCAGGATGAGTACCTTCCTTTTGTTACAGCTAATGGGGACAAAATAAAACACAAAAACAACTCATACAACAGTGTTTTAAAAGGAACAGTGACCCATCAAGTGTTAACATCATCTGTTAACGTGTCTACATCTTATAATTATGAGATGACGTTTTCGTCAAATGCCATTTTGTCGCATCTGAAGTTTTATGATGATAATTTGGGAACTACACTTACCGTCTTTCCTGCCAAGAGTGACATGAAAAGACTGATACCAGTCTCATGTTTGTACATTAAATACAAAGCTAGGAGATATTTAATTTAGCTTAGTTAAACAATAAGACTGGACCCATGGGAAACAGCCAGCCTGTCCAAAGTGTTTTTGTACCAATTAAACAAGTTATAATGTGTTAACTAGAGCTTTAGAAATGCTGGTAGGCAGATATTTCTAAAGTTTGGGCAGAGCCAGGCAATGGCGGGGTTGGGGCGGGGGGGGGGGGGGGGGGGGGGGGGGGGGGGGGGGGGGGGGGGGGGGGGGGGGGGGGGGGGGGTTAGCAGGTGCCAGTGCCCCAGTAACTCTGAGTCCGGCCCCCCCTGTGGCCCCCCTCCGAGGGGCAACGCGGAAGTTGCACTTAAACACACTGCAAAGACTACAACCAATGGCCAACTGGCATGTTTGTTCTGCGCCTGCATGAGAAGAAATAACTCTCCATACCAGCAGATGGTGTTAGTCTGTATTTGTCATTTAAAAAGGGAAATTTTAGGTATTATTATACATCCTTGCTGAAGACCAACAGGGAGGACTCATGATGCTTGTTAGCCAGTTAGCGCATTAACAACACATCCTAATGTAAAAATAAAAAGATATTTACTATGTGCTGGTGAACAACAACACAAACAATTACAAAATGTTTCTGCTAAAGAGCTCGCTGGCAAAAAAGAAAAAAATGATCTTGCACAAAATAAAAACTTTGTTTCAATCTCACGCTCTCTTGACTTTAGCTGGTGCTTTTCTCACTTGCGTTTCTCTTTCCATGTGCTGAGCTGAACTGCCAGTCACCAACGGGCTCCACTGACTCTGCCACCAATTCATCATGCTGTATCAGCCAATAAACAGGCAACAAGGGCCAACGGTGTAGGGCAACAGACTTTCAACATTAACAATTGGCTGACAATTGGTTTGGTGTGTCAGGGACCTTATTGTCAGATTCTGGGTTTCTAGATAGATCTGATCAGTGATCGATTACAAACAGAGAACAAATCATTTATTGAGAACACATCATACTACCTCTGCACCCACCTTCTGCCAAGGTATCTACACCAGTTGCTCCGACTGAAGGTCTCCCAGCTGAAACAAAATTAGAGAAAATTCAATTTGCTTTACGATGGACAACAACTGTGGAGTTGTTCACAGTGAAACAAGAGTAAATATTGCATTTGTTATGGGCTGAACTGCAAGCCTGCAAAATATTTTATTTTCAGTTGTAGTGTTTAATGCTTTGTTTTTAGGTATTTTAATTGTATTCTTAACAAGACATTTATTCATTTTATCCTCTGATTTTGTTTTGCGACCATATTCGTTCAGTATGTTGCACGTTGTTATGATGCTTTTATGCTGTAGACAACCTGAACTCAGTGAGTAACAGACATTTAGTGAGATGACTGTGGACAAAAATACAACTACCTTACACCATTATATGTTTATCAGTTGCCGCCACTGAGGATCAAGTATCTTTTATTATGCCTCAGGTTAAATAAAAATCTTAGAACAATGTATTGTTCTTAGACATTATATACCCTTGTCATCTCATATACATCTTAATGATAAACACCATGTTGTCTTTCTTTAACAATCAGAGTTAGGCTGCAACTAATGATTATTTTCATTGTCGATTCATCTGTTGATTATTTTCACAATTAATCGATTAGTTGTTTGGTCTATAAAATGTCAGAAAATGGTAAAAGAGTCGATTAGTGTTTCCAAAAGCCTAAGATGGCACCTTCAATTGTCTTGTTTTGTCCAGATCGCAAAGATATTCAGTTTCCATTTCACTTTCACAAAGCTGGAATCAGTGAATTTTGACTGTTTCTTTTTCTTTAAAAATACTGACTACTAATATTAACCGATTATCAAATTAGTTGGTGATTAATTTAATAGTTGACAACTAATTAACGATTAATGTATTAATCAATGCAGCTCTAGTTTAGAGCATTAAGAAAGCAATTAGAACAGGTATACAACACACATTGTGAGACTCACTTAAAGGTATACTATGCAGTTACTGTTGGTTACGCTATGTAACAGTGTCGCCACCGCAAGTGAAGGCCAACCCCAGATCCACTCTCGTCTGGCACCTGGTTGCTACTATTTTATGAAGTCCAGACAGCACCTCAGCGCTGTGCCCATGAACCTCCCGTACATGTATGTACATGTGCATGTAAGAAGAAAATAAGAAAATACAGACAGAGGGCAGAGTCTCTGCAGATAAATATACTGCCACACACTTCTAGTGGGTCACAAGTGGTTCTTTTTTAGGATAATCTTGCATAGTATACCTTTAAAAGACAACTAAACAAAGCAATGAAAACATTTACATGAAGGAATGTGTCAATCACAAACAGACTATAAACGCACTAGAAAAAAAAAGTACATGGCACATAATGAGCTTCTGATGCAAAGCTTTGATCCATCTTAAAGGAACAGTGAGTGGAAGTATAAGGTACAATTTTACAAATACTAGCGCTAATTCAGCTTGAACTAAAGACACAAGTACTTCATTATTTATTTGATTAGTCTACAATATGACTGAAAACAGTGAAAATGGTCAACACTACTCCCCAGGGCCAAAGTGAGTCCAAAACACAAACATATTTATTTAATTTCCAGTAATATAAAAGAAAAAAGTTGCAAAACATCACATTTGAGAAGCTAAAACCACAGAATGATTGGTATTTCTGCTTAATGAATGGCTTACACAATGATCAGTTGCTAAAATAGTTACCAATTTTTGTGTCTCCTTTTCAATAGTTGTGTAATTTTGTAATGTAAAGTACATTCCTCATATAAACCACAGCAGGTGGGTCCCAGATATAATTTCATTTACTAAGCAGACTAAACTATACCTGGTTGTAGTGAAGTAAATGGTAAAACATTGGCTTTCAAAATACAGTGGAGTAAAAGAATGAAGTAGAATAACTTGGACACTCAAGTAAAGTACAATAGTGGGGCGGCATAGCTATAAAAAATTTTTGTGATAAAAGCACCAAATTTGGTAGATGTGTTGACAAATATATTTAGAACAAATCTGGATATTGGGGCATCAGAAACTCGCCCCCTGGTGGCCAGAGCAGGCAATTGAATCCTACCTGCCCATGGACCTGTCCCGTTAATTGGATCCACTCCAAAATGTAATGGCTTCTATGTTGGACCATGCTACATGCCTCCACCAAGTTTTGTGAAAATCGGTTGGACAGCTTTCACGTAATCCTCATCCAAAAAATGAATGGAAGTGAATGGGTGGCCACGTGTGGGTGGCCCGTGAACACGCCCCCTGAGTTGGATCAACACCAAAATGTAATGTAGTCTAAGTTGGCATGTGTTACATCCCTCCACCGAATTTTGTGAAAATCGGTCAAGCAGTTTTTGTATAATTCTGCTAACAAACTAATAAATTGGGCGGCATAGCTAAAAAAATTGTTCATTTTTGCGATAAAAGTGCCAAATTTGGTACATTTATAGCTTAATATACTGGAACAGAACACTTTGGTCATCCTTCCAAGCTGCTGTTACCATTGTTTTCAGGACCACAAATATAATTTAGAGACCAGTTAAAGTGAAAAACATGTTTCATTCTAATGTAGGACAATAGTAAATTAAAGACATCCAACACAATGGTGAGATTTATGGTTATTTATAAGGCCATTGAACAGTTTGAACATATGATATCAAACTAGTGAAGCCATCTGCAGCAATATGGAACCTTAATAATAGAGCTGTTTTTACAACGAGGCCTTGAATATCATGAGAAAAGAAGAACAAAAGGGGGAAAACATTCATAGATCAAAGTGTCACTGTCACTATAATCAGGAGGCCATGAAATTGGTAGTGGATTATTTAATACTCCTTTTCTTTTAATCTTCACGTTGAATGCATATTATCCTCTGTAGATTTTAAACTTTTTCTCATGTGCATTTTGAAAATACATTTAGTTCAATTAATTCAGGATATGTGAACACTAGAGAGCACAGAGCAGTGCCGTAACGGCCTATTTCCACCAGATGCGTGTTGGTTGCGTCTCCGCTCCGGCACGGCAGCGGAGCCGATAGGATTCAATTCTAGTCAATGTGTGTGTTTCCACCGGCTGCGGCTGTGCTGCGTTCAGGTGTTGTGCCAAGGTAGTTACCCCCGATAGGAAGTGCTTCCCCTGGCCACGTCGTATTACACACTGCACTGAACTGAATAAAAAAAGCAATCATGAATGTTCCTCCTGCAATTTGACATATAATGCGCTGTAATTCAAGCTAAGGAATTTGTTGAATTAAATAAACTTCGATACTCAAAATCAAGATCACTGTAATTGTTTGCTGGCCTCGATTAAGTCTACATTTATTTCACTCGAAATGTACTGTAATGGGCAGATGAAGCTCGACCATGAAATGATTTATTTTGTGTGTACTTCAGATAATACCCTATAACCTCTGTGAATATGAACAAGTTTCTTCTCTTCTAGTCAATGTTACAGGGGGAAACACATTATTTCTGACTGCTTTTCCAGTCTGCCAGAATTTGTATCCCCCCCACTGGGCAGATGAAGCCTGATCATCAAATGATTTATTTTGTGTGTACTTCAGATAATACTCTATAACCTCTGTGAATATGAACAAGTTTCCTCTATTCTAGTCAATTTTACAGGGGGAAACACTTCCTATCGGGGATAACTACCACCGGCTCCGTCTCAGCTCCGGCACTCTGGAGCCTTCCCCAACAGATACGCAGGACTTCTATTTTTGCCGGATGCCGGAGCACAACGCAGCAAATCAGCACAGAGCAGATCGTGCGGGGCAGGAAGTCGTGCACAGAAACAAAATAAAACATCCGGTTAATTTTCAAAATAAAATACACAGTGATCACGGTGGATCATATTTCCCTGCACTACACCTTGAAAACTAAATAATGGGCAGAGGCAGGCCTGAAGTCAAGAGATCAGAGGTTTTCAGACGCCATTTCACCCCGCTGACACCATGGACGAGGAGATATTAATCATGGCAGTGCACCGAGATGTCTTCCGGCGGAGCTGCACCGCTCCGCACAGCAAATGCAGCGTGCGGCGGACATTCACTTGACGGGCAGCGGAACACGCAGCGGATAACCAGCGCTGCCGTTCCGCAACGGACACGCATCCAATGGAAATCCGAAGAAACTGCATAGAGATATCAATGCTGGGTATTTGTAGAAAAATAATGCACTACCAATTTCATGGCCTCCTTATTATAGTGACAGTGACACTGTGATCTATGAATGTTTTCCCCCTCGTTGTGTGCGTTTTCCCCCTTGTTGTGTGTGTGTGTGTGTGTGTGTGTGTGTGTGTGTGTGTGTGTGCATCTCGTTGAACGTCATCTTTGCTGTTTCTTATATTCTAGTTTCTGTTTTAGTAAACTGTCTTGTCAAAGCACTTTAGCAACTTGCGCTAGCAACCAGTTGTTCACATACTGACGTTAGAAAAGCGTTAACAGTTAGATATTGTACCGTTTTCACACATTAATAGAGCTCAACAGGAAGTTAAAACCATAAAAGTGAAAGTAAGACTTAAATTACGTTTTACAAACCGTTTTAAAATAGCTGTCAGCTGTCAGAGGTGAAGTCCGCCCATTTTGTATGACAGCGTTAAATCATGCCTCGCTGAGTTGACAGGACTTTAGGGTCGAAGTGTCTCCCGCCCGCTGGACAGCCGTTTCCCGTAGTAACGTTACCCTCCTTTCCGTCTCCTCCTCGGCGGTCGGGGTCAGTGCTGCCAAACGACAGGGGGCGGTAACACAACACAACTGCAGAGACATGCGATAAGGAGGCGCAGAAGAAGAGGGTTCAGGATGTCAACTACAAGCTACAGACAGGTGACCAGACTTTCTGTAGGATTCTCTTTATACATCCATGGCTGAAAGTTGTAGGTCATGTAACGTTAACTTGAATACGTTAATGTGCCGTAAACAGGCTCGTTTCATTCCGTTTGCGGTGTTCATTCACGTCTTGCTCTGGATGACTTTAGCTAACCTCTTCAGTCGTACCCGTTACCTAGGTAACGTTGACGTTCATTCGAACCCATGTGCCGACACATTGGACAAGGCACAGCAGAGAATCTACAGTTTGATGGCGAAGGACTCCTTCCCGCGGTTCCTGCGCTCCCCTCACTGCATGGAGGCCATTAAGCTTTCTAAACATTTGCTGTTCATTAACACAGACTTGCTTTAGAAACAAGTGCTGGTGAATATGTACTGCTTGAAATGGTGATTAGCAATTATTTTAACAAATATCTTGTCTTCACCTTGGCTTTTTCAAAGTCAAAGTCAAAGCAGGGCACAATGGTGCATCACTGTGATAATGTTCAGTCTATGTACATTTACTCAAGTAAATCCAAGGTATTTGCAGTTTACTTGAATCTTTCCTTTCATGCCACTTTCTGCTACATTTTAGAGGGAATATTGTTCTTTTTACTGTACTACATTTATCTGACAGTTTTAGTTACTAGTTTCTGTACAAATGCACACAAAACAAACTGTTCTACTTTATTAAATTTAACAATCAATCAGTTCATGGGGAAAATAATCAGCAGATTAATCCATAATGAAAATAATCATTAGTTGCGGTTACCAAAAAAGTGAAAATTAGCTCTTCCTCTACAGCTACATCAGAAAGATCCTGCGTGTACATTATCATGCATGAATAATAATAATAATCCAATTATATAATATACAATAGTATAACAGTTGTACAGGCCATTTTTCTGCATTGAGTACTTCTTCTAATAGTTGCAAGTATATTTTCCTGATTATACTTACATATTTTCACTTAAGTAACATTTTCAATGCATGACTTACACTTACACATCAAAGTTTTACTCACATGATGTCACTTGAGTCAGCCTTAGACAGGTCTGAAGACTACAAGTTTGAATGACAAAATATTGGGGGTGAGGAGTTACGAAGTGAGGTTAGCAGACCTGTGTAGCCCCCTTGTCATCTCTGTTTGAGGCTCAAGGCTACATTAGCTGCTACTACAACAGTTTGGTCAGAGATACAGGTGTGTTATACCTGTATCTCTGACCAAACTGTTGGGGGTCAAGTTGCACAGGGTGTCTACAGGTATGAACAAGTTAAATAAAACTTTTAAAAACCTTTGTAGTACCACTTTAAAAGAAATTTAAGACTTGCAATGGCAAAACCAAGAGTGAAATTATACTCTGAGTAAACACATTGGTGTCAATTTTAAACAAACATCAAGATAAACTGACACTGGTAATGCTCTCCAGTGAATGTAACTAAGTACACTTACTCAAGTACTGTACTTAAAAGTATACTATGTGGGATTTGCCTAAAGAAAAAACAATGTATAGATTCATACAGAAGTAATCCCTCTTCATCACTTTTGACCCACTCTCAGTGTGTGGCGGCGTATTTTTCTGTAGACACTCTGTATTTTTTTATATTCTGTGATCGGGACATTTATGTGTGCGTACCCCACAGCCCCTGGGTGAGGTCAGGGCTTATGAAAAGGTGGTGACCAGGTGCCAGACTGTAAGCAGCAGACAAAAAATGCAAATATAGCACAGTGAAACTCTTCCTACATCCTACATGGTATACCTTTAAGTACAATTTTGAGGTACTTGTACTTTACTTCAGTATTTGCCATTATTAAGGGGTGAAAATAGGGGCATTGCACTCATGCAGATGTTGTGTTGAAGTCTGTTCCTCCAGTGAATAGTGCTTCCCTCTTGTTAAAATGCGTTAACACATCTATCTGAAAGGATCTTTGACAGTGACAGGTTTAAGACTCACATTTTTTTACTCTGATTATTCGTTGTTTTCTGTACAATCATACAATAGAACAACCCAAAGGTCATAAAATCATGGTTTCTTATGTTCTGTTTTCAATCAGGATTTTTACAATGAGAAACAAGCAAACAAATCTGAAACTCCATGAGAGTCAATACAGTCCTGTGGTGCCCCCTAGTGGAGGTGTATATAATTCCCATGACCCTGTGACACACATCACATCTAGCACGTCTCTTATTTTATACATTCATTTGTAAACTGTAAAACTACTAACATACATCTGTACAAGAAGGGTTCTGACTACTTCTACATGTCTGAAGTCGGCTGAAATATTCAGGAATCAAAAGCCACAGGACAGCTGGCGTGTATCTTAAATCTGAGTCACAGGATCAATGTCGTTCATTGACCCTGTGACTAAGTCCTTGAGTTTAGCACGCTCAGCCTCAGGTCTGTGCATCATGTCCTAATTGGAGCTGGTTCCTGGACGGGCTGCTCCTGGGTTGCCTTTACCTTCAGCCCCTTTAACCACACTCAGTGGCTTGTGAAGGGACGAGCTTGCCTTCTGCGTCACCTCCTGCTCAATCTTGTTCCTGATGGCAACCTCTAGACCCTTCAGGAGCAGCAGAGGAGGTCACGTTAGATTTAAGAAATCAGTCAAGCTGTTAGATTCTTCTATCAAAATAAAAAAAAGCAGGGCTGAAAGAAAGGTGTCCTCACCTTCTTCAGCTTCTGCTGCTGAACCACTTGAGCCTTCTTAGGTGCAATGATCCTCCCTTTACAGAGGGGGAAAAAATTGTTGTCAAATTTCTAAATGCTATTACCAACAGTGCATCAAATTAAATAACAAATACACACTTCAAGGAAACAGATGGGCCTGAAATGTCATTTGTTACACTGTGCAGAAATACACTGAATAATAAATAGGCTGCCTTATGACCAGAGAACAGTACCTACCTACCTACTCATTTCGAGGTTTATCTGCAGGGTGTTAAATCAACTTTGTAGTCCACTAGCCAGGTGGCTAGTGAATGTTCAAATTTTACCAGCCACTGTCATATTTTACCAGCATTTGGCCAGCAGATGATGCCAATTTTGTACCTTGTTTATCCGTCTACAATGATCCATTTCTTGCTGCTCTTTAGTGTTGCTGTTGTTAAGAAACACTTAAAATAAAATTTGATTACATTAGATTAAGATAGGTGCTCCTACGCTAAAACTGCCAAGTGACTGAAGCAGGTACATCTGCCTGTACATGTCTGAATGATTGAGGAATAATTTATGTTTTATCATTTCTTTAAGTTGGTCTTTGTTTCCATTTTAATTGTTATATGTTTTGTTTTTAATTGTCTGCAACCGTGCTATCTGTGCTGCTGTCTGTCTTGGCCAATGAATCTTGAGAGAAAAAAACTAAAATGTATTCCCAGTCAGTCTTTTACTCCTGGTTAAATAATGGTTAAATACATTTTAAAAATAATTACACATGGCTTCTTTGTTAGAGAAAAAATAATAAAGCTCAATTTTCTGTATTGGTGTGATTAAATTTGGGTCTAACATTACTCTCTTTGGTTAGACGAGCCTGGTATTATCTTAACATAAACAATTAATACTTTATGTAAAGTCCTACAGTGTAACAGTATTAGAGTAGACATACCGTGTAGCCTAGTACTGTAAAGTACACTTACTCAAGTTCTGTACTTTTGTACTTCTACTTTTACTCCACTACATTTCAGAGAGACATATTGTACTATTTCATTAAACTGTAAGTTTACTTAATGAATTCAGATTTTTGCATAAAAGTACAATAGAAGAGTGAATAAAATAGTGTTTTGTCATAATTTAAACTACCCAGCAGTTAATACAAGTACAGCTGAAACGATAAGTCGATTCATCACTTAACCGATTGACAGAAAATTAATTGGCCACTGTTTTCATAAACATTTAAGTAATTTTATTTTTCTTCTTCATAATTGTACTTTTTTAGGGTGTGTTGTTTTCATTTATTTATTTTTAGATTTTTCTGCATTGGATACTTTGAATACTGTACGTACATTTTCCTAACTATACTAACTTACTTTTACTTATGTAACATTTTCAGTGCAGGACTTTTACTTGTAACTGAGTATTTTCACAGTGTGGTATTAGTACTTTAACTTAAGTAAATGAAATGAGAACTTCCACCACTGAAAATCAGTAATATTAACATGCATTACAACACAAGCAAACACAACAACACAGATAAAGAACAAGTATTGAGTGGTTTGCCGAGGAAATATCCAACACACCAGAGTTTAAAGAGTTGTGTTTAAATACGACTCAGTAATTCACCTGCTTAAGTACCTGCGTCACTGGCCAAATGCCCTCTTACGGTTAGTCAGTCGATTAGTGTAATGGTGGATACAGTATTTTGAAGGAAGAAGCACAGCTGCTATTAAACCATGGCCTGATATTTTTCAGCTGGATACTGTAAATAATATCAACACGAGTCACTGTAACAGCGTGTTCAGCTGTGTCCACGCAGGTCACGTGTTGATGCTGTTTGACTAAAAAATAGTTTCCACGCACTTTTTCAGCCACTCACGAAACAACAGGTGTGATGTTTTAGTTCATACCTCCTTTCTTCGGTCCTTTCTGCTTGTTTTGTTGGTGTTTTTTAGGGGCTCCAGGCCGCTGAGCTTTAAACTTCTTCGAGCCCTGAGCCATCTTATCTAACCGGAAATACACAAAGCTGTTCTTCTTCTTCGTTGTTTCAAAATTGTGGTTGTTCTTCTTCTTTGGCGTTTTACGGCAGCTTGCATCCTCATTGTTGCATTACTGCCATCTTCTGGATTTATTTAATTCCTACATTGTCCATCATGTCACACTCTTCTTATCAGGCCTGCTCTTTGTAGGAAGTTCAGCAGACACTTCCTGCTATGTTCACTATCACCACAGTCCAATGTGTCCTTTAATCCTTCCCCTGTTAGTCCTGCTCTTGCCATTCCCTCCATCATGTCCTTCCGTTCCTCATTATATTTCCTGCAGTTATTGAGTATATGTTGTGCTGTTTCCGGATGATTGCAATATTCACATAGTCCAGTTGGATGTTTCCCTATAATGTGAAGAGTGCTGTTCAGATTACTGTGTCCTAATCTTAGTCTTGTTATTGCAACTTGTTCTCTCCTGTTTCCTCCTCTGTGTCTGTCTCCCTCTTGTTTCCTGTTCCCAGTGCTGTTGCCATTCTGCCATGATTTTCCTCCATGTTAAACGCTCTCCCTCTGCTTTTGAAAGTTTAATTGTGGTGTCTATGCCTTCTTTAACAGCTTTTTTCACTTATATGTCCACTCTTTCATTTCCTGTAATGCCCATGTGTGCTGGAACCAAAATGAATGTGACTGTAATACCTTGTTTTATGATGTGTGAATGTATCTCCATAATTTCCATAACCAGGTCTTTCTGAGTACTGGATATACCCAACTTTAAGCTGATTAGACCAGATGTTGAGTCACTGCAAATTAAAACTTTCCTTGGTTTGGTTTGTTCCACCCACTCCAAAGCCATCCAGATAGCATATAATTCAGTTGAGTATACACTTGAAGAGTCTGATGTTCGCTTACATAATCCAAATCTATGTTCAGGAACTGCAAATGCAGAACCAGTTCTGTCTCTTTGGTCTTTTGATCCATCTGTAAACACCTGAAGATATTCTGCATATTTACTCTATGTATAACTATAGAATTGATTTACCAAGTCCTCATTTTTCTTCTTTACCTTAATTTCAAGAAGCTCTAAGTCTATCATACATGATTCTTGTAACCACACAAGGGTTGTAGGCCACATCACTGTTGGACAAAACTCCACTCTGTGCACTCCCAGTTCTCTTGCTGCTGCATCTCCTGTCCAGCCAAAACTTGATTTTTTTGTTTGTTTCGTGGGTTGATGGGTGGGTGGGGTTGCCTTTTTGTCCTTACTGGTTCTGTGTTACTCTGTAAAGCTTTATTGAATTACCAATAAAAATACCTTGTCTGACCTCGAGGCCTCTTTAATGCCCTCTGCTGACCTGAATGTTACCTTAAGCATAACTGTCATCCCTTTCCTTTACTGACCAAGGCTGAAGGCTGTAACACAACAAAAGTTGATTTAATACAGTCAGACAAAACACAAGAACACTTCATTCATTTCACTGTGGTTTTATTCTTTTTACTGTATTGATGTGAAAGAGAAATCTCTTAATTCATGACTGCACTTTACAGCATTATATTCATATACATATATATCAAAAAAATCCAGTTTTGAACCATTTCCACGTTACAAAATAAACCCAGATCAAGTGATTATCAATAACGACAATAACATACTTGCACTTAAAGAGGCCATCTGAACAACACTCCTTCCATGGTAACTGCAGGCCATAATAATCATGGAGAATAATACACAAACACCTGCTTTGATTAATTAAATCAATGTGGAAAATACGTGGTAAGCAGCGCTGAATTTTGGCACCTGATTATTCGGCGTGTGTTGGGCGTCCCGAGGGGAGTTTGGTGGAACAACTCTTTAAACACAGTACTATATTGCTGCTGCTTCAAAAGCATGGTGTAAAAAACATAGCGTAATGCAGAAACAACTCAGCTGCAACCCAACATAACACACTAGCCTGAATCTAGGCTACTTTGGCAAACTAAAAGCACCGCCACAAATTACTTGTCACTTTGGGTTCACGGTACAAACATTAGTGAGATGTGGAGAAGTTGAGTCCAGATTTTTTTTTTCCTCTACAATCTGCTTGGCTGCAGCCTGGCACGTTAAGTGCATGTGTTCATGCATTTCAGTGTTTGAGTCCGTGTAGGTAGACGGAGAGGTAGTGTGTATGGTTGAGGAGGCCTCCCCAGTGTGGTGTATTAATGGCCTAGTCACTAGGAATCACAATGTCATGAAATAAAACAACAAACCACAGCTTTAATCATGATGTACAGACAAACAAAAAGAAATCTCGTACCTCTTAAAGATAGAAAGAAATAATAATGTGGCGGGTCTGACAGCCACAAAGTTGCTACATATGTCTGGAACATTGTCTAAATTTGCCCCCAAACACGTGATTTCTTAAACTGTACAAAACAAAAGGAAGAAAATGCACAAGTGTCTTTTACGCTCGGCGTGTGTGACCTAGTAACAGCATCTTTGTGAGTTGAGGTTTGATGGGTGGACAGAAGACAAACGAAGAGGAGGAAGATGAATGTGAAGAAAGAAGTGAGCTTATATTACAGCAGGTTATGGACAGTGACACTATGGATACTGCAGTTACTATTATTGATGTTATTGTTATTTTTGGGGTGTTTTATCTGGACTTCTCAGTGGTTCTGTAGAGTAGGTAAAGTTTTGTGTTTGTCGCCTGTGAATGAAGTGAATGACAAAGTCCACGAGGGCAGTGTGTGAGATCAGACGGGGTGTAAAGAAGGTAGACTGACCTCTGCCTCAACAAGCTCCAGATATCTACAGGCTTGACGAGATGGCGGTCTGACTACATGATATAAACCAGGGGGGGGGGGGGGGGGGGGGGGGGGGGGGGGGGGGGGGGGGGGGGGGGGGGGGGGGGGGGGGGGGGGGGGGGGGGGTCGCTGTCTCTTCGGTCATGATGCCATGTATTGGTGCTGCACCAGTAAGGCAGTGAGCAGTGTGGCGAGTCTGGCTCTGTGACATTCAGTGCAGCGAGTAGGTGCGTCCCGTACAGATCGAGTTACCTGGGACTGTTTAAGAGCAACAAACGCATTGTGCGATCATTGGCCAGGTGAGCGGAGTTACACACCTTTCACACAATCAATAACAGTCTACTGGTTATGGGTAAATATTACGTCACTGTCAAGTTTCAAAACTGGTTGCTGCTCGCTGCTGGTTAATTTTGAACAAGAGAGTAAGGGTTGTGATGACGGTACAACTGCAATTAATGACTAATATAAAAACTGAGACAGGTAGCAAAAATTTACATTTGTGAAGCTGGATTTTTGCCTAAAAAAATAGCTTAACAATTATGTTACCAATAGGGCTGCCACTAAGGATTATTATCATTTTCAAATAATCTGCCAATTATTTCTCAATTAATCGATTAGTTGTTTGGTCTATAAAATGTCAGAAAATAGTAAAAAAATGTCAATCAGGGTTTCCCAAAGCCCAAGATGACGTCCTCAAATGTCTTGTTTTGTCCGCAACCCAAAGTTATTCAGTTTACTGTCACAGATGAGTAAAGAAACCAGAAAATCTTCACATTTAAGAAGCTGGAATTAGAGATTTTTAAGTCTAATAAATTTAATCATGCCAATTAATTGATCGTCAAACTAGTTGGCAAATAATTTAATAGTTGGAAACTAATGGATGAATCATTTCATCTCTAGTTATCAAAATAGTTAGTTTCTTTCTTTTAAAATTTAACTTCGTAATCATCTCAACACCAGACGAATCAGATTGTTTTCCCCATATATTCAGCCTGCGTCTAAAAATTGAATGCAACAATTTCTGCGCTTCAGTTCTTTCTTTTAGGATCAAGAAGCAATAAACTCTGTGCTGACAGAGATAGAAATTAAAACTATGGTGAAAACCCTTTTGTAGTCCTAAACGTCTACCTGTCTTCAACTGCCCATGGCCCTGATCTCATCGTCGTCTGATGGGGGTCAGTCTGGAGTAAAACAGCATTTCAGTTATGAGGAGGGATTGATCCAAACAGTCGCAACACATTCTGAACAGAGCACAAAGGCAATAAGTGACTGAGTGTCTGAAATCTGTCCTGACAAAAGCAAGTTCATCTGAGTTGAATATTACATTCTGATTGTTGGTGGCATCACACTATGTGCCGCACAGCTCTCTGCAGACAGATACTGCAGCGTGGATAACACCCCCCCAACCTTAAAGGAATAGTTCACCTTAAAAAAGACGTGAAGTCATCTACCGCTCATCCCCACATCAAGTGTGTATGGACACACTTGTGAGCCTCGTATTTCCCTTGAACTTCTGAGTAACTGAAGTTAAAATCATCTTTATTTTTAATCTGTAAAGTAGAATACATTTTGTTTCTCTAAACACTTTCAAATACCTGCGTGTCAAGAGCATGGGTCTGTAAACCTACATTAGTTTCTTTTTTGGCCACTTGAGGGCAGTGCAACAAGGTGTAAACACAACATCAACTTATTTCCACCTTATAACGTTCAGTCACGTTAGCTAACAGTTGCTTATTTACACATCCTGTGGACACAGAGCAACAAAATGAATCGTTTGGGTTTGTTTGTGGGTCGTATTTGTGTCCAACTGACAAATGTAAGCCCAATATTTGCTCTCGTTTGGTCTCCACCATCTCCTGAGGGGAATATTAACAAGTAATTCATTAACTGTGACTGTCTGGTGCTGGACAGGGTTTTTTCCAGAACTTTTGGCTAAAAATAGCTTCTTTTAAGACAAAAAGAAGTTGAGGAGTGCAGTAAAAGTGAATTAAAACAGTAAACCAAAACAATGAGCCGAAAGAAGCTAAAACGCTCACTGGTGCTGGAGAATTGAGTGAGAATTCTCTGTGGATCAGTCACTCTGAGCGACACCACATTTAATGTTGTCATTTTTTTCCCACTGCTAATATAAAAATATTATTTAGTGCAGCTTTAAAGTCAAATATTTAGTTTTTCTTATATTGTTCTGATGCTGATTGATTGAGCCCTTCAATGGCAAGCAGAGTGCTTTAGGAAATACGGTTACATCAAGTTATCATTTCATAATTTTACTAGGCTCTAAAATGATGATTTCAGCCTGACTTAAGAGAACAAGAATAATCTACTTTGTAGTTGCACAAGCATTAAGTCTTGACTGACATGCAAGTGAGGAGATGACCAAGCTTTCATTTTGGGGTGAACTATTCCTTTAATGGTGATGCCTGTATTACAGAAATACAACAGCATAACAGACCTCTGAGATCACAGCACAAGCTGCTTTGGCAAAAATGACACAATTTCCCTTTTTTTCTTTTGATTTTTCATCCTTACAGAGCATCCTGTGCAGTATGGTGAATATTTGTATGGTGCTGAATTAAGTATGGTTACATATATATAAGTACATTATGAGAATACAAGCGTGGTATGATACAGTACGACTGGAAATAGCAAGATACAAACAAAGAGTGAGGTATAAATACAGCCATGTATTGTCATAGGCTTCAGCTGACTAACGAGAACCAATCAAGAAATTCCAAATTTTGCCACACACGGTAAAAAGTGAGAGTGACAATTTTTTTTATGTCACTAAAAATCTGGCTGTGAAAATTTATGAGCTATAAATTTGGATTACTCCACTACAAAAGATTTCTATGCAGAACAAAAGAAATTAAATGTTAATATAACATTTTTTAATGTCAAATTTAATTTCAGTCAACCACATATTTGGTTAAAATAGCAGTACCTTTTACTAGCAGGGGTTAGTTTCTACATATGTACACACTACCAGCAAGAATATGCATATTTACAAGTGGGTAGCAGCATTTCAGAAACCATGGCTGATAAAAAAACACTACTTTGAAAAAAAAAAAAAAAAATCAGTCCTGCCACTTAGACTTTTTGGAAGTTTCTTTTGTTTGTAGTTGAAGAAGCCCTGAAAAATTACCTAATACTTGTTTCTGCCAAATAGAATTGATGGGATTGAGGTCAGCTGAGCGCTATTCGTTGTCGCAGAAGCCATTAAGAAAGAGAAAGAGGCGGCAAAAGAGAATAAAAGATGGAACGGAAAACTTTGGAAAAGGTGAAATGTTAAGTACACAGAAAACAAAGAGGGACATAAAAGAAAGGGGAGACTGCACATGTGTGTCTGCTGAACTCCCTGCAGTGATTATGTGTGTGTGTGGGTGAGACTGAAGAACTTTTTTTTTCTTGCGTGTGCACCACTGACATGTTACAGTGACTGTGCGTGGACCAAAATAAAACTAAACCACACCTATGACTGTGTGTGTGTGTGTGTGTGTGTGTGTGTGTGTGTGTGTGTGTATTGTGTGATGAAATGAGTGTCTTTGAGTGTGTGACATTAAGGTGCAGTGGTGCACACGGACCAGCAGGTGGGGCTGAGTGGCTCTAGAGGGCAGTGAGGCGGCCGGTGAGCGCTGCCTGGAGCTCAGAGGGGAGGAAGACTCCCAGCTCTGTGATGATGCCTCCTGTGATGAGCTGGTGAGGGGTCACGTCGAACGCCGGGTTCCACACCTCGATGCCTGCAATGAACAGTTAGGAATGAGTGATACTGTGGCGATACTCTAGATCAGTTTGTTACGGTTTAATTGCACAAAACAACAGAAATATGACAAATAAATAAACAAAACAAGTTGTGCAGGTGAGATTAAGAAAACCCTGTGGTTTATAAGGAATCTCACCTCAGTAAGCAAAATAAGCAAACAGTAGTGTAATCAAGAAAGGTTAAAAAAACGAGCAACAACAACGGGTCAATAAGCAAACTTAAAACAAGCAACGTAAATCAAGCAAAAACAGAAAATATATATAAATAAATGAGGATTACTTTAGCTATAATAAAGAGTTAATAAACATTTCTGTGATCCAAACTTTTTATTTTGCCAATGAAGCCAATAGATTTAGACATTTTATATTGCAAAAAGACTGAATATGACTCTTTCAACTTCATCAACCAGGACTCCAAAGAAATATATTGTCCAATATTGACCCGGCTCATTATAACTCGTAATGGAAATGCAAAAACAACACGTCATGGTTTGGCTCAACACAAAAAAAGTACCAATGGAAAAGCCGTCATAGTTCGTGACTCAGTACTTCCAGACTTCATTCTATCTTACCGAATATTCGGTAACCGAATATATTCGGCCGAATATTGCAAAAAAAAACACACATTCGGTATTCGGTGGAATAAGTTAAAAGCAAGGCCGAATAATAGCGGCGTGTTTTGATAACGCAATCAAACAGCGTGCCATGACGCTCGGAGTAAAATGTCGGCAGTGTGGCGATCCGCCCGTCACCGCACTCGCATTTGCAACTAAAAATAGTTTTGAGCGAGCAAAACAGGCTTAAATCATTCAGCAAGCTGTGCGAGCAGCCTACAGATTTCAACCAGCAGCAGAAACGAAAGGCGAATCCCACCGATTGTGGGTTGAACGGGGGTCACAGACACAGACAGTAATATATTCCTGTCAAATACGGCGGCCATCGGCTTACCGGCGACGGAGAAGTCGGCTCCAATAATATCCTCTTCTTGGTGTCATGACTGCCCAGAAGTACCTGAACAGCCGAGCCAGCCGAACACAGGTATGTGACGTGTCAGAGGAGAAACGAGCCGTTCACGGCCCACAAACCTCACTGCACTTTAGGGACTGTTCTTTACTTATGAAGGGGAAGAGGGTGGCTGGTTGATTCTTATTTTATTTATTTATTTTATTTTGATCCCCCCTATGTTAATCACTTATTGATGCTGTTTTTGAAGTATGAATAAGTCAGTAAGTAATTTATTCCACTGAAATATCATTGATGTATTATAGAAAAGTGATTTATCTTTTTATAAATGACAAAAGGCACATCTGTCTCATTTTCGCTGTGGTATCGTGATACTACTCAGAACCATGATATTTTCATTGGTATCGTACAGTGGGATCCAATTTTGGTACCGAGACAACACTAATCTGGAGGGGGTTCATCTGCAAAAACTAATGAAAAACTAAACAATGATATTTGCTATTCGGTACTCGGTACTCGGTATTCGGCATTCGGCCAAGCATTTAATATTATTCGGCTTCGGCCACAAATTTTCATTTTGGCGCATCCCTAGTTTATTTTTTTAAAAAGGTGTAGTAATTTCCTAAAACAGCTGGGCACTTGGTTATTTTTTTTTAGCAAATCACTCAAGCAGGAGTAAACAGTGCACCACATTGGATGCTCCAGTGAGTATTTACAGCTGCAGGAGGGTGTATGTGGGACTGACTCTAAGTAAGATACAGTGCCTCTGTTTATGGTGATGAAGAACATGTCACCCAGTGCAACTGTGTGTCTTACTAATGCCATTTTAATAGTTGTTAGCCTCCATGGCACAGAGGAATATCCTAAATTAGGCTTTACCTTCAGAGGCAATACTTGTTAGTGTCATCAGTTCATTTTCTTTTAATGGGATTTACTGAGTGTAAGACAAAAAAAAGTAAAATAATGGCCTTATAATAAAAAAACAAAACAAAAGTCAGCTCTATGATTTTATTTTAAATTGCCGTTGAGAAGGAAGACCAGTGAAGTGTGTGAGAGTAAAGTTTAAGAAAGAGGAAAGCATAATGTACGAGCACACATCCTCTTCTCAGGGGGCCAGTGTGCTCATTAAATGTGTGCTTTAATTACTGTGATGTCACCGAGCACCTCTCTGCTCTGGCAACATAATTAGAGATCAAATGACTCAATTCAGCGCTAATAAACTCACTGAAAACACACTTGCAACGTCCGCTTCTATGAACTCATTGACTCTGTGAGGGCTCAGTGAATCCTGTTAAGCCATTGAGGGCTTTTTAAAAACACCCTTCTGAACACATTTTGTAGATCTGCTATTCTGCAGACTGCCATGGGGGACTTACCCACAAATCATAGCAATCCAATGTCAAAAACAGTGGCCTGGGGCAGAGTCCCAAATCAAATGAAAAAGATATATGTGTAATATTTTTACATCTAAATCACTATTATCAAGCTGCAATTCCTTTTATTTTGAACGCCAATGTCAAAAGTTGAACCTGTGCCCCCATCGTCACATTCATCACCAACATGAAGGACTCCAGTGGTGAAACTTTACAGCCCGAGGATCAGGTGGCAGCCTACATCAAGTTTAAGACACCCAAGAGGATCCTTTTGAGGTTTTGTGGTGGTGGAACGAGCATGCTAAAATATATTTTTAATATATTTTTTAATCTGGCGGTGATTGTACGGAATGTTTTTGCCATTCCAGGATTGAACGCAGCCAGTGAAAGAGACTTTTCCTCCGCTGGATTTGTAATTCAAGAACTAAGATCCCAGCTTAATGCGAGTGACTGTAGCCTGTGTGTATTTAATCACTGGTGTGGGTCTGGTTGTGGGACTCTTCTTAATGAATGGGTGCGGCTTTAACTTAGATATAATGACGGGTAAGGGGCTGGTTCAGGTTTTCATAAATGGACCAATGCCGGACTTTGGTCTGAGGCACCCTGGTGGCACAGTTATACTTGACTTTTGGCCCATGGGCCACATTAGGGTGCTGCTTTAGGTTAGGGGACTGCAAATACCAAAAGGTATCTGGAAGGCTCTGGCTCAGGTTATTGTTTTACTCCCAGCACACTACCATATAGAAAACATGGGGCAAGGTTTACAAGTCAAAAAGGCGGTGTGAACAAGTACATAAGAAAACTGGATCAAACAGAACAATATAATGAAAACTGTGAGAAAGATTAATGGTGTTAAAGAATTGAAAATGTCAGTCCAATAATAACTCTTTCATTTGGCTCCCCCTAGTGGCCAATTCAGGGTGCCGGCCAGGTTAGGGGTCAGGCCTGCTGACCGTTTTCTAATTTAGGTTAGGGGACTGCAAATACCAGTTCCAAAGTCACAATGAAAATAAATGGATATTTTTGTACTTTGAATGTAAATAAGATGCAAGAGTGCATAATAATGCTTCAAAATAGAGCTTGTTTGTCAAAAAAAAAGTGCCAGGGGAGGATTCCTCGGAGCCTCCGACAGAAGGCCGGCTAAACCTTAATGTCCTCAAATCCTAGAAATGCCCCTGCTTCATTCTGCCTTTTATTGTTATTTCATTTTATCTGATAAATATTATTAAGGTTTGTTTATTAACTGGCCCCTGGCCTCCTGTCATTTTGCAAAAGTGGCCCCCATGTAAAGCAAGTCGAGTATCCCTGACCTAGAGGTGAAGTACAACATCTCTGGTTTGAATGTGGCCTGAGACCTTTGTCATCTGTCATTCCGTGTTTCTATGGCCACTCATTTTGTGTCATCTCTCTACTGACACTGTCTAATGAGGACATCAAACAAATTCTCCAAAAAACAAACCAACAAAAGAAATGATGGTGGGCAGGGGAAATTCAAAAAATCCCCCAAAAGAGATAGCAGCAAGAGCTTTGTAAGATCGTAGCCCAACATTTTACTGGCCCCAAACATGCCTCTGTACAGGTAACGTGATTTCACAAAGTGCTGTTCCCTTCCTCATACAGCATTCGGAACACTTGCAGCCTCTTTAACTCTGGCACTTACACTGCAAGTGACGTCAATTAAAGTCTGTGAGGGTTCAGCGCTTAGGGCTTAGGGCGGACTTTGGAACTGGGCCATGCTCATCCATCTCTCCAAAGCCTGAATGCTTTCCCCATCACTCTCAGTCCACTGCTGAGCTCCCAGTTTGTACCTGTTATCTTAAACCTTTTAAAAACAACATTTGTGACCTCTCCCCCGCATATAACCCCCCCAACATCCCACACTTCTTACCCGGGGCAGCAATGGGGACTCCATTTATACTGGTGAGTTCCTCAGGGGGGCGCACTTCGATGATGATGTCCCTGCCGCTCTCCAGGCTCAAGTCGCATGACGTGCTGGGTGCGGCCACATAGAAGGGAATCCCATGATGCTTTGCAGCAATGGCAAGCTGGTATGTGCCCACCTTGTTGGCGGTGTCACCGTTGGCAACCACCCTGTCTGCGCCCACCACCACAGCTAAGAGAGGGAGAACACAATTGGAAAATGACTGCTAAGAAAAGAGGAACGTTTGAATAAAAGGAGAAAGAGACACAAACACACACCTGTGATGTCCATTTCTCTCATGGTGAGGGCTGCCATGCTGTCTGTAATAAGTGTGGCAGGGATTCCCTCTGCTACCGCCTCATACGCCGTCAGTCTGGACCCCTGGTTGTACGGCCTCGTCTCTGTGCAGTACACACGCTTCAGCCTGCCCAGCGCGTGCAGGCTTCGCACCACGCCTACACACAAGTACGAGTCATTATTACAGTTACAGTGCCATAAGTATTTTACCAATCACCCTCTTTTCCCATTCACACCCACAGCTCCAGTCTTACCGAGCGCAGTCCCATATCCAGCTGTGGCCAGCGAGCCGGTGTTGCAGTGTGTGAGGATGGTCACAGAGTCCCTCGGAACGCCGGAGAGGATGTGCTGGGCACCATAGTTACCAATCTTCCTGTTGTCATTGACGTCACGCTCCAGCATGTCTTCGATCCAGGCAATTACACTGTAGGAGGGGGGCCACAAGAGGTGGGAATTGAGAAGAGGCTCCGTCTGCCACTGTGGACTCAACGAGTCCATCAAGTCTGTAGTTACAATATGCCTGCATGTTTCTGTTTGTCCCAACTTCAGTGTCTCCATTCATCTAATTCATAATGTGAGGTTTTTACCTTATCCCTCCCTCACTGCTCCTACTGTAGCTGTATCACATTTCTCCTGACGTCCTTATCTTTCCTTCACTAACAGTATCAGTCAGTTATATAATTGTAGCCACTGATCTCAGTCATCTGTTGCATAAAGTGTACACTGGTCAACTCACAACAAGTTTCAAGACCCATGTGTCCGTGTGAGGTTATTCATCCCACTGCTCCTCCAGTATCACTCCTCAGCACAAACTATGCCCATTGCCTGTAGTGCCTAACAGTTGCATAGTGAAACATAACTAAGATGACCCATCACCTCTGCTGCACTGTGACTTTCAGCTACAGATTCATCACCCAGCAGCACTTCTACTGCTTATGATGGGAGGAAAGGGAGTTCTGAGTAGTTTCAATGGGCTATATTCACGAATATGTGCATAGAAATGTTCTCACCTTGCCCAAAAAATACATAAGCAAAAAAAAATAAAACCACTGGCGGGTGAAGTGAATGGCATTGTTCATTTTGTTACAATGCATTGTTCTGCTGAGAAACCTTTGGGTCCTGGCTTTCATGTGGGTGCCACCTGACATGCTCCATCCACCCAAACACTGTTGCAGACCAAGTACCCCCCCTCATGGCAACGGTACATCCATATGGCAGTGGCCCCCTCAACAGGACAATGCATCATGCCACACCACAGAAACGGCTCAGCAATCGCCCAAGGAACGTCACAGAGAGCTCAAGGCTTTGACCTAGCTTCCTAATTCCCAAGATCCTTATCTGATTGAGAAATCGTGGGATGTGCTGGTACCCAACCTCACAACCTACTGGATTCAAACGATCTGCTGCAAACTCCCTGGTGCCAGAAACCACAGGACGATTCCCAGAGGTCCCGTGTCCGAACCAAGATAGGTGAGAGCCAAGTCTGATCCACCAGGGGAGGCCCCACCATGGATCGCAGGTGCCTCTGGCGTACTGGCACTTCCACAAATAATCAATCAGATTGGGATCTGGGAAATTCTGAGGCCAGGTCGATGCCTTGAGCTCTTTGTCACGTCCCTCAGACCATTCCTGAGTGGTTTTTGCAGTTTGGCATGGTGCATTGTCCTGCTAGGGGCCACTGCTACTGCCAGGAAGTGCTGCTGCCATGAGGGGGCGGTGCTTGGTCTGCAATGGCGTTTGGGTGGGTGGAGTGCATCCACATGAATGCCAGGAACCAAAGTTTCCCAGCAGAACATTACTGTTGGATTAATGACACATGTACACCGTCCAATTTTTGTTCAACATGTAAGTGAATCAGAATCATTTCAAATTGACAGGGGCATGCCCACTATTTGCAACTGGCATACTGTCATGCCCAAATTTCTCTATATAAGGAAATATGTTTGTCTGGGGGTGTATCAGGGAGACAGCAGTGCTGTTTTCAGTCCGGCCCAGGTCTCTGCTGACTCTTGTGTTTCACACTGTGATTGCTATACACTAATTTATAGCCGTCATTACAAACATCATTATCACTACGACAAAGGTTTGGCTTCAATCTCATTGTGGTGCTCATAATACAAATTAAAGGACTCCATCTGTGTGTTTTTAGTGCATCAAAAATTAGTAATAAATAAATTACCGGCCAACTGTTTCACTGATAATAGAGTGCTGCAGGACTGATGTTTATTTGTAGGACATCACAGACATGGTGATTTTTCCATTGGATTTTGGATTATTGCAGAAAATAAGCTCTGTGGTTTACGATACTTACACGTTTTATTCAGCAAGATAATCTTCCCAAATGACGTCACTTTTATGATTTTCAAAGTGTAAATGCAATCACCAGGAGTAAATAGCTAATAAATTAACTACACTAGGGTCGCATGACTCAAAAGTCACCACCACAACAAGGCTGTAAAGCTGTGTTGAGCATGATGATGTACAGTCAGGTCCATAATTATTTGGACAATGATACAGTTGTCGTCATTTTGGCTCTGTACACCACCACAATGGGTTTTAAATGAAACAATGAATACCTGCTTAAAGTGCAGACTCTCAGCTTTCATTTAAGGCTTTTTTCAAAAATGTAGTATGAACCGTGTAGGAATAACAACCATTTCTTCACACAGTCCCCCGACTTTAAGGGCTCATAAGTATTTGGACAAACTAACATAATCATCAATTAAACAGTCAGTTTTAATACTTGGTTGCAAATCCTTTACAGTCAATGACTGCCTGAAGTGTTGGACACATAGGCATCATCAGATGCTGGGTTTCTTCCCTGGTGATGCTCTGCCAGCCCTTTACTGTAGCCGTCTACACTTCCTGCTTGTGTTTTGGGTGTTTTGCCCTCAGTTTTGGCTTCAGCAAGAGAAACGCATGCTCAGTTGGATTAAGGTCAGATGATATGACTTGGCCATTGCAGAACATTCCACTTCTTTGCCTTAAAAATGTCTTAGGTTGCTTTTGCAGTATGCTTCAGGTCATTGTCCAACTGCACTGTGAAGCATCGTCCAATGAGTTTTGAAGCATTTAGTTGAATCTGAGCAGATGATGGTGCCCCAAACACTTCAGCTTTCATCCTGCTGCTGTTGTCAGCACGAGAAGACTTCACTAGAATAAATACAGAGGGTTTATCACAAGATGCAAACCAGCCTTAGCCTTAAAAATGGAAGGCCAGATTAGAGTTTGTCAAAAACCATCAAAAAAGCCTGTACAGTTGTGGAACAGAATACTATGGACAGATAAAACAAAGATCAACTACCAGAATGATGGGAAGAAAAGAGAAGGAAGAAGGGAAGGAACTGCTCATGATCCAAAGCACACCACCTCATCAGTGAAGCATGGTGGAGGTACTGTTATGTCATGGCCATGTATGGCTGCCAGTGGAACTGGTTCTCTTGTATTTATTGATGATGTGACTGCTGACAAGAGCATCAGGATGAAAGCTGAAGTGTTTGGGGCACCATTATCTGCTCAGATTCAACCAAATGCTTCAAAACTCATTGGACGATGCTTCACAGTGTAGTTGGACAATGACCTGAAGCATACTGCAAAAGCAACCAAAGACATTTTTAAGGCAAAGAAGTGGAATGTTGTGCAATGGCCAAGTCATATCATCTGACCTGAATCCAACTGAGCATGCGTTTCTCTTGCTGAAGCCAAAACTGAGGGCAAAACACTCAAAACACAAGCAGGAAGTGCAGACAGCTGCAGTAAAGGGCTGGCAGAGCATCACCAGGGAAGAAACCCAGCATCTGATGATGCCTATGGGTCCAACACTTCAGGCAGTCATTGACTGCAAAGGATTTGCAACCAGGTATTAAAACTGACTGTTTAATTGATGATTATGTTAGTTTGTCCAAATACTTATGAGCCCTTAAAGTCGGGGGACTGTGTGAAGAAATGGTTGTAATTCCTACACGGTTCATACTACATTTTTGAAAAAAGCCTTAAATGAAAGCTGAGAGTCTGCACTTTAAGCAGGTATTCATTGTTTCATTTAAAACCCATTGTGGTGGTGTACAGAGACAAAATGACGACAACTGTATCATTGTCCAAATAATTATGGACCTGACTGTATGTAGTCTTATTTGGGCACTGTTAGCAACTGTCTTTTTTTAAGACATGTACAGGCATTAAACTTTCACATTGGGGTATTTACTGACAGATCTGATATCGTAGAACAAAACGTGAAGGTCTCTTAGGCTTGTATTAACTACAGACCTTATTTCAGACATCTTAAAACCCATTCAAAAAACCTACTAACTTCAAGAAGAGGGAACCGGGAGTGCTAAAATGCTAATTCACCTACATTTGTATCCCTCTTGCTTATTCTTTTTATGCCTTTATCATGGTGTAGATTGTATTTTAGTTGAAATATTCTAGTTATGACATAAATTGCTGAATTGATACTCATTAAATAAATTTGGCCAATGCATTAGTAAATAAATGGTTTTAAATACTGCTGCCTATTAACACCTTTTTAAATTAATACAGTGTTAATATGTGATTCCTTTAGTTAAAAGGTGTCTTTACATTTTCTAAGACAGCTGGGCCTTCAGCATCAGTGTGTACACATGGTCTGAGGCAGTTCTAAATTTGTTCCCAGAATACAAAAAAATTCAGCTAAGAAAATATTAATGTACCCTGGATTTTTGCATAAAACATTCGTATGCACGGTTTAAGCACAGATTTGTGTGCACGCACTGTTTGTGAATGAGGTCCAATCTCTCAAAACAAGTATCAATCCAACTTTTTATTTTGGATTCTGATCCCTCAACTCTGAAATTCTGACTCCCACTCCAGCACCAGTGCTTTATTCAAATTTAAAATCTGCATACCTCTGCATCAAACTTAGTTGAACTGTTATATTATCTACCATGATAACATGGGGGATTGTTCTGGCATGGAGTCAAGTGCACGCTGTGAATGAATGACTGTGACTGGCACAAACACTGGCTTTTTTTTAATAACACTGATGAAGACACTGTATCAAATGTAGACAGTAAAGCATCTGGTCAAACCTGATCTGCTTGGTGTATTGTCCCAACCTGACCACCACTATCCACCTGGATGCTATTTTTCCATCAACACTAACGTCTCTCTTAACACGTTCTGTTTCTTTCCCGCTCGCCTGCACGTGTAGCTTTTAACTACAGTCCTGTTAACCCAATTAATACTGTAAAAATAACACTACTCAGGATTTCTTTATCACCCTGACACTTACTCTGCACAGACAAGTACGGTATCCCAATTTTCACATTTCATATGATCTGATAACTTTCACAGCTTTTTCAAGAAGACACCTGCAGCTGGTGTTGAACAACGACATGCTGCAGTAGCAGTTCAGAAGTCGGGATCTTCTCAATTCACAGAATAAGTTTTGCTGATATGACAGAGCAGGAGATCCATATGCTCGAGTTTTGCCTTAAAAGGTGTCCTGTGGCGTTTTCTTTCTGTTTACATTCACTAAAACTCACTGTTTGTATCCTTGAGGCTAAACAAACGTTTTTCCAGCACAAATGCGTTATCTTCCTGATAAAACACTTTCAAAGCTGTTTTTTTTGTTTGTTTGAAGCCAGCATTGTTTACATCCATGTTTACTTGCTAACGGTTTTTCTTCCCTGCTCAACTGCCACCGAGATCAGTGGAAAATTGTGAAACCATTGGGAGGATTGTGTGACACCCGCATGCATGGTCCTTATGCTCAAAAAATAATTAAACAGGAGCCCACTCACAAAAACATGGCTCCATTGCACTACTAGTGATCGAAACACAGAGTACTTCTAACTAAACAATTGGTTAAAGCAAAATTAGACTACCATGCACACAGGCAAGCAAATCAAGATTTTGGTCAGAACTGAGGTAGGGTGGCTGAGAAAAAAACATTAACTTGTGCTCTGAACAGAGTTCATATTAACCAACCAGGGGGCGCATGGGAAAAAAATGCAATATTCCTCATTTGTGACAATTTACTTAAATACAAAACGTGGCAGAACAAATCTGCAGTTAAAGGTTAGGTTTGCATTTTTGAAGTCTATCTACAAACAATGTTCAATGTCCACTTTAAAATTTACTGGCCCCTGTAACCATTCTTCCTGTCCGTACCGGCCCTGAAGAAATCCCTCCAAGTGTGATTTCAATAGAGAGTTGAAGTCCTGCCTCTACTGGTGTCTCCCATGGGAAAATATATACGGCAATCAACACAAGAAACAAATAACTTCTTGATCCAGTCTGAACTGTGCCATGAACTACACATGTGATGTTTTATCACTTTAAAAGATAATTTAGCAAGTGGAGACAGTCACAGTTTGTCAAAGGTTTGTGGTACATTTTTGCGAAACTGCTCAGTGAACTACATCTCTTGTCTCGCACAATATACGTCACCTACACCAGCTAGGTAATTCAAGTCCATTCCACACACAAATGTAACATAATCTTGCCTGATGTGTTTAATCCAGTAACTCCTGGTCTTTAAAAAAGAAATCAGCCTGGAAGTGAAAGAACGAGCAAGATTCACATTGCTCATGCCAGTTCATTCCAGTATGAAGCACAAAGGCATTGTAGCTTAAGCCAGAGAAAAAGTTGTGATGTCACCTACGACCTTTGCAGCATATTTATTACGTATTTTCATAGTTTTACACTTCAACAGTTTCACAATGAACTGTGACTTTCTTGAATTGCAAAATTATCTTTAAAATTGACAAACATCATCTGTGTAATTCATGGGACAGTTCGTACAGGACTTATTTGTCTCTTGTCATTGACTACTGGACATATCTTTCCCAAAAATGGTCCCATGGTGGTCCACTGGACGAGGAGGGACTTCCCGTTTCTATGTAAGTGTTGGGAACAACTACGGGTCCATGATTTGCTTAGAAAATGCTTTTCAAAGTTTAGCCAAAGCTAACATGATCTCAGCAGCCAGACATATCAGGTGGGCATCCTCCATAGTTGCTGCCCTTTTAGTGCAAAATGTCCCTCTTTGTGTTTATTCCCTGAGCTCCAGCCAAGGGAGAGTAACAAGAAGAGAGAATGAAGTTGTTACAACACAGCAACTTTTGACGATACCCATTTGATTTACAACAAACTGCTTAAGCCTCACATTAGCTTTGGTTAAACTTTGACGTGTTTTTTCCCCCATCACTCACATTAAAATCTCATTAGGGAAGGGTCTGTGAGTGCTGCTATCCTTAATCAGCGTTTCAGTGAATCAGAACACCACAAAACAACTGACAAACACTGAATCCATGCAGCTGCCTGGTGGGTAACCTGAGGCTGCATCTCTCACCTTTCTCTGAGCTGCTCCGAGTTCTTTTCCATGCTCTCGTTCTCAGCAAACTCCATCAGCTCGCGGGCGGCCCGGCCCATGTTGACGGCAGTGGGGCGAGCTGAGGTCAGGTGGCACAGGGACTCCCTGATGAAGGTCACAGGGTCATCACCCCCGGCGCCTGCCCGCAACTCCACAGCCAGGCTGAGGCAGCCGACGATAGCAATGGCCGGGGCGCCCCGCACCTGGAGGAGAAGAAGGAAGACGAAAGTCAGCATCACACTGTGGTCCTCCTCTTTGGTTTCTATGCCAACTTCCGACAGCTGTCTCCATGAGAATTATTAATCTCTTCCCGACACAGAGTTGTAAATGTGTGATCACTGAGCCAAAAGTTGTCACAGCAGCTTTGACTGAGATGATATCATCTGATAAATATCTGTCTCAGAGTCATTTCTCTCTCTGTACCATTAGACTCCATTATCATGACATCACCCTCTGCTTATGGTACATTCCTTCACTATGACACAGGATCAAACGTGTGTGTCTAACTGGGGAAGACAAAAGAGTGAATATCTGCTCAGCCCTGAGAAGTGAACATCTGAAAATGTCTCCAGCTGTTACAAAACTTGAACACCATGCAAGTATCTGAACGCCTCTCCATGTCAGGGCTACAGGTATATGGAGGGAGAAATGAGCTGGAGGTGTCACTGAGTGCAGCGCAAAGACCCAAACGCGAACAAAAACCCTGGCAAAGGTCATTAATAATTCATCAATAATCTCTCCCAAAGAAAGAGGAGGAGGGGGTGCATATTTCATGGGTGGGTGGCTGTGTGCAGATGCCTAGTTTGTCGCGCTTGCACATGATAATGTGAAAACTATATATAAAGGGTGGTCGTAAGGGGGGGAGGAGGGATGGCGGGTGCTGCAGGTGCATCCAAAACAAAAATACAGGCCGACAGCGGGAGCACGGTGGCGAGCATATGGCAACACACGCGTGCAGCGGTGGGAGCACAAAAGACCCGAGCAGGGAAAAAAGAGCCATGCACGACGGGGATAAATGCACAAGCAGCGGGCATCTGGGAAGTGGGAGAGAGTGAGGAGGGGTGGAGAGGGGGAAGAAAGGAGCTCCGTACCTTCATGGACTTGATGGCCTCGTAAGCGTCCTGCACCGAGCGGATCTCATCGTAAGCGGTCTGGTGTGGCAGCAGCAGCTGGTTGAGGATCTGCAGAGACCCGGCCCGGTAGCGGATCGCTTCCAGCGTCATGACCGAAGAGCGAGGCGGGATTGTGGGAGAAATAACACGGATAGACCGGTTGCGGGCGGGTGCGCGCACACGCACTCACTCACACACACACACACACACTCTCTGTCACACACACTTTCACTCACACACACACACACACTGAGCGGAGACACGTTGAAGTGACCGCGGCCTGGCTGTCGGCAGTCCCGGGAGCCGTCGCAAAGAGGAGCAAAGTGCAGCAGGAGGAAGAGGAGGAGGAGGAGGAGGTACGAGCGGGACGGAGTAAAGAGAGGAGAAGGTCTGCTGTGATGCACGGGAGGAGAGATAAGGAGAGGAGTGAGAAAAGGGCTGGAAACCTTCACACACTGACAGACAAGCAGGGGAGGCAGACACGGAACCACGTGTTCAGCCGAGCAGGAAGCCCTCGCGTCTGTGTCCACGCCCACCAAAGTCTCGCGGGTTGTCCAATTTTTCCAAGACTCTCCTCTTGTGTTGCTGCGCACCATCCCCCCTCTCATCTTTTCCCCCTTTGTCAGGGGAAATTTCACATTCAAACACGTTATTAGCATAACACCAAAGCCCCAAAGCTTCCCCCCAACAACAGCAAGCATTGTCTGGGAGAGGAATCTATTTTTGTCTCAGGTTTCATTATTTCACACTCTGTCTTTTAGTTACATTTTACACTTAACTAAGCAGCATTTTCCTCTAAAATATGTTTTTGAAACCCACTATGATTAAAGTATTAAAGAGGAAACCCGTCTCCTTGTCACATAGTGGGCTTGTATATTTCATGGTGACAAAATACAGAAATTACCACCAAATTACACCAGATAACTACATGTTGAAAGTTTAATATTAAAGGTCCAGTGTGTAGGATTTAAAGGGAAATATATTGGCAGAAATTGAATATATTACAACAAGTATATTTTCTTTAGTGTATAATGATCTGAAAATAAGAATTGTTGTGTTTATGTCATCCTAGAATGAGCCATTTAATCTACATAGGGAGTGGATCCTCATCTACGGTGATCGCCATGTCGCACTGTATGTTTCTACAGTAGCCCACTACGGACAAACCAAACACTGGCTCTACATAGTGCCATTTACAACTTTGTGTTGGCCACTATAGTTAGCAACCCCTCCGTGATGAGTGTTGGGAAAAAAATGCTGCATTTATTTAAAAAAAAAAAAAATTAACGTGAAACTGCTTTTTCAGTATTTTTACCTGTTTAACCCTTTGAAACCTGACAGCAAATTTGTTTGGTTTCTTTCAAAAACATGGGAAGAAGGCAACAAAAGAAGAAATGAGCAAGAAATTGGTAAAAAGAGAAAATTAAAAACAAGCAAATTAGTTAAAAACAAACAAACAAACAAGGAAATGACCTGGAAAAAGCGCTTAAAAATTATGATAATTCTGTGACATAATTTTAAACATATAATAATGATAATTATATAGCTTTTCCCCTACCTTTTAAAAAAACATTTTCTAAATCTATTAATTTTTTGCAATTTGACAAACATTTCTTACCAAGTTGTTTGTTGCCTTTCCCCCATGTTTTTGGAAGAAATCGCACCAATGTGCTCAGAGTTCAAAGATTTAAAAACCTGTTAAAGGCCTCTGAAAAAAGATGTCGGGTTAATCACCGGACATGTTGTTTATTTATTAATTTATTTTTTGGGGAGAGGATCCGACCTTTGCGGATACTTATAGATAAAAAACGACTGGCCAGCTCACTCAGTGTAAAAGTCCATAGTACAGGCAGGCAGTCCAAAAATGCATCCGAGGCACTCTGACTGTAGTCAGAAATCCTTTTAACTAATCATTTATGAAAGCAGCTCTGTACCTTCATGGACTTGCTGGCCTCATAAGCGTCCTGCACCGAGTGGATCTCATCGTAAGCGTTCTGGTTCATTTAGGAATTTTAACTACAGTCAGAGTGCCTCAGATGCATTTTTGGACTGCCTGCCTGTACTATGGACTTTTACACTGAGTGACTCTTTGCCCCATCCTTGACAAACTACCCAAAGCCTTCACCCAGTGCAGCACTCCCTATTTTTTCCTCATCATCAGTGACCTCTGTGGATAATTTGGCTCCTGGTAAAAACCTTCTGAGCAATCAACACTGAAAGAATCCTAACCAGGAGAGTTTCAGCTGGTTGCAATCTGCAATCCTCACCACTAGATGCCACTAATCGCCCTACATCTTAAACATTGCTCCTTAAAATATGCACGAACAAATACTCCAAACAAAGAGGACTTCCAGATGCAGACACCTGCATCTCTGTGAAAGTTTCCCCTGGGGACTTGCAGGACATGTACGCACTTCTTGGCAGTTTGGGTGGGGTACGCTGTATGGAAAGCTTTGCCAACACCTACCACAGATGCAGATCATTTAAAAATTCATTGTACTTAATCGTGTTTTACAGACCGCAAGCATAAGTAATCTTAATTTTCTGTGGCAGACTTCTGAAACATGTTTTTGAAAAAACTACACATATGATGTTTTCTTACAATTAATTTAGTGGATATAAACTGTTTAAAAGGCACAGGGTCTGAGCTAAAATGCTGATCAGAGCTCAGTTTGAATGGGAGAAATCTGGTCAGGATTCTTCCGCTCAGTGAAGACACAACCGCAGAGCTGGTTCACCATTTTATTCATGTTAACACCGACCTCATACAGAAGATAATAAAGCCTAAACAATAAGGCCTTCATACATTCCCCGTTGGAGCTTCACAAATCATCATGACTTACACGTAAAAATAGAGACAGAGCATAATATGCTGTATATTTACTGTATACAAATATTACATTTATAATGATTGCCCTTTTATGACTTAACGGATTAAAAAAAAAAGTCATATGTTTAAGAGTAGTGCTTTCCCAAGCCCAGATGAATACATGTACTGCAGCAGATCAGGACAGAAATATCAACAATAATGACAAACAATCCACCAAACTTTCTCATTTAAAAATGGAGTGTAGCCAGATTACAGAGTAGGGTCATACAGAGAGGAGAGCCAAACCACATTAAAAAAAACACAGAGACTGAGAAGGAGTGTGTGTGGTGTGTGTGTGTGGTGTGTGTGTGAGTGTGTGTGTGGTGTCTTGCAAATGCGAGAAAGGAGTGTGAGTCACCAGCAGGACAAACTTTAACAATATGTCCCTCTCCTCAGGTCCTGACCATCCAACCACCACACTGAATGCTGATGAGCACATTGCCATGACAACAGGACAGCCTCTAAGGCCACGAGGTTATTCGAGCAGTGGGGTGATGTTGCAAGGGTGTATGTGTGTGTGTATGTTTGCGGTGACATGGGGTTAAAGGTTTTGGAGTTAAAAAACACAAAGGGGTGCAGCTCAGTTGTTTCTGTGAGAGCCTTTAACCACATTAAAACCTGCAAACGCTGCAACACGGGTTTCTACCAGAGCTTAGTGGTCATGTTCAGTCTTCACTTTGTAAATCAGAAAAGAAAGATTCTGTTAAAGTTAGAAATCTGCATGTTTAAGCTCATGCACAGCACATCACATTTAATTCACATCACAGGCAGTCCCTCAAAAAACAAAATATGCTGCTGTGTTTAAGTTAATTTTTTTGTACATCTGAAACATTTTGATGATTGATCGATTCAATAATTATATCGCTTGAGTCATTTTTCAAGCCAAAGCACCGAAGATTCCCTAAATCCAGCTTCTAAATTCAGGGAATTTCTTGCTTTGCTTTGTCTCATGTGAAAGTAAACTGAATATTTTCGGGTTTTAGAGTGTCAGTCTGACAAAACAAGACATATGAAGACTTGGGTTTTAGGAAACTGTAAGGCATTTTCTCTGTTTTCTGGCATTCTATAAACCAAATAATCTATAGTCCTTGTTTTTGAACATTTTCAGGCAGCCATTGGTTTCCTTTCATTTCCATACAGTATGAAAACCAATTAGTAGACTCTTGAAATTTGCTTGAGTTGTTTAATCCACTAAGTCTGCATTTAATTTCTGTCAGTTACATTATCTTAATATTCACCATTAATGCAGATTTTAATCAAATAAATTTAAATTTAAACTACAATACTGCATAATGCCCTTGGGATGTGTTTGGCAAACAAGTTTCAACAGTGTGTCTGCTGATTTTTATTCCGCACTTAAATAAAATAAAAACTAATGGCTGCCTGGAACAGCAAGTAAAATACATCAGATCTGAAACCGTGCTGCATACTACTGAAAAACTGTTGGTGACAATGTTAAGTGCATGACTTGTATTTAAGGAGCTAAATGTTGCATACACACTGGTATGGTGCTTTTAAAGCTGGAGTAGGCAGTTTAATTTTGGCATTATTGGGCAAAAATCCCGTAATAAACTTTGAGCATATTGTGATTTAAGTGGAGTGAGAGAAAACTAGACTTCTGCACTTCTTCTTGGCTCTGTTTTCAGGCCAATCAAAGGTCATTTTAGGGAGACGGTGTTCTTATTGACTGCTCAATGAATACAGATGCACATGCATGTCCCTTTAGATGATTAAAGCCTGATTCATAGCGGAGAGTCCTGCAGAGAACGTTGCTATTCCAGCATTGACAACAACTGCCTACCCTGCAAAGCAACCCAAACAAAGGAAGAAGGACTTTTTTTGACAAAAACAGTTTAAAAAAGTGTCCAGCAATAAAAGTAATAAAACGTGTCAATATAGCCGAAGCATTTCAGAGATGGGGAGAAACTATTTCTAATTGTTTAGCCTGCTGCTAACCACAACCAAAGGCTCATGGCTGTGGTGTCAATTTCTAACATCAGCTAACATCAGAGCCTCGAATCATAGTGTGTCCATCTCGCTGCCCGCCACCACAGAACACCTTCCCAACAGCTCCAGAGACAGACTTCCGGTTAGCGCCTGCAGCAAACCAAATACAACCAGCACAAACCTCAGCCTCAGGACAGACAGCCATACTCCACCCGGGGTCAGCAAACGTTTGTTGTTGACGTTACACAGGTTAAACCTGGCGCTGCTGCAGGCCACCAGCCAACTGTAACACCCTGGGGCTGGGGGGTTTGCGCTGGCTGAATTTGAGCCAATACAGCCGCCCACCGAAGGCCCTTCTTCCAAGCCGGTGTCCGCTCTGCTCCAAGAGAAGTAGTCCATAGTGGCAGGGAGCGAGGAGGAGGGACCCTAGGGTTGCTAGCAGCTAATTCTTGTGGGCGAATGACCTGCGGGCAACTGTACAATGAAATAATTAATTAAATAAAGTGGTGTAGGGGAAACACTGGGCTAATGTATGAAGTGTGGTTGGCCTGTGGTTGTCTGGTGGGAGGGGCTTGGGAAAGAGGGGGGTGGGCTGCCCTTTCCAGATTTCTGCCTACCCCAGCTTCAAGAGTCCCCCCATTATTAAACTAAAGGTTATCATGTCACTATAAGCAGTCACCTGCTCCACTGCCCTG